ATAAATATAAAAGTATTTTTTTAATTATTTAAATATTAAATTTATATTTAAGAAAAAGAGTATTTTTAAAAAAATATAATATAAAATATTAAAAGCCTTATTATTAATAATAAAGAATATAACTTTAATTTTATTTAAATTAATATAAATTTACTTTTTTATAATTTTAATTAAAAATAAAGAATTTTTATTATATATTATTAAGTTTATATTATTAAGTAAAGTATATAAAAGTTTATTATATTTATAATATAATAAAGGTAAGAAATTTATCTTAGCTTTAATATTTAAAAAAGTTAATTATAAAAAGTAATTATTTACTTTTATATAAATTATTAAGTAAGCTAAATTAAAATATTCTTAATTAATTATATTTATAATAAATATAATAATAAAGTTAATTTAATATTAAATAATTTATAATAAATTAATTAAAGTATTAATTTTAATATTATTTCTTAAAAAAGTAATTATATTAACTTTAAAAAATAAGTTTTTAATATAATTCTTAAAATATATTAATTTAAAAAGTACCTTTAATAAAATATATACCTTAAATTATATTATTAATAAGTACTTAATTAAAATTAAATTAATATTATTAAGCATTAAAATATTTATAATATTTATTTTAATAATTATAATTAAAATTATTTAAATTACTTTTTCCTTAAGTAATAAGGATTATTAAATATACTTTTTTAATTTTAAGTTTATTATATTTATTAAGCTTACTCTTATTATAAAAAACTTAGCGTTTTTTTTTTAAATTTAATTTTAATTAATAAATAAGTTTTTCCTTTCCTTTACTTTCTTTTTATTTTTTAGCTATAACTTATTATTAATAATTTAAAATTAATTATTTTCTGCCTTTTTAAAGTTTTTAAATTAAATATAATTAGCCTTTATAATTCTTATAACTTTATCTTAATTTTTAATATCTTTAGTTATATGCTTTTTTTTAATTATAATAATATTTATTTAAAAAAGCTTATTATTATTTATAATTATAAGCTCTTTTTTAATATAAATTAAATAATTTATAAAATTTATAAATATTAAAATTAAGCTAACTTTTTTTTAATTATTAAGCTTTTAAATTACTTTTAAAGCTTTTAATAAAGTTTTTCCTTTAAATAAAGGATTTACTTTAATAAGCTTATAATATTTAATTATATAAAATAAATTAAAATTTTCTTTTTTTAAATAAAAACTTTAATTAGCTATAAATATTTTTTTTAAATTATAGCTATTTTAATTATAATATAATTAAATATAAATAAAGTTTAAATACTTTAAAAGGTTAGCTTAAGCATTTTTAAATAAATTAAGAAATATTAATAATTTCTTTAGCTTAAAAGTTATTAATAAGCTATTTAAGGAAAGTTGCTTAAGCTTATTATATTAATATATATTATAATCTTAAAAAATATAATTATAATAAACTTTAAGTAATTTATTCTTTTTTAAAAAAAGCATTAAAATTATAACTTATACCTTATTATTATTAAAATTACTTTAATTAAGTTTTATTAAAAGCTATTAAATAAAATTTATAACTTTTAGCTTAATTATTTTAAAATTACTTTATTATTTATTATAAAAAAAAGCTTTAATATTTTATTAAAATAATTTAAATTTATTTTTAAACTTAATTAAGTTAAATTTTAACTTTATAAATTTTTTAATAAGTTTATTTATATTTTATAAATTTTAATTATATCTTTTAATAATATTAATATAATTAAATTTAAATAAAAATTATTAAGCTTATAAGTTTTTATTTTAAAGGTAATTTAAAGAATTAAAATTATTTTAGCTTTTTTAAAGAAAATTTAGCCTTTTTAAATTAAGTAAATTTTAATTAAAATTATTTTATATAAATAAATACTTATTTTATTTAAAATACTTAAGTTTTTAATTAATAATTTTTAATAAAGTATATTTAAAATTTAATTAAAAAATATTTCTTATTAATTTATAAATAATCCCTTTCCTTATTAATTATTTTTTTAAATATAATAAAAGCGCTTTATAAAAAAGCTAAGTTATAATAAAAGAAATATTATTTATATTATTAAGTTCTTAATTATATTTTATAATTTTCTCTTTTTATACTTTTAAGTTATTATAAAGGTTATTATAAATAATATCTTTAATAATTATAATTAAGTTTATATAATAAATTTAATTATTAAATTTATAAAAAGTAAAAAGCTTTTTTTTTTTATTTTTTAAAATAAATTATTTAATAATAATGCTTTTAATTATTTTTATTAAATTTAAAGTAATATAGCGTTATTTAAGTAATTTTAAAATTTAATTATTTAAATAAGAAAATTAATAAATAATAATTTTAAGATTATTTAAAACCTTAATAATATTAATCTTATTAAATTTTAAGATATTTAAATTATAAATTATAAATAAAGCTATTTATAATAAAATCATTATATTAATAAAAAGTAAAACTTTTAAAATATTAATTTAAATTCTTAATTTATTATTAATAATAAATTATAAAGTTTAATTAAAGTAAGGTTAATGCTTTAATTAATAATAAGTAAAATTAAATTTCCTTTTTTTCTTAATAAATTTCTTAAGATTCTTTTTTTAACTTTAAATAAAAAAAGATAAATAATTTTTAAGGTTTAAAAATACTTTTAAAATAAAAGTAAGTTTAAAAAGACTTTAAGCTTAAAAGTATAATATATATATTATAATAGTTTTTATTAAAATAATAATAAAATAAAGAAACTTAAAAATAATAATATCTTTAATTAAAATAATTACTTTTAAGGAATTTATTTTTAATATTATTATAAAATATTTAAATTAAAGTTTAAAAAATAAAGGTATTAATAAATATAATAAATAAAATAAATTTAATAAAAAAATATTTTATTAAAAAATAAAAATTATAAAGCTATAATAAAGAAAGCCTTTTAAATTTATATTTAATGCCTTGCTTATTAATATTATATTAAACTCTTAATAAATTAAATTTAAATTTAATTAAAGCTTAAGCAAAGTTATACTTTAAATTTAAGTTTTTTATATAATTTAATTAATATAAAAATATATAATATAATGCTATTTATTAAATTTATAAGTAAATAAAATAAGCATTTTAATTCTATATTATAGCTTTTTTTACTTTAAGCTTAAGGTTATAATAATAATAATAAATATTAATTAAAAATTTAAAGCATTTTTAATTAATATTAAGTAATATTTATAAAGTTTAAATTTATTATTTTAATTTTAAATTTATATTATCGCTATATTTTAAATATAATTTTTAATAAAAAACTTAAAATAAGTTTAAAGCTTAATAATATATTAATATATAATTAAGGTAATATTTTATTTAAATATTAAAAGTATAAAAGATATCTTAAAATTAAAAAATAGTTTTAAGATACTTATAATATTATTATAAATTTAATTATATTTAATTCTTCTTTATAATAAATTAAAAATAAATATAAGCTTTAATTAAAGCTTTAAGTTAATATATAAAATAATTTAGCAATATTTAATATAAAAATAAAAAAAATAAAATTAATAAATAATTAACTTATAGCTAACTTTTTATTTTTCTTATTATTAATTAAAAATATATAAGATTAAAATTATACCTAAGTTAAGTTATTAATAAAAATAAGCTATTTAAATAATAAAAAATAAGTTTTATTAAACCCTTTTAAGAATAACTTAAGGAGAAGCTTTAATATAATAAAGAAAGAAAATAGGAATAAAAGGGAATTAAAGAAAGGAAAAAGATAAATATTTTAAAAATTCTTAAAAATAAGAAAAGCTTAATTAAAGCATTAAATATATAAGAAAAGAAAAGAATTAATTTCTTAAAAGAATGTTTAGAATGAATGTAAAAGCTAGCTTTTTATAACCAGCCGGAATTTAACGCAATACCATTTCTCACGTAATTCCCTATACCTGCCAACAATACTTAAAAACTTTAATAAAATAATATTTATATTTATTTTTAATAATATTATAAGAATTAAAAGATTTAAATTAATTACTTTAATACTTATTAAGCTATAAAAGAGGGTTTTTTTAACTCTTAAAGCATTTTAAGAGATGCAGGTTGCTTTTGCTAATTATAACCTATAAAAATACTTAATTATAACTTAATAATTACTCTTTAGGAAGGTTTAAAAAGGATATAATAAGAAAGATTGGTAATTAATAATGCTTTTGCAAAAGAATTAAGTCTTTAAAGATAAATTAGCAGCTATAGTACCTTAAAAGAAAAGGAAGGTTAAAACAAGCTTAAACTTTATATTTATTAAAATTAAGTATATATATAGGGCGTAAATTAACGTTAACGTAATTAAGGATGATTTAGCAAAAATAAATGCTTTTAAAAATATTATAAATATAAAGGAATATATCGTTATAGGTAGTAATAATAATTTAGAGTAACTTTAATTAAAGGGGTAATGTGGCGAGGAGGATCGTTTTAGTGGGCCGAATTAGGGGGTGGGCCGAATGTGCAGACCCTGACTTACTTGAAAGGCTAGGGCCTTCCGAGATTAAAACAAGGCAGGATATCATGAGCCACTTAGAAGAGATGAAGGAATGGAAATTGAATGGACGCCAAATTCGAAACATCTTGAGGATGGCTCAATTGATCGCATTCACCGAAGAAGGAAGGCGCGGAACTATGCGCTTCAGGCACATTGAGAAAATGATGAACCAGACGTTGAATTTTGAGGAATATTTCGAAGAGGGCCACAAGGAGGCACGATCGCAGCTGAGGAGTGTGGATAGAACGTTCCGCGAAAATAGGGCCGGACAAGTTCAGTTGAGCCATGGTGGCAGGCCTACAAGCAGCTACGGTTCCATTCTTGGCTAGGGCAAGAGGAGCGATCGGCTCAATGGGTATCATCAAGACGGAGGAGTGAGTTAAAGGCGACAGATTTGATTGGAGAAGGATAGAGCTCGATGTCTCCGGAGCTAAACACACGGTGATGCTATTTTGGCGACGAGTACCTCGCAGTGGTGCGACTCCAGGCCTCATTCCCACTCATTTGAAGCTCTAAACCCTTGATGTGTGTTGTCAAGGCCTCCGCATTGTTCTGTTCCATCATCTCCTGCTCCATGACCTCGTGCATCGACTCCCATTCACGCAAAAGGGTGTAGAGCACACGTTTGGCAGCCGCCGGAGGGACATTAGCAGCTTTGGCTAGTGTCTGGACAGCCGAGCAAAGCACACCACCCTCGGGGTGAAGTGTCTCTGCGGCGAGTACCTCCTTCTCGTAACTCCAGATATCGTTCATGACGGAAATGTGCTTGGCACAGTTCTGGTAGAGAGGTCGCAGGAGGTCTAGTTCTTCTACCGTAGCACGAAGGCCCATCGAAAAGCGCATCAGAGCGCTAAGGAAGCTTTGCAAAGTCAACATCGGCCATCGCATAGTATCGAGAAACTTGTGGACTTACGCTCCGCCGACGTCCGCCTCTCGGTATTCCAGATACGCTCTGACGTCCATGTCTTTCAAGCGTTCCACATCGGTCTGAGCCCTCATGAAGCTGAAGCATGGCTCGAGTATATCGTCAGCCAGGGGCCGGTCGTGAGCCCTCATAGCCTCCCAAAGGTCGTAGAGGATGTACTCGGCAGGCACATTTCGGTCAGGAGCGACATCCCCACGACAAATGGGCATTAGTCTCTCATTGTAGGCCCTACCTTCGTCAAGAGACATGTGCTCCAGTAAGTCTTCCAATCAGAATCACCCAGTCAGCAACAGGGTACCATGGGGCTGAGTAATGGTATCAGGGCAATGTGGCACAAACACTCACCGTCGATGAGGAAAAGAACGGTCAACAGCCGGCAGGCGAAGTGAATGCGATCGTCCAACGCCCTTGGGACATAGAAGCAAGTGACACGCGGGAAGCCCGAGTCCACGAATTTCTGGCGCGCCTTCTCGTCGCGGAACGGCCAGTGCTGCAGGAAATACCCGTTCACTTCAGCTGTGACCTCCCGCTCACGAGAGTGGCACTCGGCTGTCCAGCGTGGGTCTGGATATCCAGGAACGCCACTGATGGCCTGTGGCAGTATCTTCGTCGTTTCAGATGGCGCCATTTGCAACGAAGCTAGCTCCTGGACCAGGAAGGAGAACAGATGCAAGAGAGGCGAGTGGAAGGGTCAAGGATAGACTCGACTTGCGGCTTTCTTCTCGCTGACGCGAGGATCTGGGCACTCATATGAGGCGATTGCTCACCGACTCATCAATGCAGACTTCCCGATCGGGTATCTCCCGGGAAATGTCATGGTGTATGTACGCAGTGCGGTCCAGCACACCTGTCCAGCTCACCGAATACTGCTGACCACAAAACAATTGGACGCGAAACGAGCACGGTTTTCCACCAATACCACAGTGGGATTCGCTGCTTGAATCCGTGAGATTTTGGGACCTGGAATGATTATGGACCACTCGCACTATATTCTCATTGTCCTGATAGGGTCTGATCGTGTTGTTGTGTCAGTAATACCGAGCAAGAAAAAGTCCCCTCAGGTGCTGATTTCATGCATAGATCCGGAGGTTTCTGTTCGGTCTTTGTGCTTGGCACGAGAGGCTGCGAAAAAATCCTACCAACATGCTAGGATGGGACTACGAGAGGTACGAGGGGACTTCGGTGGTATTCTCATGAGCAATGTTATTTGACAGCCTGACCAAGTGATCGAGAACGGTGTCACCGACCTACAAAGTCGCTTCGAGCAGGATGATGGAGACGAGGATTGTTGGGCTGGCCCGCGGGATCACGCTTACTTGGATGGGCGGTAGGACAGCAAGTTTGGGTCTGGGAAGATAGTCCATTGTCTGTTGGGTTGAAAGGGACAAAGAATAGAACGGTTAAGCGTCTGATTATCAAAAATCGAGCGGTGTCTTTCTGGACCAAAGCTAAGATACGAGAATGCATGCTTGAAGGTAGAGTTCGTGGGCGCGGACTAGTCCCACTACACCTGGCTGAGCACTGCCTAGGTGAAGAGAGGAGGGGCGGACATATCCGGGGTTGCGCTGCTTTAACTTGCGTGCCACGCATGGGTACTTAGGTACTTAGGACTTTACTCTGTGAGACTGATTGCTCGAAGCCAGAGGCCTGTCAAATCAGCGTAGCTGATAAGCGAAGACTGCAGGAGCGCCAAAGGCTATGCAGGCTACAGAGCAGCAGCACAACTAATACTGAATAGATGCTCAGCGCAGACGCAGCTACCATGTGAAAAGCGTGCCAGCATCTGAGTGGGTTATTTGAGCTTTAGGGTATGATCAGCTAAAAAGGACACAGTATAGTATGGTAATTACATGAAAGAACTGAGATTAGCGGAGACTATCCATGGAAATTGTCAACGAGCCTGCATTCCATCTAAGGATAGAGCTGTACAAAATGGCTCCCAACACCGCCATAATAGCGGAGATGACAGCAACATTGTGCGCTGCAGCGAGGCCGTGTCTCTTAGCTAGCTCCGACTCGCGGCCAGCCCATCCTGCTGCGGTATTGGCGTGAGGAAATGGCTCATCAGGCACGGGTTTTCCCAAGAACTTGCATAATGGCGCCCACCCGTCCTCGACTGACCATTCCAAGAGCCGTTCTTTAGGTACGAGTCCACGGACCATGTTACAGTGCTCTGAAGAGACAAAGAGGTCAACTGGCATCCAGCGTATGTTCAAAGAGGAGGCGGACTGATCAGTGGAATCGAACCGAATATAGAGAGAATATTCTTTTGTCGGCATCACTTACCACGGTACACCCACTTCCCATTCCTCGCGACTCCCGTCTCCAGGTTGCCATCTAGTGCGCGGAACAGACCTGGCCACATGAACCGGACGTAGACGTGCCAGGACCAGAAAAGCTCGCGGCCCAGACACGACAATACGAGGAGGAGGAGGTTGCTGTTGTTGCGGACTAGTGTCGCCATCGCGCTCTCGTGCCTGCGACTGCTTCAGTACCAGCACGTGGAATCTTGTTGAGGCTTTGATCTTCAGGTCCTTCAAGAAAATTGTTTTCCGATATGTAGAGGCATGAAAACAAATTTGTCTGAAAATACTGACCACGCATCCAGGTCCCTTCGATAGTTCAGGACTACCTTGGCCTCGGGGTATGCTGCAATCAACTCAGCGGCGAACACAGAGGCTGCCGCGTCCGTGACAGCGACCGAGTGTCCTATCAGGGGGTCAAAATCGGCCGCCGTAAAATCGTTGTTGCCGTCAAGTGGCCCGAACCATCTGCAGAGACACCAGGAAGTCAGCACATCTCCCGTCTCTCTACAGCAAGGACCTGATCAACCGCACGCGGATGCTCCTCAGGGCTATCCGTGAATTTGAACTCACTTCTTGCGGCAGAGCTTGACCCACTGCTGGGCGTAGTTGGGCTGCTCGTAGATGATGTCCCACCCGTGGTATGTGTGATCGTAGCCCAGCGTCAGGAGCGCGTGCTGCAGCGACTCGGTCCCGGAGCGAGGCATGCCCACACAGAGCACCTCCATGGGCTTGTGGCGCTTTCGGGGCGGCGGCTCGGGCATGGAGTAGACATAATTCTCGAGGAATCGGACAGACCAGTTGTTCACGGTCGGCATGGTTGGGTGGTGTGGTTGGTTTCTTTGTTGCGAGTGTCAGGTGGGCAGATGGTGTTTCTCTTGCGTCTCGGTGAATGACGATGAATGACCGTTTGACTGCAAGTCTTGGCCGCCGGGATCGTGATCAATTGGAATCAGAGACAATCTGTTTTCACGTTGCATCTGGCCACAATACGCTCACGCGCTTGAGTGAGGGTTGACACTGAGGGGTGGCTCCAACGGTGCTTACGCATGAGCTAAGTTGCTCCACCTTCGCCGTCGCAGAGCAGACATCGGTAACTAGTCTTCTCATAGTGCTCCCCAAACGCCATTAGCTGGTTTGATAGTGGTCAGCTTGTTAGTCAGTCGGAATTAACGTAGCATATTCAAGGCCATCGTATTTCTGCTTTACATGGCCTGGAGACATTGGAGACACTAATGAAGAGGGCAGCAGCTATGGTCCAATATTGTGGGCCTGTATCAGTCTAGTTATTAGTTCTATAGGCTGATCTATTTGAATGCAGTGTATATGTGGTAAAGATCGTAAGTGGCAACACCTTGCCTCCAACCAGGGCCCGGTATCCCCTCAGGCAAAACTCGTGTACTACCAATCCTCAGACCGTTTCCCGAACGACCAAAGTTGGACCCAGCCACGCTTCTCCTGGGGATGATCCTCCTCCAGAAGACCAGACCACATCCTCGAGGGCTGGGCTTAGTTGCAGGTGAAGCCGCAGCTCTCGTCGGGCTGGAGGGCAGGCTCGTTGCGGCAGACGGCGATGGTCGGGTCGTTGCCGCCGCCGAGGACGCAGCAGCCCGAGGCGCAGTTGGCGTCGCTGGTGCACTGGCCGGTCACGAACTGGGCGCCGTCGACGCCCACGTTGTCGGGCCCCTGGGCCTCGTTCGCGGTGGTGGGAGGGCACGATCCGCCCGCGGCGCCGCCTTGCGCATTGCCACCGGCGCCTCCCTGGGCGTTTCCGCCGGCTCCGCCCTGTGCGTTACCACCAGCACCGCCCTGTGCGTTACCAGCCGCTCCGCCCTGGGCGTTGCCGGCAGCTCCTGTCGCCTGGGCGTTGGAGGCGGCCGCGACTCCGGTTCCGGCGGCGTTGTTCGCGTTGCCAGCCTCACAAGGAGCAGCGATGACCCCAGTAGCGGCGAGGGCGAGGAGGGTGATAATGCGGTAGGAGACCATTTTGACTGAGGTGTGTTGGAAAAAGTTGTTTGTTTGGTGTGTGTAATACGAATTAAGGTGTTAAGCAATAGTTGGTGGACTCCGGGTCTCACGAATGAATGATTGGCTGGTTGTTGGTGTTGTTGGTGTTAGTGCTGATGAGGATGAGGAATTCAGAGTGCACAAGTGGAACGGGACACAGGCGCTTTAAATATACATGATGGTACCAGCGTTTACTGGTGTATACAATACTTCAGACCGAGAGACAAGTCGCCCTCAGTAACGACGTCATGAGGCCAACGCGGTGCAAGGCTTTGCGCGACGCAGCAAAACGTCAGAAGAGGGAATATCAAACAGGCTTGAATACTGGCCGACATTTGGGGGTTGCAAGGGGCACAGACGGAACCCGACTCGGAGGTGGCAGCAGGCCTGAAGTCGGGCCCGCAGCTTACTCTCACAAGTCTGGGCTCTTCGCTTCAAGAGGGCCCCGAATGAGGCTACTTGGAATAAGCATGTCTGACCTCTGCGAGGTCGACTTAATAGGTCGCAATGTATGTGCCGCAAAGCTTGGGGGAGGATGGCCTGATACTGGCCGGCCCTTGGCGTCAGCAGGCAGCGGGCGCAAGTGATACAGCGATCAAATCCAATTCTTCTTGCGATTTCTTGAAATTCTTGCTTATTTCATTCAAATTACTAGTCTTAAGAACCGAGGTCAATCAATTGGACTAGCTGCCTGCCGAGTTACTGCGAAGTGGTCGGCCATCATGCGGCCGTTTGGACTGCCCACGGGACATCTGGAAGCTGTCAACGTCGCAAGGACTCAGTCCGGAGCACTCTGCTACAATCCTCCCGCCAGCCTTTTGCCACTGACTGTTTTGTGCCTGGATTATTGCCCACGGAAGTCTTGTCCTTGTTTGATCCCATGCAAATGATCAAATGCAATGTGTGATTGTGGATCTCTTGATTTCATTGGTGCTGCCTTGTCAACTGCTTACAACCTGGAAGTGCATTCTCAAAAAGACAATCATCTGAGTTCAAAGAGTTTGAAGGGATTGACAGTAACACTTCAATCTCGTGGTTTGTATTTGAATTTGTATCCAAGGGCTGATTATTGACCATGGTGTTCTATCTGTATGAGACGCCCACAAGCAAAGGCCACACAACACCCAAGGCCTTTTTGCACACTCCGATTAACTGAACTTTGCTTATCTCAGGCAGGTTTCCAATGTTTAGAGTGCAGTGTCACGGAAGGATGCAGCTCAGATCTCGACTAGGGGGATGTGCACATGTAAATAAGGATGTATTATTGCATGATCAGCATAGCTCAGGCAATCGAATACGGTGACATCTAAGCCCCTTGCCTTGCCGATTCATCCTACAGCCTTATGGAACCGACACTGCTTCTAAGACTTTGAGCCCTGAGTGAAACCGATGAGGTCCAAGACAGCAAAGACCGACGAGCTAATAAGGTGGAATTTTGTGTGGTGGAAGAAATTTGAATCAAAGTATATTGCTGTTTTTATTTGGGTGAATCGGTGAATCCGTGAATCCTTCTGCTTGGCTGGGCTAGTACTCGCTTAATTGGACCAACTGTCCGAGGGAAGCGCCCGTTGAACTGGCTTGTCCAGATGCTGCTGCGCCGCTCCACTGCATTCATTAATATGAAAGAGTACATGTTCTCGGTGAGCAGCGGCCACTCGTGGAAGACAAGTTGCTTATGAGCACTTGGCAACGCCCCCTCCGACAGGAGTACATCCGTTGCCAGCTGTTACGCAAGGATGCCCCTAGGGTATGTCTCGTCAGCGAATGGCTCTCAATGGAATTTTGAGAGCAACCAACCTCTCCGCAGGGGTTGAACATCTGTCCCGCGTCTGCGCCACTGGGCACGCATCTGCCCAGGTCGCCGCTGCCTTTTGGAAGTTCGCAGTTCTATTCGAACATCTAATGTTAGCACACACACCGGTATAATTCAAGGACGATAGGTCTTACCCAGTAGCCGAAGACTGCAGGGACAAAGAAGAGGAGAGCCGAAGTAGAAAGCTTCATCTTTACTGTAATAATAATAATTGATTTACTAGGAGTTGCAATAAGATGCTTGTGTTGGTCTCTTAGATTGTTAGAGCAGATGGTCTCTATCTTCAAGCAGCGTTGGTCTAACCCCTAACCTATATATAGTGGCATGTTTCTCCTGCCAAGACTTTTGCAAAGCATGATTCATAAAGAGTGGGTACCTCGCCGTTTTACGCGTGGTGTTATTCTCCTGACAGATGTTTGGGTAGGGTTGTTGACTCATAGATCTTCAAGCTAATACAAACTGAGCTCTGTGGATAAGTTTCTGAGCGGGTCGGCCTAGGCTCACCTCTCCCAACTGCTCTTCACCCTTACTCGTGACACACATAGCCACTGCGCCTCTTTTTAAACTTTAAACTTTATTTTTTTAATATTAGCAATAATGAAGGTTTAAGTTTAAAAAGAGGTACTTACTTTTATTTAAGGAGATGTATATTTTTAGTGTAGATAAGTACTTCTTAGGCAAAGTTTTGGTGTGAAGAGACCTGCGGGTTGCTAACCCACAGATATGCCGAGCTAACAATATCAATGCTGGTCGAGTGTAGTTGTATTACCAGGTGTATGGAAGAAGACGGAACCAGGCAAGCAGCAACTGTTTCGAGCCACCACAAATTGCACTTATTTCATACCATGTTCCTGCAGCTGTCTCACAATCTTTGCCTCCTCATCTAAAAGATAATTCTGATCGCTGAAAGTTCCCGTGGTAGGGTACAACGCCTCCATCGGGACCTCGCGGACGTTGAGCTTAGGGTCTTCCTTCGCACCAACCATCATCGCCTCAATGATGTTGCCGTCGCCGTACTGAGGCTCGGTAAGCACTCGCATCATGACCGAGGCACACTGCTCCGGCGTCATGCCCAGCTCGTCGGGGCGGGCCTTATCCCCGAAGAGGGGGGTCTAGTATTACAGCCATGGTCAATATACGTGGGCCTTGTTCTACGGGATGTGGAGGTCACTCACATGCACCCTGCCCGGGCAGATGGCCGCGTTGCGGATGCCGAAATGTTTCTTCAGCACCCCCACGGACCTGACGAAGCTGGCGATGGCCGCCTTGCTCGCGAGGTAGATGGGCACGTGGAGGCTGTGAACGTAGGCCGCCAAGCTCGCAATCCAGATGATGTTCCCTTGGACGTTTCGGTTCTGCAGCCAGTAATCGATGGCGAGCTGGGCGATGCGGATGGGCGCGGCCGTGTTGACGGCGAAGGTCTTGTACTGCCCTGGGTTTGCGTCCTCGCTGTCCTGCGCCAGGGGTGAGATGCCCGGAGGGTGCCAGAAAGAAGACTCCGGGGGCTCGTAGATGCCGGCACCGTTGCATACGATATCGATCTGCGGGAATGTTTGAAGAGCGACCTTCCACAGTGAGCTTATCTGCCCCCAGTCGGCAAGGTCCACCTTTTGGAAGACTGCAGAAGGTTTCCCAGCCTCTGTGTTCGTATACTTAAGCAGGACTTCCTCGGCCTCGGGCCTCAGCTTCAAGTCAGCCAGAATCACGGAACAGCCCTTCTCTAGAAGCTGTTCTGCAAAGGCTAGGTTGATTCCTAGACGAATCTTACTTAGCAATTACTAGGATGGCGCGAGGGCGCCCGCAGTCCGACGGAAATCGGGATTTCGAACTTACCAGAGCCAGCTCCGGTGACAATGGCGTACTTGCCTTTGGTCTCGTAGCTTGACATGGTGTGGAATATTGATGATGTATTCTGGTAGCTTGTTTACTATCTGCAAATGTTGAGAGGTGTCATGAGTAAAGCGAAGGCGATAAGGACTTGAACTCCAATCATCGACTTTTGTTCAAGGGAAGGGCAAGACCTCGTCGTCTTTTTTGGAGAGAGACGCCATTTCGAAACCCCTCTTCTGTAGAAGTATCGACCCACTGCTCTTGCAGGAATTCTGTCACCTGTCTCCAATAATCCCGCTTGCTCTTGATGGTGGCTGGTCTTGCCGCCAATCGAAAACAAACTTTCTAACTAGATATGGAGAACCCGACGTGTTACAGCAGCTCATGTTTGTCCAATTGAGGCAGGTCTCTGCTAGAAGTGATGTGTTACAAAGCCACGAGACATGGCAGTGCTGCCGTTCTGAAAGTTGATCTAATACCCGGATCGCTTCTGAGGGTTCTCCGGCATAGCCATGACCAATCTGCACGTGTGGGCCCATATTATCGTAGCACGGTCATTTTTGTCTACAATCTTGTATTCACTTATAGACCACACATGCTCACAACGCCTTCTGTTTTCAATGAGCTCAGGAAGCCGACGTCCGCAGGTGCCCAATATAGTACTACCATGTACCAACTGACAAAAAAACCTCGACGTTCAAAAAGACGAGCAAATTTGTATACCCAGAAATTTCACGCTTCGTTGGCTCACTTCATATGTTTAGCTCATCACACCTAAAGCCCTCGACATCCACAGCACGTCTATTAGCAGGTGGAAGACTGAAATTATGAACATGAGACTTCACGGACATATCAAAGGACTTTCTGTCAAGGTAAAGTTCGAAATTGTGCTGAGTATCTCGGCATGTGCACAAGTGTACAAGGCCGGTACTTTATTTCTATATTTACATAGTCTGCTTCACCTCTTCCTCAGAGTTCAAGCATATGAAGCCTCCCTCCACCAATCACACCTAGAATTAGCAGCCGGGTCCTTCACCACGTCCACAAACGTCGCATTCAGGTTCAGGTCAAAAAATTCTTCGCCGTAAACAGGAAACGCGGGCAGTCCCTCGCGGTTTGGATCCCCAGTCTCCGCGAACGTCGTGAGATACCCCTGCAGGATGCCCGCCAGGGTCGCGTTCGTCACGAGGGTGCTCCACGTGCTGTTGACATAGAACGAGTAGTTGACGTCGAGCGTGTGCGTCCCGGGCGGCACGCTGAATAGGTACGAGTAAGCGGAGACACCTCCGTTCTCGACGCCTAGAGCCTCGCCGGTGAAGTATGCGTGGCACGTGAAGGTGAAATCCGCGACGGCGGTCATGAGCCGGTCGAAGGGGGTCGCCCACGGGAAGGAGGTTGTGTCGTTGTATACTGCCGGATACACCTCGGTTGACAGCTCCTTGAGGACGGCGTCGGGCATCTCGGGTAAGTAGAGCCTCATGTAGGCGTCGAAGGCCGACGAGTTGGTCACGGACGGGTCCGTGTACTTTTGGCCCTCGAAGGTGTTGTGCGCGACCATCACCTTGACGCCCTTGTGGTACTGCCCGCTCGCGAGCAGCCTCTCGGGCAGGTCTGGGACGTACGACCCGTCGGGTGCGGGCCCGAACTGGAACGTGCCGTAGAAGTCTGACGCCTGCGAGAGCTTGTTTGCGATCTGGAGGTCGTATGTGTCGAGTTCCACGAGGTCCGCTAGGCTCGAGACGTTTGCGGTCTTGAGGAAGACGGATAATGAGTCCTCAGCCTGCGAGGCATAGGGTCGCGGCACATAGGCTGGGGATTTCAGGATGGCCTGTTGGAATTGCGGAGCGTCCTCCTTGCCCCCGTGTGCGGTGAGGTGGTGGAGGATGGAGCCGCCTCCAGCGGATTCCCCCATGACCGCGACGCGAGATGCGTCTCCGCCAAAGAGGTGGATGTAGTTTTGCACCCACTCAAGCTCCTTGCGCTGGTCTTGGAATCCGACATTGGGCACTCCCCCAGCTGAAGTGAATGATTCGCCCTGGAGCCAACCCAGAGCTCCGAGCTGAAACATAATTGTTAGCCATGAGAAAATAAGAATAGCTTGAGGAAGATGAAAGAGCCCTACTCGGTAGTTCAACCCAACCCAAATCACACCCTCTCCGTCCTCATCGAAACTGCGATCTTGCAGACCCAGAGGGTTCGTCATGGGTCCACCCCATTTTGCACCGATTTGAAATCCACCACCGTGAATCCAAACCATGACGGGCCTGGAGCAGGTGCGACGTTGATTCCAAACTTGATCCGGGACCACAACGTCGGGAAACAGACAATCCTCGCTCTCCAGCTCGCCCGGAGGCGCGGTCACAAGCTTGGTGTTCTGCCAGGGAGTGTACGACTGGGGGCAGATCTTGCCATAGGTGCCATCCTGGACGCCGGCCGAGCGGTTGTTGACGGCATCTTGGGGCAGCTGGAACCGTAGTGCGTCGACTGGAGGGGCTGCGTACCGGATGTTGGAGAAGTTGTAGTACGTCCGCTCGTCCGGTGAAGTAGTGATCTGAGGCGCGTAGAGAAGCATAATCCAGATCAACGACGGGCAGCAACGCAGTCGCGTTATTATCACGGCGGACCAAACCACTGTTAGACACACTCGTCGCTCAACTGCTCGCCTTCGTAGCCCCCGGGGCACTAACGCGACGATTTGAATGAAAGCTCCACACTTGGGTCCATCAACGCGTATCTGGGTTTTGTTGGAGAACGGCCCCTTTTGTTTGTCCCGTGACTCTCAGCCGTTGAGGTCGGCCTTGGAGACCGACTGCCCGGCTATCTGGACTTGGGCCTTGAGACGCTGCTAGCGGTGAGCCGCGCCCCAAACAAGTTCTTTTAGGTGTGAATGTGTGACCTCGACGTCGGAAACTCATGTCTAAGAGCACCTATTTGAAAATTGAAAAGTAGGGCAGAGTACTTCGAAACTCGAAGCTGGCAGAGAGTGGCAAATCAAGTGATTAGGTGGATGGATGAGCAGAATAGAGTGACGGGAGATCGACACAGATCCATCGTCGTCAAGCGCCGGATAAACCGCACCTCACCAGATGTGCACATAGGGCATCAAAGAAAGTGTGCACCAAAAAACCAATGCCACCTGAGTGTTCCAACCATGCACCGCAGACTCAGTGTGGCTGGAGCTGTATACTGGCAACTGTGGGCATAAGTCGTTCAATTCGAGTGCGGACAGGAGAACGCCGGAGCAGTTGGAGGGCCGCGACTCGGACGAGTATGTGCTGGGGAGTATGCGAGCCGGAGCCATCTGGACGAAGACCGAGGTCGAGGTCCATAGCATTGACGGATGCAGGATGTAAATGCAGTCGAGAGAGGGCCGTAATATGAAAATTTGTTCTCATGTGAATCTATGATTGTTTATTCAAGTCCATATACTCCTCTCCCCCCACAGTGCTGTGACCCATTTGACAAGAGGCTGATGATATTGACCGCCCGATGAGGAGTGTGACCCAATTACATTCCGGAACCCTTCCGGTTCCGAGTCCTTGCCTACCGTCTATACTATATAACTCCGAGAACCTATGTGCTATATACATTTGTGTGTGACTGCCAGAGTCCGGCCAGTATCTGGCTGCGGCAGAGATACCTCAACTTTCCTTGAGGTCATTGCTGTTTTCTGACTCCCCTCTGCAGGCATTCTGCATGCCCAGTGATCTCAGCCTCTGCGAAAGCAGTCCCTCAGCGATGGCAGCACCGGTGCTACTACCGGGATAGTGGTTGCCGCCCCCCACGTATCCGCCAATGTCACCCTTAGCAAAGCTCAGAGGAGTCATCGTGGGAGGAGCATCGACAGGCACCGATGTTGGGGCGAGCACTTGACCGCCGGACAGACCCGTGCCAATAGGTCGCCCCAGGGACAGACCTCTATCCTGAAAGCTCGAGGCCCTTGCCCGAAGCAGGGACAAACTTGGCATGGGCTCGCTCGGGTCGAAAGGCGGGAGCTGCTGGCCGAAGGAGAAGCCGGAGCTCCTCCTCCTGAACGCCTTCTCGGCTGCCAGGCTTGCCCCTGGCCCTGTTGTCTGCGTTACCGGCTGGTGCATAACCCTGACAGGTTTGTAAGGTGTGAATTTTGGCTCGGGGAGGGTGATCTCATTCCGAAGCTTTTCCTTGCCATCTGGCACGCGGTTGGCAAAGACCACCCTGATGCTTTTGTAGAGGTAAAACCGGCCTTTCGCAGGGCAGCAGATGTGCAGATGGACGAGGTACCGCAGGGTTGGTCTGTCGTTGGTTGATGGCAGGTTCTCAACAATAGGGCCACCGGCAGAATAACACCGCTGGCGGATGAACGTCTTTGTGCCCGGCTCCATGCCCTCGAGGTCATACGGCACGAGAAAGAGTTTCACAGCCGTTTTGTTCTGGTTTTTAATGATGATCTGGACCTGGCCCTTCTCTGGGATACGATAGCTCCCTCCGGGCGGTGCTTTCGGAGACGTTGACCTCCGCTTCAGCTTGGTCGCTTTCCGTGGGTCGAAACTGGCTACATCCCCGCCAGAGTTGATATCGGTCATCGCGATGTCCTCGTCCCCATCCAGCCGTTGTTGAGTAGCTGCCGAGATGCTTCTTTGATGAGACTTACGTCTCTGTCTTGAAGTCTCCTCTGGATTTGAGAGCCCATTCTCCAGGTCGATCTGTCCAACATAGGGGCTAGGCCCATCATCGCTCTTGGACCGCCCGTGAGGTGTGTTCACGTAGCTATAAAAGACGGCAGGAAAGGGCAAAGTGACATGTGCCGGACAACGCAGACTGCTTTTGCAATTTCCCAGACCCAAAACGCCAATTTGGGCCATGAAATCCAGAGGTTTCGAAGGCGTGGTGGACATGCGGCCTCGGAGGATGCTCTCCTCGTACGATCCGACCATGGAGGTCTGGTGTAAAGGTGAAGACGATTCCAGGCCCAATGAGGGACGCCTCGAGAATGCCGAGCTTTGTGGTGATGTTCCCCCTAATGAGAAGCTGGGTGTGGACGTGAGAGATCTCCTCGGCTGGTGGGCTTGGTAGGTCTGAGCCGACTCGCGGTGTATACCAGGTATCCTTTGTGCAGTGGTGGGGACATTCTGGTGTGAATACAGGCCGCTCAGCGTCTGGCGTCGAGAAATTCTGCTGGGGGTAGGCGGGTCCAAGTCTATGTGACTTATGGGCATGGACAGGTTCAGATCATCGTTGCTCTCAGACTGGACGAGGGGGCTCGTAGGATGCTTGTACGCGAAACTGGAGGATATAGACGAGGATACAGAGGGTGGCGAGGCCCGGAAACCATCTGGCGGATCGGCAAACGGTATTCTTCTCTCGAATTTGAACGGAGTGAAGTCTCGCGGAGGTGACGTCGCAAAACGGGAGTGATGTTCCCGGTAGAAACCCTCTGAGTTCGGCACTATTCTCACGCCCTCCTTTCCAACCTCGTTATGACGAGACGAAGACGCATGTTGGGTGAAGTCGCCGCTGTGAAGAGCCGACCTAGGTCTCTCTATTGCAAGACCTTGCTGCATACGCTCCAGATCTTCCGCCTCTTGAGTCTGCGAGCCTAACCTGTCCTTCGTAGGGGGTGAAAGTGTGGCGGATTCGCTGGGAGTTGGTTGCGGGCTGGTCGGCTGTTCTCGAGAGGCACTGCGGCGGAAGAGAGACTCGAGCTGAGTGGGAACGTTAGGCAAGCTGCCGGCGCAGGAGACAGGCGAGGCCCAGGCACTTACATGGCGTTTGGGGCTCCACGTAGGACTCTCGCCCCTCTTCAGCCGCTCAATCAGCTCGATGCGGTCGGACGTAGTGTTGGCGGACAGGCCGGGCGTTGGGGACGACGGTCCTGAAGTGTCTGGCACAGGCCCCTCGCAGAGTTCTGTTCGGATGCTCTCCTCGGATAGCTGGCGGCTCAAGGACATGGGGTGGGACTGGTTACGCAGAGGAATATGTAGTGGGACCGGCTGGGCCACTGGAGACTCGGAATGAGGCGCTGAAACGTCATCTTCGTCGAGGTTCTCCCGGAATATGGGCATCTTGGTGCGTCTATCTCTGCTGCAGCTGATCGAGGACCTCGTTGTCTTGGGGATGCCGGGGATGCAGGGCAGCGAAAGGTGAGAAGTTGACCACCCGAGGTCCTTTTCAGAACCTTGGGTGGCTTGGGGAGAGAGGTTGAAAGGTTGAGAGGTTGAGAGGCGGTCGTCACAACGGGCCTGGTCGGTCGGTCATTAGGGATATCCACTGCCGTAGGGACGGGTGACCGGGTTGAGGATCCAACTCTGCAGGACCTGCCTCCAACAAGACGGCGTTTCTTTTTTTGGCTGTCCTGACGCACGGCCGAGGCGGGGAGGTTGGTGGCATGGGAATCAGATGCTTGAGACGCCACGGGACTCGAGGACAAGGCGAGCCTCTGGGTCAAAGCCGAATGTCTGCCGGCTCTTATCGTGAACGGAGACAGACGGTCACGCGCACAGCATCAACGGGAGGCCGCAGGCAGTAATTGTGACACAGCGGGTGAGTGCAGGTTCGTCGGCTCAGCCGCAAGTGAGTGAACCTATGAGACAGACTGAGGGGTGCCGTGCTGGATATGTATGTACAGTAAAGTGCAGTATGCGAGGTTGACGAGGTGCGCTGGGCATCTGTGAGTCAAATGATGTGACGAAGACATGTCGTCTTGGGTTGACGTCCAAGGACATGGGCCATTGGGTGGCCCCGGAAGCGGAGTCGAACTGAACCTTGGCAGCCCTGGCGCGATGATGCTGCTTTCCCTGCCGTGTCTCTAGCGTGCCCGGTACAGGGGCCCGGAGGGGCCAGAGAGGGCCCATGCTTCAGCTAAAGGGCCCCTTGTCCCCCGGCCTGGCTGGATGGAACAAGATCCACTCCACTGGTCCACGGGCCCACAGGTCACGGTGACAGCGACGCACCTTCCCTCATCTGGATGGCTGCGCCGCTGCCCGCTCTCCCTCTCATGCGAGCTCTTCCGGGACTGCGAACCTTAGCCGCGGTACACAGTCAGCGTCTCCCTCATCCACAGCCAGCCATTCCATCTCGCATGATGTGGGATTGAAACGAAACTTATTAATGGAACACTAAACACTCAACCAACGCAACATGGTCCAACATGTCCGTGATGCCCCATGTCCAATTGCTCGCCCCAGAAAGTTCAGATATTCGGATGGTTTTTCCTGCACGGCACTTTGACTCGTGTACCCTAACCCGGCCAAGATCCTTCACCAGCCAACCTCCAAGGACTGAATTGCTTGGAGATGTGCCATGCATCTCTCCTTGAACAACTCGGACGCTCGCTACAGTTGTAATGTCACACGATGCGGTCCATACCAGAAGCTGCAATGCTCTCATGTTCAATGAATTTCCTCGAGAGTGTCCTGAGGAAATAGATTCGAGATCATCCTCAGTTCCTTCAATTTAATGGCTGAGATACCCACCGTAGAAAGACTTGCCAGGTCTTAGGTCTTGCTTAGGTCTACAATCTAGCAATCCAACAGGCAGGGCAGCAGGTGCCAATTCGCTGCCTCATGCCTTCTTGCTTCGCATTACGTTTTTTGGAAGGCACATCCATTGGTCGTGGTCGATACCGACTGCCTCGGTCGACCGAGCCCGTCCTTCTCTTGTCCACCTACAAGCCTCAACCCGAGTCTGCCCATGACGCTCTCTCAGAGCCCGAGGTTGACAAACATCATGAATGCCTTCCAGTCTCTCATTACCTATTAATCACGAAACTTCATTCACTAATCTCTACATTTACTCGACGAACACGTGAGCACTCAACAGCTGCTATTCAAGCCATCCCATTCCCACGACGATGGAGTCTCCAACGAATGTGGAATCTCCAGCGACGATGGAATCTTCAACGACGATGGAATCTTCAACGACGATGGGATCTCGATCCCCATCAACGGAATATTCACTGGCGACGGAATCGTCACTGGCGACGGAATCGTCAATGGAGACGGGATCTTCAACGATGACGGAAACTCCATCTATTATGGCCATCGAGCGTCCTACGCTCCTGGCAGAATCCCGGGCACAAGGTCGATATTGCGTCTTCTTCGGCGACGATGAATCCCAGTTTCACGTCTATCTTGTCTGCCCAGGCAACGGGGTTTACCGCTTCAAACTTGTCAAGCTACACGTCAAGTTGTCAGCCCAGTTTCCTGAGGATCCCCCGAAAGTCAGGTTTCTTCCCACCACACGGCATCAGATCCACCCTGCTTTCTTCGTCAGCGGAAGGTTGTGCCTCAGTCTCCTGGGGTACGTAAACTTTAGCTGCTCCTCATTTCCGTCTTGTCCCGTTCTGTGCCCTGCTCGCAGCCTTCACTCAACTTTTTCCACTCCGCGGGTCCCGTACAGCCTGGCCTTCGGCTACTAACGTTCTCAACAAACAGAGACTTCGGCCACGAAAATTGGAAGCACCATGTTAAGAATTCTGAGCCTGGATGGATTTGCGTACGTCAATTTCTTGCCACCCTCCGCAGCTCCGGGACATGATGGCCTGCGGGAATGAAACTTGGCTTTACTCACTTGAAGAACAACATCCGATGGGAAAGCTAACTCCCATATCCACAGAATGACATGCTCCTGCACATATGGGAGCTACTGGACGACAAGCCGTTCAGGCGCGAGCCCTGGCGCGAAGATAGGCCCGAACTCAATCACTTTGTGCAATACGTCACGTGGGATGCCCTGCTCCTCAGGTACATAGCCAGCGAGACGCAGGTCGAGGCCTTGGCCTGGCTTAGGGAACACGTCCGAGTACACGGCGTGGAAATGCTAAATGAGCTGTTGAGGCAGCGAGCTGCGTATCCCGGCCGAAAGTATTTCATCAATCCGTCCAACCAAAGAATCCCAGCAGACTACCTGGCCCTGGTCAAGGAGCTAGGAGAGGTGGTCTCGAGGGCCCGGCTACCCCCACGGTCGTTGTCACCTCCCGCAGGAGTTGTCAGCAGCGACCTTGAGGAGATTGACGAGGCTGCCTGGACGTGGGCTGGCCGAGTGTCGCTGAAATGGACTCTGGCGTTCTCAGGGCATCCTCACCAACACTTTTAGGGACAACAGTATTGGACTGAACCGGGCCCTGGAGTCCTGGACATTAGGGATCCGGGGGGCAGGAGCACATGATTGGAAGCTAATGGGTTTAGGGAGGGATTCGCGGCCTCTTTTTTGAAGAGCGGTGGTCTTTATCGTCTCAGGATACAGTGATGCAGTTTTGGGCACACAAGCGAGCTGCGTTTGCTAAATATGACACGGTGTTGCCGAAGGGGCAACACCAACAGCGTGGAAATCATGGTTGAAAGTATCGGTCAGATTGAGGCGAATCAGGAAGCAACGGAGCGACGGTGGCCACACTTGGTGGCAATTTCGAAGGTCGGTGTTTATTAAGGGGTAAAAGTATTCCCATCGGAGACAATATGACGTGAGGTTCCCGCACCTAAACACCCATACGCGCTCCTTCGCACGGGATGTCCGAATTGATAATAATTGTCCCGTTAGGAGAGGAAAGTGAGCCACTGAGAATGTATTTTCAAGGCGGCGCAACGCTGATAACTACAGGACAATGATAATATCAAACTTGGAATGAGGATCACCGTGATATCACTGCAACAGCTATTCTGCAATCTACGTAAATATGGCATTACAACGCGCCCTTGTGGCCATCGTCCTGGATCTTGAGGACTTGTTGGATATTTCCCGGCTGTACTCTCTCCCACTGGCTTCCAAGGCCCTTCTCCCTCTCCCGCTGATCCTCGCGCCGGAACCATTCCTCCACGGTTCTAATCCGGCCAGGATGGATTTTGTCGAGTAAGGCGTAGTCCTTCCTGTACACGCCGTTGTTGTCAGGAGAATACCGAAAGAGATTCCACCAGCCCGTGAAGTTCTGGCGGAAGTTCATCGTAGCCGGATCGCTTGGGTCGGCATTGTAGCCAGCAGGCAGCTCGGCCAAGGCCTGGCCGGAGAAATACTCGTCGAAGCTGACGTCGACATAGCGAGCCTTCTTCCCGGTAACATTTTCGAACGCGGCCGCAAGCTCCGTGTTAAGTGGTGTGACTTATCACGATGTCAAGGTTCATCCCGTGGGCGCTCTCGTGGTTCTCAAACAGCCACTTGACGTAGTGGCCACACTCTTCCAGAGCAACTTGCGGTATAGCGCCGTCTCCCAGCGGCACCTTCCATGTCACGACGCCGTCTTCCACGGTAGGGGAAAGCGGCGTCTCGGCGCCGATCGTCATCTCCGTGTACGGGCCTGTCGAGAAGAGAGCCGCGCTCATGCCGTGTTTCCGGCGGACCTCGACGTTCTGGCTGAGTATGAATTCGGCGACGCGGCCCTTTGCGTCAATATGGCCGCATCGGAATTCGGGCCGGAATCCAGATACCTTGTATGAGTAGACAAGGCTGCTGAAGACAAAGAATTTTACGCCTTCCTCGATTGCAAGCTTGTATGCCCGCATTGACCTGTAAATCTCGGTCTTTTCTCCACAATTGAGGCCGTCAATGTTCACGAAGGCGCCCTGATTGAGCTCAGTACTGCGGATGATGATAATGCCCCGGCGGCGCGTCTCAGGAACGGATCCACAAGCGAAGTCTTCGACGAGGGGAGCTCTCGCTCCTGTCTCATGGATGGTTCACACAACTGGGACGATCCTAAGGTGCAATTTATACACCGCTCCGTCCCTGAAACTTGTGGAAAGAAGAGGTATGGAATACAATTCGTGCCCAGACGGACCACCTAGGTTTCAATCCATTGGTCGCAACCCTGCGAAGTCTGGTCATGCAGGCCAAAAAATGTCCGTATGGATACCAGTTCAAAGAAACCCGAGCTGGGAACATCGAGCCGTGGCACTTGGTGGGCGTCGCGCTCGAAGTCGCATACCATCTGGAACAAGGGCAAGGAACAGAGCAGATGGACTTGTTGGACGCTTTGGAAACAACGCTGACTACAAGATGTGGACCGGAATGGTGCGATACATACTTCGAGGACTATTTCAAAAAGGTTCCATGGCACGACCATTTTTTCGCGTTCACTGTTCGTCATGGCTTGTGGCGCTGCGTCCAGGCTCGACTTCAGACACGCGGTCGGGAATCCACGCAGAAACGTGGCCGACCACTTGAGCATTGCTGGACTATGCTTGCAGGCCAACACCAGAATGTGATCATTGGCGGAGAGGCACAGACGTGCGAATCGTGGAGGCTCTTTTGAAAAATGGTGCCGATCCCAACCTCAAGTTCAACGGATTCACTCCCTGGCAAAAATGCTTGGTACACGGCATGGGGCTATGTTCCAGTGAGCCAGTTGCTACCGGTTCTTGACATTTTGCTAGAGTACGGCGCAGACTCGAACGCCTACGTCGAAAACAACGTCAGGCTGTCCAAACGCAAATGGCAAAAGAGTCGCCATACAGTGCTTCTGGTAGCTTCTGATGACCCTGGCTCTTATGCTGACTGTGGCTCTGATGATGACAGTGGCTATTATGCAGAAACGCGAGCTGAGCAAGAGAGACTGGACAAATTCATCGGAGTGTTGAAAAAGAGAGGCGGAAAGACCAAGGAGTGGAGGGAGGAGACTAAGGTTTTTGTGCGCCATGCGATTTTGGGCGGTCTTCAAGCACAGAAGTTGTGCACAATACTCTAAATAGGCTTGACGGTATGAATCTTCTCTGGCGGGCAATATGTTCATTCCTAGCCAACCGTGAACCGCGATCAAGGACCTCCTCTAGATACCCTGGGGTAGGTATAATGCTCACCCTCTGACAACCAAGCGAGGATAGACAAGGATTGCTTATCTCGTCCTATCTTATCGATCTATGCCCAATCATATCGAGCCTCCAGACCCACCAAGCTAGCGGGGCTTGCCTTACCGCTTGCTGTTTTCAGAGCTTCTTCCCTTCGCCGCCAAAATTTCCACCAGCAGAATCTCGAGAAAGTCAACCCCGACTCGAACCAGCCGGACGAGCACCTCGAGACATTGTAACCGCGTCGAGCACATCCAAGCCTGTCTTGGTAGGCAATTACCGCCATGGGTCGCCGGCCTAACCAGGTGATCCAGCAGTACTTCCAGCGGGGACCTAAGCTGGCAGACAATTCCAATAGGTGAGCACCGCTGCCCGTGCCCTCGCGATCTCCTCGAGCACTCACCGCCGACGCCTGAGGTCTACCATTTGGGGCCTCTTGGCCTCGGCACTTACAACCTGGCTCCTCGAGTATATCGACTGACTGTTATGCCTACAGATATCCCCAGACTTGCAAACTCTGCGGCGAAAACTTCCCCAAGGGCCGAATCGACAGCCTGACCACCCATTTGACGAAGCGATGCCCCGCCATATCCGAACAAGACCGCATTAATGCCTGCCTCATGCTTAATGGCATCTCAGCATCTCGGACCCCTCGAACGCTGCAAGCCCGGCAGCAGCAGCAACAAGTCCAGCAGCATTCAGGCCCGCAGTTAGAGCTTCCCTTGATGCAGCCTCATCAGAATTGGACACCGTTGGAGACTCTGGCAGAGGTATCTAGGAGGCAAATCGACCACCTGAACGAGTACGGAGGCGAACAACCCCATACACAACATGGGGCGCACGAACCTTTCCCGGGTGCTTTTGCCTTGTCAGGCTCCACTGCACTTGAGCGTGCCGAGATTCAGGAACAGTTCACCGTAGATGACCATTCGTCCCCATATAACGAGCATCAGCCATCTGAAGGGCCAGGTGCGTGTACCCTGAAAATGCTCACAGAAGCTTTACGTGACAGAATCTGACATTGTTTACAGCTAAGGAAGGCCCGGGTGGCCAACCGAGCATGACAGAGCACATCCAGGATCCACATGAGCACAGCACAACGCCCACTGAAACTCCCAATTTGACTGTCGCTGCGGCGGCAACCGCCAGGCTGAACAATGCAATGTTGGACCCTACACTATTCCTCAATCACAACCTCGGCGAAGATCTCGCAAGGGCTATAGAGACTGTCCAGGATACGGAAGCCGCTCCAGGCCCTGCACCAGTCGCCGTTGCTTCCGAAGAACACGCCCCGCCTGCGACCCCCGATCATGTCTCACCACCTCCAGCACCTGCTCCACCTCCAGCTTCGCAGCCTGGATCGCAGCAACCCTGGGGTGAGATCACGTACATGGCGAGCACACCACTTGCCCCGCCATCTGCCGCCAACCATCCATTGCACGGAGTTCCCATGTCTAGCAGATCGGTTTTCCGGGTGGATCAGAATGGCTCAAAGTCAAGACATTCCCGGGCGCGCTTCGATGAGCAGCGCAGAAAAGAGGTTCAGCAGGTTCGGAAGATTGGTGCATGCATCCGCTGCAGGATTTTAAGGAAGACCTGCTCCCAAGGCGATCCTTGTGACACCTGCCGCAAGGTGCTCTCCCCCAGGATTTGGCGATCTGGGTGTGTCCGCACAAAGTTCACTGATGAACTCAATCTCTACGATGCTGGCGTCCAGATCGTACATTCGCAAAAGCAGATCAATGGTTTCAAGTCGACACTGAACTTGGACCATCCTCCTGTGGTGCTCGAAGCCTCGCATTTCCCGGGAGAGGGTTCCGCGATCCTGGTCGAGACTCTCCGCGGGACCAAGCCCAAGGAGCCAGGCGCTGAACTTGCGGAAGACGAGCGCTGGGCAACGCCACAGATCGTGATGATCAATGACCAAGAGGAACTGTCTGGCAAAATGGAGGCTTATGTCAGAGATCAGCTGCCTGTATTTGCGCAAAAGGAGCGGGCGTCATTCTCACGCATCACTGTGGAGACAGCTCTCCAGATTGCCCGCGATGCCGACGATAGAAATCTGAGGCTGGCGCTTGAACTCTGGGGATTCGTGGAAGTGATCGACCGGGAGCTTAAGTGGAATCTCGAAATTTGTCCGTCCCCGGTCGCTCAACTTGCGGGAAAGTCTATCACACAGGAAACCGACGCGGAGCTCTACAAGACTATATGCCTGCAGTTGACAGCCGCTGCGGAACGGAAAGCGTCGACTACCAGCAAGAATCTGCTGACACATATGCAACGGGACCTGCAAGATGCGAGGACCAGGATTGGTCACGGCATGTTTTTCACTATACTGGTCCTGCTTATCTGTGTTGAGAAGTCGACTTGGGCGTTCAAGGCCTGGGAGGAGATGAGTAAGACCATCAACTGCTGGCCTTTGGAGAGACTTCCAAGTGACTATACCCAGCAAGGTTACAGAATATCCGAACTGTTAGGCATGCTGTTGGGCATTCGACGAGCTCTGCCAAAGACAGCAGTTCGAGAGAGCGACGGGGTTCTAATTGTCGAGGACCAAGATCCCGTTCTGCAGTCTTACTTTGAACGCATCAATTTGAGAGGTGAGCATGGCCCTCGGCCCTCGGGCTTCTTCTGGCTTTGTGCTAACAATAATTCCAGCTGCCGATGTCGTCGCACAACAACAACATGCTCCATTCTCTGCCCTGGACTCGCGTACACTCGAGCTTCATCTTTGCTCAAACTTGCTGTTGCCTTACCAAGAGGCCCATCCTGCCTCACATCAAGATCAGGGAATTGGAGGCCAGGGAAGCAGCCACGTCCCAGAACATAGCTACACTCACGAGCCCAGCCCCGGAACCCCTTCGTCGGCTCCAGTACCTGCGCTTTCTGAGACGCCCGGGTTTTCTGGAGCCTAAATGATACTAAAGTGAACGATGATGCTCGGCCAGCAGTCTCCAACCAGACCCAGACGGCCTGATATTGCTCGATTCGCTATTTTTACGGCCGGCATCGACGACGACGACGACGACTCGCAAACCCCATAGCACGACCGACCGCGAGGCGTTATGGCAATGGGAGTTATGGATACAGAAAATTGATAGACGGATCGTCTGGCCCTTCTTATAAGAGATCCGTCTCAGGCGGAAATGCTCCAGATGCCTCCCCCGATTTTATCGTACGGTAAACCATGGCTTCGGAACTCTTTTTGGCGAAACGGAATACCCTGGAGTCTACTCGGCGTTATAGACCTCAAACAGTCCAGAAAAGGCTTGTGTATGACCAAAATTGACAGAAACGTTTTTATTCCTTGCCTAAATTGTCACTCGTGGTTTGCGCCCCTCTTGTGTGACAGCTTTAGAACAGTCAGCCGGCTGCACCGCCCCGTGCTCGAGGTTTCGTACTAGACGGCCATCATCAGCGCCGCTCACAAGGAAGTCTGTCTAATCGTGCTACAGGAAGTCCATGACGGTAACAAGGATACGAGACGTAGTTCCAAAAGGGGCGGCGGTGGTGGCCCCCCGGGGGAAAGGGGTGGGGTTTGTCGCGCCAGCGAGAGAAAGCGGCTTGCACATGCAGAATCGTACGCAGGGTCAGAGTCGAGTCACTCGAGGCCATCTGCTCACCCGGGAGCAGCGCGGAGGCTCTCGCGCCAGCACGTCTCAATATCCATCGAAAAGAACACAGGCGGAAATCAATTCTCCCCATGTATACGTCTAGACGCCTTGCCATGCCACACGTGTCCCGATGCCGGGCCCGAGAAGGCCGCACCCATGTATGTATAGTCGCTACACCAAAAAGAGAAAACAAAAGAATAGCAAATAAGCCAGCCAGAGCCTCATTTATGATAAAAGAAAAAGAACGCAACGTCCAGGGTATCAAAAGCCTCAACACAACAACACAAGACACAAATCTTATACCTGCTGGCATGCTCATGCTCGCCACCGCCACCGCTGCCCTTGGTCAGGAGAAGAACTCATCCTGCGCCTTGTCCCACGGGTTCCGGTGGAACTCCTCGTCCGCGCCGTCTATGGCCGCGAACGTCGGGGTGGCCGTCGGCGAGGCCTCCTCCTCCTCGTGCGCCTCTTCCCAGGCGCGAGAGCCCTCGGCCAGCGGGCCCTCGTTCTCAACATTCTTGACCCGTCCATCGTAGCCAATACGTTCGGCCGCCTCGAGGTACTCCTCCGTGACCGTGGTGTAGTCCTCGTTGGCGGTGCCGAAACCCGACGGGGCGGTCTCGTCCTGGTGCGGGAGGGGCTCCTCCGTGGCCCTGTCCCGGTGCTGATGGTGGTCGGGGGAGTGGATGATGCCGGACGTGGGGATCGATTCCTTGCGCTTGCCCTTCTTTTTGGTCTTGGACTTGATTAGATCTGCGCTGGGCGGTCTTGAGCCTTGAGACGGGCGGGTGATTGATGGCGATGATGACGACGATCTCGGCTCGACGTTGGGTATCCGGGCAAAACTGGGTTGAGGGGTTGTCCAGAGATCTCGGGAGGGTTTGTTGGCAGTGATGACTGGGTACTAGGGGCATGTCAGTGTGTCTTTTGATCTAGGACGACTGAGGACAAATACTCACATTCCAGTCACCAAATTCCCATTTTCTTTGCCTTCTTGTACAGGTCTTCTTCACCTGGGTCGAGACTCGGCTCGTCGAAATCCAGCGTCCCATTCGTCCGCGACTGGGATCTTTCCCGACTCGACTCGCCGCCCTGCAATAGAGATGTGTGCTCGTTTATCTCGTGGGGATTCGGTAGCCAGTACTTCCCCCTGCCTCCTCTTTCGTACCGCATCCCCGCCTTCAACCTCGCCAGTCGCGACTTGGAGTCCTCGTGGGCCAGAATCTTGTCGTTGGAGTCGAACTGCCGGTACTTGTACTGGTCTCCGCTAAAGGTCTCCTTCGTGTCCTCGATTAAGTCTCGAGGACCAAAAGCATCTCGAACAGCGTACCAGACCGGAAGTCGCGCAGCAGACAGCCTGTTGTCGGCGTAATCGTGCCATGAAAACGCGTACCAGTGTGCAATAGCAAATATCGGCATCTCAATGCAGATCAGGGCGTCCTGGATGGCGGCCGCCAAATTGTCCTGGGTGTAGCCCTCAACATTGTCGGGGATCGCTCCCAGCCATACCAAAATAGACAGAGCGAAGCCTTGCCAGTAGGATGCGAAGATGATGAGCTTGATGCACAGGAATTTCGGCATAGGCCTGAAAGGCTTGAGGTCGTTGTGCATGCAAACCCAGAACAAGCCCAGCGAATACAGACTCAGCGTGACGCTGAGGTTGTAGATGATGCCGCTCCACAAGTAGCCGGAGCTGATGTCAATGTAGCCCTCCTTATATGTACCCGTGGCCTTCATCACAATGGCGGAGATACCCAAGATCGGCTTCAACCATGCGTATTGAAGAATGCCCCTCTTGATGGCCAGGAAGGTATAGGGGTCGGAGATGTCGACGGGCGAGAGGACGTGGTCCAGGGGCCACAGATGACTGACAGGGGCTCGGCCATGGGTCGTGATGATCAGGTTGCGCTCGCCGCCCAGATAGTTGATCAGGAGTTGGAAGAAGGTGTAGATGGTGAAGGCCTCGTACACGTCGCGGATCGGGTCGAGCCATTTGGCTGCTTCGAAGGATACGAGACTAACCCAGGAGGAGATGGAGATGGGCACCCTGGGAGTGCGGATCAGTCTTGGTGAGCGTCGTAGTGTATTCAGGGATGACGAGCTGTGGACTTACATGAGCAAGATGCGAACGACGTACCGCTGCAGAAGCGGTTTTCGGTAGTTCTTGCTAAGGCCATGTCAGTGTTGAGCCCCGACAGGACGCGCAGAGCTTGCTATGGCCTACGTTTGGAGCCATGTTGATCTGTCTGGGATGTTAGCTCAAGTATTCAAGGACTCGTGCGAGACGGAGGTCGGAAGGGCGTATTGGAGCATACACTATTGAGAAGAGGGTTGCAGATAGGGACGCGACACCAGCCACGACCGTGGTGGCGTAGGTGAGCTTCTGGCCAGTGCCTCCGGCCATGCTCCATGTGCTGGAGGTTTGGTGGAGAAAAGAAACGGAGATCAAGCAACAAGCAACAACCCTAAGAGGTCATCGCCGTCTTTGCCGGCGAGGATGGTGGAGGCAACAAAGTGACGAGGACACTACGTAGCCGTCGTCCCTCCTGACAGTGGCAGCGGGTCCAGCTAGTGCCTGCCGACGCGGAGGCAGGCCCATGCCAAGCCTGGAGCCACAGGGTCTTCCCCACTGATTGGACGGCTAGTTTTAGCGGCTACAACATGCGCATGACGTCTTGCAGGGCTGGAATACGCGTATTCAAATCACACTCCAGTGCAACATGGACTTGCGAGATTTTCATGGCCCGGCGGCTCGAGTCCCATTTGTGGCACACCCGACTTCCACCGGGCTCAAAGGGTTTTGGAAATTGCTTAACGGAACAAGGCATTATCATTTTGATTCGGAAGAAAAGGTGGAAGCAAGACATACAGTCCTCAAACATTCCAACACCATCTGTACAATGCCTATAGATTGCGTAGAGTCAGCACGTAATACCGACTCTTCCTCCCCAGAAGTCGTAAAGAAGGCTCGCTACAAGGGAAAGATTCAGCATCACCACACACATAATTTGCCGCTCATGAGTATGAAACTGTGTCACTACTTGGAAAAGCAACATGATCGTTTCGCACAGCCGTAATTTATAGCACCACGATGACTTAGATGCACAATGACTAGGCAGAGGTCCTTGCTGTGCAAAAACTCGTGCTTGCGTGTACCCGAGAGGTCGAAAGGATGCTCAAGTATCCACCTGTGCAGGCTCCTCAGGAACAACCGAGTATCGTCCTCGGCGGAATCTCCTATTCTGACACGGAAGTATTCCAAGCCCCGATTTTCTAATGGTTCGAGGTTGCTTGCTAGATTAATCTATCAGCAACCTCTTGGCGACATGTAGGGAATACCCACCGACAGACGGACATGAAAGGAGCTCGGTATCGCTTACAGCGTCGGGTGCCTCTTCAGACAATACACCGGCTTTGATCCGCTCAGCTCTTGCGCTGGCAACGATGTTTTTGGTATAAATTCAGTCAAGTTTCCAGTCGTCAAATTTCGTTTCTCCTGTTCTATCCAACCCAACTCATTCACAGGTCTCACTCTCGATTTTAGTCTCTCAAGCACCCAGCATTCGCTCAAACCTCAAAACGCAATTCCCTACCATCCTCGTCACCCTCGCATGCGCTGTTACCGCATTGGCTGCCCCTGCCATTGTCGAGAGACAATGCGATACTTCTGCATATCAGACTGACTGCGTCGCGTCCGGCCTTGTAAGTGACATATATATGTATATATATATATTGTCTCTGTGCTTCAACGAAAAGCTGGCCAGCCAATTAATGCTGTCGGTAGACATGGGGAGGCAATGACGACTGTTGGGGTGCTGCTCGTGTTTGCAACTGCAACTAAGCAATCTGTACGTGTAATTGGAACAAAGCAGACATGGCGACAAGATTTGCAAAATTCCGAAGGGTGGGTAGTTTTCAAGATATTATGACCAGGTTTTTACTGATTGAATTAGAAAATGAACCTGATTTTAGGCAGCTATTAAATGTACCTTAGCAGAGAAATGTACAATTTCCAACAATGGTAGAGCTAGATATCAATGCGAAAACTTTGCCACAGATGCAGACTGTTCTATCAAACATGCTGGATCCTTGGTATCAAATCACAAAACGATTTGATCATACGAAAACTTAGATGGGCATGCACTATTCAGCATCCAAATGGGAGGTAGTCAAGTGCGTACATACAAAATTGTTACAGTACGTATAGGTGCAAGCCACGGTAATGCTCTCGGCATTATAACGTCCCTCTTTTATCAGGGTGTCTAGCGCAATAGGCTTTCTTATGCCGTGACAGTTTATAATGCCTCTATAGGGGTTGTAAGTTTGAGCCCGGGCATTGCAAGAAATCTTTCGCCAAAAAAAAAAAAAAAACCAAGTGGATTTCTATAGGTGTATCTCCCCATTAGGAAGAATTAAGCAATGCCAAGACGTAGGGATAACTTAATTTATAATTTTGAAATAATGCCTTTGGATCTATTTCAGGGGGTACCTAGCGGAAAGATAGCAGCAACCTTAATGATAAACCTTAAAAGGGTGGCTACTATTATAGTATATATAAGTGCAAGCCACGGTAATGCTCTCAGCATTACAACGTCCCTCTTTTATCAGGGTGTCTAACGCATTAGGCTTTCTTGTGCCGTGATAAAAATAAATACGCGAGCGGCTGCAATTTACGGCTCGTTGCTCAGGAAGCTTTTATGAAATTCTGAGTTATATTATTTTGCGGCCATGGTCACTGTGAACATTTCATTCAATTTACTTTGATAGAACCATGAGCCGCTTCAACTCAAGTTTTCTTGGCTGTATCAATGACCATCCGCAGTTTCAATCTCGTGTCACCAGCAATTCTCATGGTGGGCATGAAAGCGTTCCTCACATTTCACCAAACAATTGATGCTCATACAATCGAACAGTCGAAGCCGTGCCCGTGGCTCACAACATCCATAGATTGAACGAGAACGCAGCACCGTCTCCATCGTTGAGGGACATAACTGCAATTTCTGTATGATTGACGAAATTTTTGGGAGGGCCGCGTCATCGCAGACCCATTTTGACTGCTCCGAGTCACAGACTTGGTCGAGAACCTGGCGGTATTTTGCGGAGGAGCGCGTGCTCACTTGGCTTCAGAGTCACCGGCGAGGGCGGCCATCACTCACAGCCTCACAGTGACAAGACGGATCTCAGAACTTGACATGATTTTTATTGATCGCAAAGTCGATGATACTGCAACAAATTATGATTTCTACGGACTATTTTTGTTTCGCAATATACGCTCAATACGTGCGTGGCTCGACGTCATCAATTAGCCGAATTTAAGCCGGAGTTAAGTAGATCTCAGCACGGACGGTACGTCACGCACAGGTGCATTCGGCCCATGCAGCTGCCAACGACCCCTGTCCATGTTCGTCCGTTCATTAACCTGGGCAATTATCTGGGGATTTGAAGCTTCACGCGACGCCTCGCTAATACCAACAAACGATTGCGCACCCCATTGATCCGCTGCGAACGTCGATCTAATCCGACAAGCTCCCTCGTTTGTGATACGCCTCCGATAATCCATCTGCGACTCGGACTGAAAAGGGCATGGCATGGAATGAGGCATGGCGAAGGTAGTCAAGTGCAGAGAAGCTTACAGGTTGGGAAGCACCGAGAGCTGCGACCACCACCGGCGCAAGCGACCGCAGCGACTTGAGAGAAGGCCTGGTTCTTTGTCGGAATCAAGATGGCCAGAAGTCCTTTGGTTGAGAGCCCCTTCGAGAACTCCCCTTTCAGCGGGTATGCCAACTCTCCCCAGGTCGCAAACTGGCGGCCCCTTTCTTGGAGGATCTGGCACTAACACCGCCTCTCGTTTAGCATCTTCCTCGCCTGGTGTCTTACCGCACTCGTACTCTCCGTCTTCTTTCTCGGATACTTCAACAGAGCGGTAGCCTCACTCGTGTCCCTCCTGCTCCGATCGTATGTTTGGAACGTGTACGGCATATACATCGACATCAAAGCCCTCCAGATCTCCTTGCTAGCCGGCCGCATATTTATCAAGGGGCTCCGATACCATGGGAACAACGAGACTATCTTTGTACACGATGCATACATAACATGGTCGTACTGGCAATGGCGAGTCCGAGATGCAGATATCGAAAGAGCGAGGGTTGGAATCCAAGATTATGCGCAAGGCAAAAACGACAAGAACTCGAAGCTGCCATGTCGGGTGAACGTCGTTATGTCTGGGCTGGAGTGGTTCATTTACAACCGCAGCGCCGCCTATGACACCGTTTTGGCCGGCTTGGTCGATGATGAAGCCTCTACCACTCCTGTCCCAAAGGAGGAGGAGCATTCCAAGCTGAGGCGGCGCGCTGAAAAGACGTCAAACGTGCCTCCCCGGGACGCCTCGCCACTGAAGTCCACCTCAAATCGAGCGGAGTCAGGAGAGAGCAGTATGAATGGCTTCGGAAAGCCCAAGGCAACCTTCCAGTCCTCGGGGTCAGACGATGACAACGCGGCGTATCAAGACAACTCTGACTCCAAAGACGAACTCCCGCTCTTGCTCCAGTTCTACCCGATCAACCTGCAATGCAACAAGGCTGCCGTGGTCATGGGCAACGAGAACACGCAGGCTATCATGATTGTCAACGCCAAGGGATTTTCAGGTGAGATCGATGCAAGTGCGACCGAAACGCCTGACCCGTACCGCCAGATCTACAAGATCAAACTCGATTCCCCTGTCATTGAGATGAGGGACAATCTAGATTACAGGGAGGATCAAGTCGACAGGGCAGTTCGAGAGAAACAAGTCGCAAAGGATTCCGCTCCTCTGCCAAAGCGCTCATTCTTCCGCCGCTACCGACGTAAAGCCTTATCTCAGCTTCGGGATCTGGTTCCCTTCTGGAGATCGTCTGTCGAGTCGTTCTCTCCGGGGGAACGCACCCCAATCGCTACTGCGGACAGACAAACGCCTGGGTCCAGCCATTGGCAAGGTCTCTCGAGATACCTGGACGACCTCGAACGGAATGAACAATTGCGATGGGCTGGTGTGGAATATGCTGCTGTGAACACGATCATGGACACGCCTGAAGCAACCATCACAATATACTGGGACACCCCGACCCTAGTTGCGCCTCGGCGGCCCGGTACAGTTGAGAAGGCAACAAGGTCCGGCGATGGTGCAAACATCAACGGTGATGATTCGCCTGCCTGGGGCATCAATTTGTCAATCAAAGGCGGCTTCGTTAACTACGGGCCGTGGGCGGATCGCCACCGTGCGGAACTACAACGGGTCTTCTTCCCGGGGCTTTGCAAAGACTCCCAACCAGCTGAGAAGCTTCCGATAGGAGCCAGCAGGGTCCCCACCCAATTCAAATTGTATGTTGAGCTCGATGACGAGGTGACTCTCCGTGTACCGATCCGAGAGGAGTCGAAGAATTGGAGGTTCAGAGGCCAGGAACCTCCCATGAGGACCGACAAGGACCGCGACAAACGCAGCACGAGAAATCGGCTCAAGCAGTCTGATCAAGGTGCCACGGGTGGTTACGAACGTCAATATGGATGGCTTGATGTTAAGATCGCAGCCAATGCTACAATATCGTACTCGATGGACATGGTCGCAAATACCCATGGGTTCTCCAGCTCACTTGACCTTGACTTCCCAAAGACCGAGATTACAAGCAGCATCAACCACGAATTGCTTTGGCGATCCGGCAAGCAGCGCATTTCCTGCGATCTCTCCACGCCTCTTAAGTGGAATGCGCTTCGCCAATGGCGGTTCGATATCACCACCGACGCACTAGAGCTGTTCATTCTCAGAGACCACATCTTCCTCTTGACCGATCTTGTCAATGACTGGTCAAGCGGACCGCCTGCCGAATACCTCGTCTTCACACCTTTCAAGTACTTCCTGGACTTGCATTTCTCGAACCTGAAGCTGTACCTCAATGTGAATGACGGCAACATCATCAACAAGCCGACAGACCCCGAGGACAACGCGTATATCATTGTCACGAGCCCCCTGCTGGAGTCGAGTACATGCATCTCACTTGACAAATTTCGGCCGTCTCGAAGCATGGTTCCCTTCGATGTCCGCGCCGAAGAGGCGTTTATCAGCTTGCACGTTCCGCCATGGAATACCCAAGCGAGCTTTGTCAAATCTATGTCCGTTGGTCATCTGGAGAATCTGGTTGTTGATGGCCAGTACCATTACAATGCTGGAACTTCCCCAGCATTGACAGACACGCTCGTTGTCAACGTGAACGGACAGTCTCCTGTAGTCCACCTCTACGGATTTGTCATTAGGTATGTCATGAAATTGAAGGACAACTACTTCGGCGACGACATGCATTTCAAGACATTGGAAGAATATCAAGAGATGCTTGATGCGAAAGAGAAAAACCCTGACGCGGAGCTCGCTGCAAAGCCGCCGTTCAAGAAGTCCAATGACATGGATGTGATGTTGAGTGTCAGACTTGATGACCCCAAGCTGTTTTTGCCTGCCAATCTTTATTCCTCGGAAAACAACGTGCAGATCGACGGGACACATCTCTCTGCAGACCTACGGTTCACGAATTACTACATGGATTTGGACTTGGTTATCAGCCCACTCCACTTATCCTTGGGACACGGCGAAAGTGGCCAAGAGACGCCTCTCAGTGCAACCACCACCACTCAGATGTTTATTGACGGCATCACCGTCTATGGACATCGTGTATTTGGATTGCCGCCAACAGAGCCGACATATCTCTGCAATTGGGACTTAGGCATTGGTGCTATTACCGGAGAGTGCACTGCTGATTTCCTCACTGCCCTTATGCGAGGAGGGAAAGCCTTTGGCCTCAGCTTTGACGACGACGAGAATGCGTTGGTCCCTAGTTCGTCAGTCATCCTGTACGATGTAACATTCCTACGCGTTGCGGTGCTGTCCGTCCGGCTGTGGCTTCACGTTGAAGAGGCCGCCTTCCTCTTCTCGACCGGCTCTATTGATGTCAACTTTAATGACTGGGCGAGATCGCACTATTCCAAACGAGCCAATGTCAAGATACCGGATATCCAGCTATCTTGTGTGAATGCCGAGTCTGCGTCCAGGCAACGATCGAGGTCCTATGATACAGTCGAGACAAACCTCTTGGTTCGAACGAGTATCCACCTGGCGAGCATAGCACGGAAGTTTGACTTCTCCAATGAGCGCAAGCTTCAGCAAGAGCTCATTAGACGTGAAGATCAGAGGAGCTTGCGGACCCCTTTCCTCCTTCAGCCGGGTCTCCTCGGCAATTTCACCCCAGAACCAATCGACCCTATGGCTCAGCCTGTGCCACCTGTACCGCAGCCAACGGGCGAGGAGGACGTGCCATACGATAAAGTCTCCTTGTTATCCAGCGGCACATCGCAACACCTTAGGGGCCTCAAGCACAAATCATCCTTCCTGAGCGTATCAAGTTCGAGCCAAAGCAGCATCAAACGACCCTTGAGCTCTCGGCAGTCTTCGCGCCATTCGAGGCTGCCGGAAGGACTCCGGCCTCTGACAGCAATCGGGCAGCAGAGCCTACACCGCAGGGATCCTTCAGCATCCACCGGTCGTCACTCGGCTTTTTACAGTGCGTACGCTGATGTTGCAGACAGAAGAGACCAGGTTCACAACACGGTGGCGTTCTCCAGTCAATACTTTGCACCATACTTCCCTCTCGAGACAGTCCAGCCAGACATCACAGAGACTCTCGAGACTAGCATCGAAACGGACGAGGAAGCCGCTGGCTCAGCCACGGCTTTCGACCTAGAGGATGTTGACCCAGCTAACATGAAAGAAGATAGCGCGTACTCGAGTCTGATGGTAGAGCTGCCCGCGGGATTAACGGCATTCCTCAATCCGATTGCTGTCAAGAGCATATCTTCGCTTATCTCTGCGCTCCAACCTTCGAATCCGGAGGACATACTCGATTCCTTGCAGGTCGATGCAATGGGCGACATTTTCTCCAAACAAAGCAAGAAGAAGATGCAAGGAAAATTCAGCGACCTAATGCTGAGGATACCCAAGGCAAATTTGAGATTCGTCAATGCGTCTGAATTGGACTCATCGGAACCACCTCAAGAGGAAGAGGACCAGTACGATGCCCACGTGAGCGACCTCGTGCTCACAACCAGGACTCAGAGCTCGTGGGAAGATCCTTTCGACTTTACCACCATCCAGGAGAAGAGCTCATTCCACGTGAGACTTGGTGTCCTCGAGCTTTCAGCAGCTGAGCGTCTCGCCTCGCACCTTGATACGCATGCAGCTGTCAAGGCACAAGTCGAGAATGTTATGATCTCCATGGGTACTAAAGATATGACATACCTCGATGGAGAAGTCGGAAGCATAACCAGCAGCATATCGTCAGAAAAGATTGAGTATCTCGCATCGCTCATTCGCCGAACGACCACACTGGCGACTGAATTGGAGAAAGTGTTCACGCCAACGCTCGCTCGCGAGGGCAGGCTCATCAAGTATTTGACTTACAAGCTTGTGAGCGAAGGACATGATGCTATTGATCCGACATTTTTGATCCGACCGTCAGCTGTCCTACGATCCGCGAAGGAGCACCTGCGAACCTACGACTCGTGGAAGCTCGTTGCCCGGTTGAGACAGATGTGGACCGCGTTGAACCCAAACAGCAAAGAGCGACTGGAGCTGGATTGCCTGGGCTCTGAATTTGAGTTTCCTGCGGACGTTCGGCAGCAGGTCGTGCACGCTTTTGAACGTTGGAGGAATTGGGATCTCAGCAGTATAACTAATTCGGAGCTCGTACAAAACATATTCGGCAAGGATGTCAGCACAAAACCACCATCGCACGACACAGATATGGCATTCCTCGCTGTCATGCGCCTCCGCGACACACAATTCGTACTCGACCCTGGTCCGAAGCAGAATGAGATCGTTTTAACGGATGTCACTGCCAGGTTCCAGGACAGGAACTTGTCGAATTCGGAGGCCAGCCCAGAATCTGGGGCCGAAGCGGCCTCCATCACAATGCTCAATGTCTACTGCGGCGAAGCTGCAATAAGACTGAACTGGGATCTGTGCGAGCTCGCCGAGGATGTTTTGAAGCTTTTCACCAGACTGCAGAGCCAGAAGGAAGCTCGAGCTGAAGAGACCGCCAAACCCTCTTCGAAGTCGGTTGGCAAGCCTCTCCATGCCGTGATGTCCATCGGCCGCGGCGAGATAGCATTCGATGCTATCAACCTCAATTCAGTATCTCTTGCTGATGGCATGAAGGCGTCTGCGCTCGTCCGACATGACTCCAAAGATGTCACTGACACGGACTTTGTCCTTAGTTGTGAGGCCTTCACATCTCGCCTACGCAGCCACACTCAAGTCATCGGTGTCTTCCAGCTGCGTGATCCGGCTGTGATTGTCTCCCACACGTTACAGGCCACAGAGACGACTGATTCCCATGTGATCAAAGCCTCGGCAAGCAGCAAAAAGCTTTCTTTTGCAATCCAGCAAGACCCAATCGGTCTGTTGGAAGTCCTCGATCTCGTGATCAGGGATGAAGCAGCGCAACTCTACCGATTGAAGAGCCATTTGCCATCTTCATCATCACCAAAGCCTAAGCAACCACAACCAAAGATCAAGGACAGGCTGTCATCGTTCAGAGTGAATCTTGCCTTGTTCCTGGATGAGTACTACATCAGCGTTCCTCTGCTGCAGTCCTTGACGTATCGTGTGTCAGGCGTTGTCGCTCGTGCTGCCATGGCCGCCAACTTTGGAAAGGAAATTATCTTTGATTTCGACGTCAAGGAGAACTCCCACGAGATTCAGATCAGAGTCAATAACAAGCCGCGGTCTCTATCACTCCTTCAAATACCCCCAACCAATGGAAGGGTGACGACTCTCATGAGCGAGGGCGAGACCCACGTCAGCACATTTGCGTCGATTGAGCTCATCCAGCTGGACGCGTCTGCAGTCTACAGCTTGCTCGGCGCCTTGAATAGGCCTGAAATATCAAGCTCGGTTGATGACATCCAAGAACAGGTGCAGCTTATCCAAAGACATATTCGTGAGACCTTCGACACTGGCCAGGGATCACCTACTCCACAGCATGATAACATGCCGACGGATGACCCAAAGACGGCCTTGGTGTATATCGCTCATGTCACCTGTGAGGGTCTCGAGATATTTGGAAACTCGCCCCTGAAGTCGGCCGCAGAGCCATTGGCCCACATTCTCTTCCACCTGGGTGGCGTTCACTTGCGAATCGGCAATCGGCCAGAGGCTCATAGGCCAATCCTGGATTTCCCAGAGGTACATGTCAACCTACGGCAGATTGAAATGGAGATCGCCAGAGGCACAGAGGCCGACGTTCGAACTTGCGGCAGGTTGGCTTTTGGCGCCCTTATCACGGCGACCTCAAAGGCTGCAGAAGATGGGTCCGAACAGAGACATTTCAACGTTGCTACCGATGGCTTTGACGTGATTCTCTCTCCAGAGACCATTTCCACGGCTGTCGACGTCCTCGGGTATATGGGTGACAAGATCAAGGACCTTGACACATCCCGCGAGCTCGAACTGCTGCGCAAGCTGAGGCAGACCAAGCCCAAGATCACCATCAACGATGAGCAAGGACAAGAAGAGACAGACTTCCTTGACTCCTTCCTCTCCACAATCAGGTACAACTTTGAGATTCGCAAAATGCAGATCTGCTGGCTTGTCCTGACTGGGAGTGAGGAGCCTGTGGAAGGCAAGGAGGACCTGGTCTTTACGTGGGACAAGATCGAGCTGGGCACGCGCACAAGAAATTCTGCCAGACTTACGATCGAGAACTTCCAGGTGCAGACGGTTCCAATCGGCCAGGACAAGAGGCTGCGGTCTGCTAACTCAGCACTGATGCCTGAGGTGGTCTTCAATGTGGCTTATGTATCCACATCGAATACTCGCCGCATGGCTTTCCAGGCTGTTGGCAAGTCTCTGAACCTGCGTCTCACATCTGGATTTGTCATCCCCGTGTCTAACGTGGCTGACTCCATCAACTTGTCCGTCAAAAATGTACGAAAGGCCTCACAACACTGGAATCCACCAAGGAGACCAAGTCAAGCAGCGGCATCAGCAGAGAAGCCAGCAGAGCCACGCAAGGCTTTGTTTGGAAACAAGAGGATGGAATCGTTCCTAGTCGACGCGGACTTCGCTGGAGCTGTCGTCTACTTAGCCGCGAAGAAGGAAGTCGACGACACTTTCCGTTCATCGAGGGCGACGCGCGCTGGTCTAGCCGGTAAATATGGGCAATTCACTGCCGACGACACCGGCAGCAGTACGGTCATGAAGTCTCCAGGTGTCGCATTCAAGGTTGAGTACAGAGATCCCGGTAACGAGGATCCCTCTCTGTATGGCGAAATCAAAATCGACGCCTCGAGCAACACGCTTTACCCATCGTTCGTCCCTCTGGTGCTAGACATGACGTCGAGCATCAAGGAAGTCCTCGCGAACGAGTCGGACAAGAACGTCGAGCCGCAGCAAGCCCTTGCTAAGACTAAGGCTGCCCAGGAGGACTACCTGCTTGATCCGAGTGCCGTCATCGGCCGACTGAAGCTGAATTTGGGTCTGCGTATCTGCAAGCAGGAGTTCACACTGAGCTGTCAACCCATCGCACGCGTGGCGGCGTCGGCTGCCTTCGACGACATGTACTTCACTGTCAATACTGTCGCCTCTGCTGACCAAGGGAATTTCTTTGCTATGTCGGGAGCCATTGCCAATCTCCACGCCTCTGTCCGCCATGTGTACTCACGGGAAGAGACAGGTCAGTTCAACGTGGACTCGATTGTCTTGTCTCTGATGAACAGCAAGCACGTTAGCGGCATCAGCGGCGTGTCGGCTATCCTGAAGTTTAGTCCTATGGAGGTTTCTGTCAACGCAAAGCAGCTCCAGGACTTCCTGCTCTTCAGGGAGATCTGGATACCGCGGGACGTCCGCCAGACTTCGACGAATCCGATGGCTAAGCTGCAGACGGAGACGTCCCAAGGACCACAGGGGCATCTGGTGCAGAGATACCAGCAGGTAGCTGCCACTGCAGCTTTCCCCTGGACGGCTACGATATCCATGTCTGCTCTGGTGATCAATGTCGATCTTGGCCAAGCAATTGGAAAGTCCAAGTTCGCCATCAACGAGTTCTGGGTTTCGTCCAAGAAATCTTCGGACTGGGAACAAAACCTTTGCCTAGGTTTTGAAAGAATAGGGGTTGACAGCCAGGGCCGCATGAGCGGTTTCGTGGCCATGCGCGACTTCAAGCTCCGAACCGCGATCCAATGGCCACAGAGAGAGCGGGCCCTGAATGAGACCCCCATGATTCAAGCTTCAGTCACGTTCAGTCAGTTCCGCATCAAGGCTGCGTTCGACTACCAGGCCTTCCTCGTCGCCGACATCACCTCAATGAAGTTCCTCATGTACAATGTCAGGAGATCACAAGGGCACCGGTGACCGGCTCGTGGCCACCTTCGACGGCGAGGCGGTACAGATATTCGGAACCACGACGTCTGCCGCACAAGGAGTCGCCCTGTACCAGGCGTTTACGAAACTCGTAGCAGAGCGCAAAGCCAGCTTCCAGACATCTCTCAAGGAGATTGAGAAGTTCATGAAGAGGAGCTCGATAGCTTCGAGCACTGCAACGATTCAGAGGCCGTCCATTTCCAAGGCTCAAGGCGATGAAGTCTTAGCGAAAGCACCCATCTCCCTCGACACCGACGTCGTGGTGACGCTCAAGGCGCTCAACCTCGGCGTCTTCCCCACCACCTTCTCTGACCACCAGGTCTTCAAGATGGAGGCGCTCAACGCACAAGCCCGCTTCGCCGCGTCGATTGACGACCGGCGCGTGCACAGCATCCTGGGTCTGACGCTGGGTCAGCTGCGGATCGGCCTGGCAGGTGTGCGGACGATCGAGGCGCCCAAGGCGCTGAGCGAGCTGACGGTCGAAGACGTGGCGGCGTCGGCGACGGGCTCGCGGGGCGGGACGATCCTCAAGGTGCCCAAGGTGGAGGCGGTGATGCAGACGTGGCAGAGCCCGCAGTCGAGGCACATCGACTACATCTTCAAGAGCGCGTTCGAGGGCAAGGTCGAGGTCGGGTGGAACTACAGCCGCATCTCGTACATCCGAGGCATGTGGGCCAACCACACGAAGACCCTCGCCCAGGCCTACGGCAGGGAGGTGGTGCTCCCGTCCGCAATCAAGGTCACGGGCGTGCTGCCCGAGCCGCAGAAGCAGGCCGGGCTGGCGCCGCCGGCGGACGAAGGTGACACTGCCACCAAAGGGAACAACAACAACAACAAGGATGCCGAAGGGGAGGAGGAGGAGAAGAAGAAGAAGGCGCAGCAGGGCAAGATCACGGCCGAGGTGGACCTCCCGCAGTCCAAGTACGAGTACAACCCGCTGGAGCCGCCCATCATCGAGACGCCGCAGCTGCGCGACATGGGCGAGGCGACGCCGCCGCTCGAGTGGATCGGCCTGCACCGCGACCGCCTGCCGAACCTGACGCACCAGATCGTCATCGTCAGCCTGCTCGAGCTGGCCGGGGAGGTGGAGGACGCGTATGGCAGGATCCTGGGGAGCTCGTGATGGTGGAGTATTGTGAAGAGACCCGGGGGGGGGGGGGGTCCAGATTGGAGTGGTCAGTCGCGCTGCATACGGATAATGGAGCGCAGATTGTTCTTTTGTTAGGAGTTGGTGGGGTTGATTCAGCCTTGAGCATAGCATGCGGGACGCAACACAGCGTGGGAAAATGGTGTTTAGCATTGTATAGCCATTTTTTAATCTAACTAATCTGATTCTGTGAGATCCCGTACCCGTTCCGCACTTTGCAACATCCGTTGCTCGGTTCTCTTTGCTCGTTACTGTCTTTGTGATAATCTTCTCCCCCGAATCGTATTCCGACCTTTTCTACGAACTGCCCTTGGGAAGACCGGACAGGGCCTGTTGTGTGTACCCGGTATCGCCAGGTATGGCCTCGAATCAACAGGTCTCGACTCCCTGGGTGATTCACCGGGTGGCTTGGAGTCTTGCTTCTCTTGCCTCCTGCCTCGTCCTGTTTTCTCCACTGTTCCCCGTTGATTTGCTGCCTAAGTGAGTCTGTGTGTGCATATTGTCTCAATGCCTTTTCTTCTGATATGCAACGTCGGCAGTCGCCGTCTTGTCCCATGATCACTTTCTTGTTCAAATATCTAGTTTCCAAATTTGGGTTCTCATTCGCAAGTCAATAAGTTTTACCAATAAATTTACAACGCTCCCATGATGCAGTCATCTCTATCCCATCCAAGTGCCAACACATCTATCTGTCGTGCCACACGTTAAAAAAGTATATGCAAATCAAGTAATGTTTAAGAAGTGAAACGTAGGACCCTCCTCTGGCCCTCTTTCCGCCCCCCTTACAGCACATTTACCGCCCCAGCACGACTCTTTCACCTTTAATCTTGCTAGCCACTTGGAATGCAGCGGGCTGCTGGCCCAGCTGCGTCAGGCTCCGATGTAGCCCGTGATGCCCGCCGGGTCCCCTCTCCTCCTCGTTGCTCGGTGGTTGTGGTATGCCGCCCTTAACGGCGCACACCGCGGCGAAGTCGAGCGTGGGGTACCCGCAGCGCTGGGGCCGGCGCTTAGAGATGCGGGCGGTGGCGATGATCATGGCAGTGCAGAGTGTCAACAGCACGCCCGATATGAGGCCGAAGAGCCAGCGCGAGGTCGAGCCCGCGATGACCTGGTGGCTCATGATAGCGAGGGACAGGGTCGTGTACATGTCGTCGCTCAGGCCCTTGCGTGGCGTGTCGAGCTCGAAGATGGACGGCTTAGAGAAGTAGTTGGCGTGGAAGTAGTTGAAGGGCACGCTCATGGCCTTCCTGATGGCCTTCAGGCTCAGCTTCTTGGCGACCTCGTTGTCGTTGATCGGAAGCGCGGTGACGGCGTAGACAGCGAGTGCGGAGTTGTCGCCCTTCATGGTGGACTTGGAGTTGGGGATGGTGCTGCTGTTCGTTGTCGTCGCGGGGCTGAAGCCCGGGACCACTGCGGACAGCGCTAGCATGTACTCTTCCAGCTTGACGATTTTCTGCACGGGAGGGGTTAAATTGGTGACGGAGAGGATGGAGAAGTTTCCTCGGTCGTAGTTCACCGTGCCGTAGCGGTCATAGACAAAGAGAGATGACACCATCACAAGTGGGCTCCACCACGTGGTGTCCTCTAGGCAGGCTTTCTTGGCTTGTACAGCGAGTGGGCAGTACGAGGAACCTAATTGATAGATGTTACTAAGCGTCCATGGGAACTGAGCGCAGGTTAGAGGCAATTGTGCTTACCAAATAGTAGCTCCTTGTCTGATCCCACAGCAGTACACCAGTACGAAGCTGCTGCTGCTGTGCCGATCAGGTAGCAGTTGCCGTTGTCATATAGACCATCGATGTCGTGCACTGTGCCATATTCAAGATGCAAAATGCGTGTCTTGGGGACCACGTAGGCTGTCGAATCCGGCAACTTGGTGAGGTCATCCTTCTGCGGTGAGATGCTGACGATGCCACCGGTTAACAAGTGCGACTCGGCACAGGGCGTCCAGCTATGATCAGTGGCTGAAACTGTGCAGAGGCCCTCTCCGCGGCCAAGAGAATCCATGCTGAATGAGTCTCGGTCTGACCATGCCGGGGTACCCATCTGCACCAGCAAAGCCGTGGACGACACGGAGTCAATGTGGCTAATATAAGAGGCATTGAATTCGCCAATGCCGGCGGAAATGGGGTAGGTATCCTGCGGGAAGAAGACGAGCTCGATGGCGATGTCACCCATCAGGATGATACCCGGTAGTGGGATGGTGCAAATGACCATGAGACGAAAGAGGCTGGAGTACTTTTGTTTCCAGTCAGCCGTCGCCAGCAGACGCAACAGACCCCAGACGCCCGTGCCTGAGTCCATGCCAACAAAGTGCAACAGGCTGACTCCTTCTGGACGCGATGCCAGGGCCCACTGTAGATCCTCCACTACGACCACGACAAGGGCGGCCATTAGGAGAGCGCAGGCCTCGGTGAGTATTCGCAAGATCAAAATCGCATTGGCCGAAGACGTCGTGAAGAATTTGTCCTTCATCAAGGCCGTGGCCGAACCTGTCGAATAGAAACCAGCCAGGATTACCATGATCAGTGCCAACAGCAGAAGACATAGTGTCCACCAGCCAAAGCGGCTGCTCTGCTCCATGTTGACGCTAAGTCGGCGGGATCGTAGTGAGGTGGTGTCATCGTTATCGTGGCCATCAGTCGAAAATGCACCCAGAATGCTTTCTCGTGAAGGCGTAGGCGGGTGGAGAAAGTTCTGGTTGTAATGCGATTCTGGCTCTCTCGGGACATCGTCATACTCAGGGGCTGGTACCTTCTCGACCTTGACAGTTGGCCATTCCTTGGGGGTATCCCCAATGGCTGTTGGTTGCTGGCGCCAGTCTGCAAAGTCGCCGCCGTTCTTCCTCTCGGTCCAATCCACTGAATCAACTGTACTAGTTCGTGTCGGCCAGTACTGCCGGGAGTTGAAGGTACGCGTTTGATTTGACCAATCCGCAAACTCCACGGTTGACTTCCGTGCTGGTGCTTCCCTGGACTCAAGCTGCGGGGACGCCCGGATCCGGTCATTCATGTCGTTGAGTTGTATCGTCTCAAAAGCCGGAATCATCGGGGCCTTGGACGATCTTGAGCCGATCCTGTCGGGGCCACCATATGGCGTCGATGCCGAATCCTCGCGAATCCAGCTGCCCCCACTGTTAAATCGATCCGGTCGATCCATAGCGAGTGATACTGGGGGCGCCAACGCCCTGCGTCGACCTTGAGAAGTGAAATGTGGTTGGGGTAACGAACGTGTGTGGTGTAGAATCGAGCTACGGGTCAAGATTGGCGCGTGATAGAATTTGATGTGTAGAAGAGGTTAGATTCTACCCCAGATGGAATAGGACGGAGATTTCCACCGTCGTCCCAACTTCTCCATCGCGGCTTGACTAGCGAGGGCCGCTTCTGCTGTTTTTCAGCTGGAATATTGAATCAAGCATCTCCTTTGTTTCACAATGTGAGGACAACAACAGAAAAGGGACGGGGCCCGTTGAAGCGATCATGTCGCTTCAGCATAGGCACGAGTCATACCCCATGGAGGCTATTCCAGGACCACACTTGTGGAGCTGGGAGTCCCGACAACTTCCAACACCGGTATGTTGCTCGCATCCTTCTCCAGGTCGGCCCTGGCAGAGAAGAGTAGCAATGGTGGACTCGCGCAAACCGGATGCGGTGGGTTCCAGGTCGGAACACCAAGAAGGGGCTTCTGAGGCCGATGGGTTGAGACGCTGGATAGGAGAGGAACTGTCCGAGGGAGAGCGTTCATCCTGTCTTTCGGGGGTACCGGCGTGTTGGAACAGAACCTGACACTCCCAACGAAATAATAAAAATAAAAATAAAAATAAAAATAAAATGGAAATGGCGAGAGGACCCCTGGAGCAAACGTGTCCGGCCCCGGCTTCTTGGTTGCCAGGAACCAGGTGCGCGTTACCAGGAGACACGTGCACACGTGGGGGACACCGGGAGACCCTTGTAGATGGAATGCTTTCCACGAGAATCAATCTCAAAGGGGCGGCTCACCTGAACGAGAAAACTTGCTGACTGCGTGGCCTGGTATTGGGGTGTTGGTGGGTGCTGACTCTGGCCCGCAGTGTCCTGAGCCCGTCGTGGGGCTATATACAGTTACACACTGCATATGCAGTTGCACACTGCGCAACCGATCCTGTGCACACACACACACCCAGGCATGTAGGTTGACCGGCTGTCTGTCTAGAACTTTCTTGAGCCGCAGGCCGGAGACGCGAAAGACCCGAGGCGGTGGGGGGACGGAGCGAGAAGGATAGCAACGGGGAATTACTAGTGCTCATCGTAAGACTTGAGGCCAAGAAGAGTCCCGGGCGCCGGCAGGCGAGAACTGCACGCGGCATGTGGAACGTTCTCTCTCGGTGACTGATGAGCTTGGGCTGGTTGATGGGTCGAGCTTCAATTGTTGGGAGAAGGCTGGTGTAGAATTGGCATGTATTGTATGGAAAGTGGGCTAGAGCTGGACCATGTCGTGACTCTCGCTCGGGGAATTGCCCTCGTCATTGTGGTGGTTGTGGATGAGGCTGTACCGATGTGAGGGAGTGATGAAGTCGCCAAGGACGAGCCGAGCAAGGTTGCTGACTTGCCTGAGCTGACAGCTGTCAGCCAGTCCGACGGGTGGGTGACAGCTGACAGCAACCGTCAAGCAGCCGTCGGTTGGTTGGACCCTGGGCGGCAGGATCGTCACAGAGAGCGGCAGTCAGTTTTTCTGCTCGCTTGAGACCCCGCCAAACAGAGCAAAAGCCAGCAGAAGCGAGGCCGGAGGCGGGTATCTGGAAAATCGTGGGGCTTTGTCAGACTTACCGGTCATGCATTCAAGCAAAAGTCATTGTCGCTGCAGTAAACTGCTGCACGCCACATGCATTCAGGACTGGCTGAGGAACAATAAGCAGCGTCGAATGGCCTCGACAAGTATGTAGCCAGTCCATGTAGTCAACCCCGCCATTGTGCTGCAGCCTACATAGACCATCTAAATACCTACATGGATACAAGGTACATGCGCATGCACATCAGAGGAGAAACCCCCTCCCCCAAGCTCTTTCCGTTGAAACATCAAATCAGCAAGCGCGGGATGCTGCAGGGCCCGATCACACCGTGGGCAAGGCGTGGGCGAGATGGGAAGGTGGGGTGAGCAGCAACATGCGCCGCTCGAGCCAATCGAGGGCCATCGAAAGGAAGGGACGGGACTGGGCGAGGGCTGCTGGGCTCCGACTCGGCCACCGATGAGACAGGCGGACTGACGGACTGACGGGATGACTGACGGTAAGCTTGCTTCCTAAAATCCTCACCACCTTCCGCATCCCGTGTGCCCCGTCCCGTCCCAACTCAATCCCACCTCCACCTCCACAGACTCCCTCCTGCACTTTGTTTCTCCTCCCTTCCTTCTCTCCCTTGCTCCCTTCTGCCCTGCCTTACCCTTAAAGTCTCCAATGGTGTAATCCAGGACTGTTCTTTACGGGGAAGTGCTGATGATCCATTCAATTCCTGTGAGATTGTAACGGTAAGCCGTCACCACCCCGCCCAGCCCTCAGAAAATGTCCTTTTTCCCACTCCCGGCCTGCTTCGCTCGCAGTTGTTTCTGGCCGGCTGCTCTCTGTTCTGAAATTCTGTCTTGGCGCTCTCCCACACGCAAGCATACACATATACACGAGATTAACAATGTCCGCTTCTTCTGTTGCTGGTTCCTGGCTCTCCAAGGCTGTCGTATTCCCGAGCGGCTTGCTCGTCTGGAAACTCCTGGGCGGCCAGTTCTCTGACATTTTCGCTGATATACCAGACCTTCGAGACGATTCCGAATAGCCCCGAAGCTCTTCTCATCTCTCTTTGAGCCACATACGTTTGACTCGACGACGTCATCGTCCCCGCCCTCAAGATGCACATCAAGGAGATGGTTGCCGATGCCGAGAAGACGGCCGCCCCGTCTTTCTCTTTCGAGTACTTCCCGCCGAAAACACTGACCGGCGTGCAAAATCTCTACGACCGTATGGAGCGCATGTACCACTTTGGCCCAAAGTTCATCGACATCACTTGGGGCGCCGGCGGCCGCATAGCCGAGCTGACATGCGAGATGGTCAGCCAGGCCCAGGCCTACTTTGGTCTCGAGACGTGCATGCACCTCACATGCACCGATATGGGGCTTGAGAAGATCAACGACGCCCTGCGCAAAGCATACAAGGCCGGTTGCACCAACATATTGGCACTGAGAGGTGACCCTCCAAGGGACAAGGAGAAGTGGGAGGCTGCCGACGACGGTTTCAGGTACGCAAAGGATCTGGTCGTCCATATACGCAAGACGTACCATGATCACTTCGACATTGGTGTTGCCGGGTACCCAGAGGGTTGCGACGACAACAAGGACGAGGAGCAGCTGTTGGACCACTTGAAGGAGAAGGTGGACGCCGGTGCCACCTTCATCGTCACCCAGATGTTCTACGACGTCGACAACTTCCTCCGCTGGGTTGGCAAGGTTCGAGCCCGTGGAATCGACATTCCCATCATCCCAGGCATCATGCCAATCGCCACCTACTCCAGTTTCCTCAGGAGGGTCAACCACATGAAGTGCAGGGTTCCCCAGGAGTTCATGGATGCCTTGGAGCCTGTCAAGAACGACGATGCCGCCGCTCGAGAAATCGGCAAGACCCTCGTCGCTAACATGTGCCGCAAGATCCTGGCGGCTGGCATTCCTCACCTGCACTTCTACACCATGAACCTGGCCCAGGCCACCCGCATGGTCCTCGAGGAGCTGGACTGGATGCCTTCTGAGCGCAGCCCTGTCAAGCAGGCCTTGCCCTGGAAGCAGTCTCTCGCCCTCGGTCGACGAGATGAGGACGTCCGGCCCATTTTCTGGCGCAACAGGAACAAGTCGTACATTTCAAGGACAATGGACTGGGACGAGTTCCCCAACGGCCGTTGGGGCGACTCGAGGTCTCCTGCCTTCGGCGAGCTGGATGCATACGGTATTGGCTTGACGGGGACGAATGAGGAGAATCGCAAGAAGTGGGGTGAGCCCAAATCGGTCAAGGACGTGGCTACCATGTTCGTCAAGTATCTCAACAACGAGCTTGACCAGCTTCCTTGGAGTGAGTCTCCCCTCACCAGCGAGGCAGACGCCATCAAAGACGACCTCATCGAGCTCAACAAGCGAGGGCTTGTCACAATCAACTCACAGCCTGCCGTCAATGGCGTGAAGTCTTCTCATCCAGTCTACGGATGGGGTCCGTCGAACGGTTTCGTTTACCAGAAGTCATACCTTGAGCTGCTTGTCTCTCCCGATGTGTACCCTGAGCTCATCTCCCGCATTGAGAAGCACCCAGACTTGACGTACTACGCCGTGACCAAGGCAGGTAATCTCGCCACCAACACCCCGTCAGAAGGTCCCAACGCGGTCACATGGGGCGTCTTCCCTGGTAAGGAGATTGTGCAGCCAACCATTGTCGAGTCTATCAGCTTCCTCGCATGGAAGGATGAGGCATTCCGGCTTGGTACGGACTGGGCCAACTGCTTTGAGGCAGGCAGCCCTAGCCGGATTCTGTTGGAGCGCATGATGAGGGATTGGTCTTTGGTCAACATTGGTAAGTTACTGCTCACCTAAATGCTCGCTTTTTCAGTCACAAACCTAATTTGGTCATCAGTGAACAACGACTTCCACCAGCCACGCACTATTTTCGAAGTCATGAGCGGACTGCAGGTCAAGGACCTCGATGTCGAGGTACAACCCGATGGGCCCAAGCCAAACTAATCGCAACAACATCGCAACTACTACAAACAACGACCCCACTTATTTGAGAGGCTTCAACAATGCCTCAACAACAATTAATCAACTGATGAATGATACGACCTGGATTTAACACGACGGAACCTAATCGCTCAGTGCTGCAGTATATACTGCGGTGCAGTCACAGTGTGCATTCGATGCAACACTACATTTACACGAACACCATTTCCTTAACGATATGGGTTGCATGATATGGGGGACACAGCCGGCGTTTCTTGCTTATTCAACATTTTTCAACATTTCAGCAGCAAGCGGCGCAAAGCAAAAAGTGCAGGGGGTGGTTATGTCTTTTTCAACAAAAAAGAAGTTGTGAGAAGAGAGAGCGCAAGAGACAGGAAGGAAGCGTCAAAGAGAAGGAGAAAGGAGCGAAAGCCTCGAAGCGGATCGAGGCAAAAGCATGGAAGGGGTCAAACCCTTGCCTGGCTTGATTAGCCAGGGCAACAGGGATTCCTTCAATTCTGCATATATATTCATTCTCAACGATAGATACCCCAGGGCAGGCAAGGCAGGCAAAGGTCAAAGGCAGCGCGGGCTGGGACGCCCGGGCCCGACGAAACACATCACGGTGCTACGGAGTTCAACATTTCAGAGAGGCTTTTTTCTTCATGGCGAGGGTCAATCTCGTTTCAACAGAGATGACGTCCCGCGGTCATGGGAGAGACAAACGGAGAGGGAAGAGAGGAATGTGGTGAGAAGTAGGGGTGGCGTGGTGATGAGAGCAGGAGACGGCTTCATCGGAGGGAAGGGAAGAAACCAGGCCAAGAAAGTGAAGCGTCTGGCTTGACAGACACAACAAAATACTTGACTTGTTCAACCCTTCTCAATTCATAGCAGGCCCGGAAACCTACTTCGGTGACTCAGATGTGCATGTGCATAGCATTCAGCCCATGTCTGTCCATACCGCCACAAGACAAAAACAGACACCGCGGTACAATGCTAGGTGGCACAGATCAATCCGAAATGGGTTATGCAATTGCCCCCTTTTTTGCTTTCCTAGACCTTGGACCGGCTTGATCGATATTTACGCCTGCTCCATGATGCCATACCATGCTATGCTATGCAGAAGCCCCCCCTCTGTTTGAGTCCGGCAGTTTCGGACAGAGAGGAGGACCTGACTATCTATCCATTCATCCATACATACACACATAACACGCCCTCCCCCCAACTCCTTCGCCAGGGCTTCCTTCCCTACTTTCCGTGACGATTGGCGAGAGTCGTATATGTGAAGACGAGAGGCGGACCTCCCTCCCCCCTTCTCTTTTCGAGCTAAAGCATACGGCAGAAACGGTCAAAGGGTGTTTCCTATTCGTCCCACTCGTTCTCCCCGGCCACGTCGTAGTCCACCTCCTTGGCCTCGCCGGGCTCCTGCTGCTGCTGTTGGTGATGCTGCTGCGCCTGCGACTCGCCCTGCGCACCTTCTGCCGCGTTGCTCTCCGCGCCGTGCGGGTCGGCCTTTCCGCCCTCCCCTTCTTCATCGTGGTGATTATCATCATCCGCACCCCCCATGGCCGAGTCGAGCCCATCATCGCCGCCGCTACCGCCGCCTGCAGTATGAACGCTAGACGTGGTGCTGCCCGGGAGGGCCGCCGCGGGCCCAGCGACCCACGAGACCTCGACGGGCGCGGCGCCGTCGTTGATCCCGGGGACCTTGCCACTCTTGAGGCCGTTGTAGAAGGCCTCGGCCTGCTTGCGGTCGCTGAAGCTGAGGTGCGTCACGGCGGGCGTGGTCTGGATCTCGGTGACGCCTTCGCCGAAGGTCTGGGGTTTGTTAGTCAGTCTTTCGATGTCTTTCGTTGCACCCTCTACCCGGTAAATTCCACCACTACCTCTGCGCTGGGTTCGAAGAATATGTCCGAGGGAAAGGGAAAGAGATCACTTACGAAGAGGTGCCTCCTCAGCGCCTCGTCCTTCTCGGGCGCCGAGAAGTCAACACCGGATAAGGCCACCGTCTTGGGCCGGTTGTCTAGGGAGAAGGCAGCGTATGCCGCGTGGAAGTTGCCCCTGCCGCCGCGCCCACCGCCGCGCCACGATCCCCGTGGGGCATACGCTCCGCGGCCCCTGTAATATCCGCCCCTACCGCCGCGGCCGTAGCTCGGCGCGTACGGCGTCGACATCGCGGCGCCGTCGTCCTGCTGCTGTGCGTTCGGGTCGATCCCCAGCGCCGCCGCCTCCCCGCGCAGCTTCTCCAGCGTGGCTTTCAGCGCCTCGGTCTTTGACGCCTCGCCGCCCTTTTCCTCCGCAGCCGAGTTGTCGCCACCGCCGCCGCCTCCGGCAGGTTCGATCGAGTTCTTGCGCGAGCCGGCCAGCTTCTCCAGGAGCCGCTGTTTCTCGGCCGCCTGCTTCGCCTGCAGCTCCTTCTGCCTCTTTTCCAGCTCCTCGCGCTGCTTCTCGATCTCTCGGATTTTCGCCGTCTTCTCCTCGTGCAGCTTTTGCGCCTCCTCTTGCTTGCGCGTGAACTCCTCCATGTCGATCTCCTCCATCTTGACGTCCGTAGATTCCTCGCGTTTGACGCCGTTCGCTGCCTGGCCGTTCTTGAACCCGTTTACGCCATTGCCCCCATTCGCAATATCACCGTGCTTCTCCTCCTTGTACCAATAGACCTTGACGAATCGGTTGTCGAATATTACCTTTGGTGATTTGTATGCGGCATTGGCCGAGGCCCAGTTGTCGAATTTAACGATCGCTAGTCGCTTGTACCCCATCATCGTAACCTCTTCAACATTACCAAATTGTACGAAGAAATTTCGTACCTGATCCTCGTCAAAGTTTTCCTCAGGTATGCTCTCCACCACAACCTTTGTCTGAGTCCTATCGTGGACTGGGCCTTCCGCGGAGAATGGTGCGCGAGCCTGGCCCGCCTTCCGCCTTTGCTGGCCATGGCGGTTATTTCTGTTCTGGTTAGGATGCCCATTGCCCTGGTAAGGCACTGATTGTTGAGGAAACTGGGGTATCTGTGGAGGTTGCGACAGTGTCGCGGAACTCGGGTCGTATTCTACTTGATGTGTCAGACTCAGCACGTCGAAGAAATGGTTGAAAGACTCGAAGGAAGGGTTGAAATCATAAAGTGTCGCAAAAGAATCACGCGAAGACTCGAGGTCCTCGCCCGTGATCGGTTTACTCGGAAATCGAAAACCAGACGGACCTTCACCTGGTAGCTGGATCTGCCCTGACAGCTGTGGCGCAGGTAGGTTGTACAAGACGGGCTCAGTCCCCGTGCTGTGGTCAAACTTGCACTTGAGGCCCCTGGGACAGAATCCCTTCCTGTCAAAGTCCCAACACCGTCCTTTTCTTCCCTGCTGCGGCGGTATGTTGTGCTGGAAGCCGGGCTGCTGTTGAGAGTAGTCGGCGAAAGGTGGCATGGAGAGCCCCATCTGCTGGCTGATTTGCTGCAGCTGTCTCATCGACTCCAAGGGATTGCTCGGATCGAAGGGGGGAATCTGTGGCACCTGGCCCGGCGGCGCGAAAGACGGCGCATGCTGGGCTGCAGTATTTTGAAACGCGTATTGGTCCTGGGATATCGGTTGTGGTCTATCGGGGTCGACGTAGCCCTTGCGAGCCCCAAAGCCTCCACCACGACGCGCTTGCTTGTACAGTCGCCCTCCTTGGATTTGGTCTCGGCCGGTCGGCGCATCGAAGTCGCCCCGGTCCTGGAAGCCACGCTTGCGCGCGCTGCCACCGCCGGGACCAGTAGGAATGGCAGGTTGACCTGTATTCGAGTCTCCGAGGCCGGGGAGAGCAGGTGGAGGAGCGGCAGCAGGGACTGCTTTCGGTGGAGGGGGAGCGCCGGGGATGTAGGATCTGTACTGTATTATTTCGAAAAGATCATTGACAAAGGACGATGGGTCTGCGGTCGCAATAAGTCAGAATACTCCCCATGACCAGGGCAACGCGTGGTGGCCGAGCCCTACCTTCTGTGAGGAAATTGCCCATCTCGGACATGCATTTTGACTTCACGTCCTCGCTGCCATCGTCGTGATGCAAGAGAGCCAGCACAAAGTCAGCAAGCACATCAGCATCCGCATCAGATCTGTTTTGGGTCTCAAAGGTCAGTGTTGGGGCTCAGGGTCCAGAGACGCAGCGGGTATCGAGGGTGCGACGAACGTATTCTCGAGGCGCTTGACGATCCACGCCTTGAGCAGAGGCGAGTCCTCCTCGGGAAACAGCATCTTTCCCAGCTTTCTACTTTCGTGTGGACATAAAGACAGCTGTTGTGGGAAGTTCCAGGCTGTAGCGACAAGAAGGAGAGTGATTTGAGTCTAGGGAAAAGGTTGTAAAGGTTGTTGGTCGCGTGGTTGGTGACTTGGGAGCGGCAAGTTGGTCCAGGAATTGCGAAATGTTCCTGGGACGATGCGCGCGGGAGCTTCCAAAGCTGCAGCAAGGGTTTATGGTGGGGCTAAAAGCATGCTAGCTACGATTACAGTACCTAGGTGTAGGCTGCATGGATGAGCCACCACCCAATCGTTCCTGTAACAGAAGAGGCGCGCCTCAACGGCTTTCCCATAACTCAAATGTTATGACTTGTAGATAGAAGCTTGTTGTTCGGACCAAGGTATCACATATCACACGGTTTACATCGTCACTCGCTGTAGATCATGGGGACACAAATTTTTGACTTCATCAACGCAATAAAATTCCAAAATCCAGTGTTAAGTACAAGCTCTCGGGTCGGACTATGATCATGATATGTTCCGGTGCTTGTCGTTTGACATCCGCTTCGCCATTTTCCTCCCCAAACCCTTGGGGTTGAGTATCGTAGACCGTTTTCCGTCTTCTTTGCAACTAGCTAACATTGCCGAAGATACGCTCTATCAAGCCGCCGTGTGAGGCGGTGGGAAAAGTCTATGAGCATGGAGATGAGGCGTTTACAGCTTGTCGTAGTACTGTGCAAATCAATTAGCATCGCTTCCACTTGGTCACGGGGCTGAGGGGAAAGACTCACGTTCTCGACACCGGGAACCTCGACCTTGATACCCTTGCGCTTACGCATCTCCTGGACCATGGCACCGACCTTGGAGGTGGGGTCCAGAGGGGAGCCACCGGGCAGCAGCTGCCAGTGGTCGAACACGGACTGAGGGAAGGCCTGTCCGGAGGTGGCGGCACGCAGGTCACCGTTGAAGCCGAAGGACTCAATGACGGGCAGGTAAGACTTAATGGTGAACAGAGGAGTACCAGGGCGCTGCTCCTCACCGAAGACGATACCACGTCTCCGGGTAAGCACACCGTAGACACCACCCATGGCCTGCTCGGGCACCTGGATTTCACACAAGAACACGGGCTCTTGCAGGGCGGGCTCGGCGAGCAGAGCGGCGGCGTACATGACACGACGAGTAGTAGGCATGATCTGGCCGGTACCACGGTGAATGGAATCAGCGTGGAGGGTCACATCAAGGATGTTCCAGCGGACGGATCGCATGGGCTCCTCGGCAACGGGACCCTCACGGGAAGCCCACTGGAAACCAGAGACAACGGAGTCCTTGATTTCGTTGAGGTACTGCACGGCCTTGGTCTGGTCGACCAGCAGGTTGGGGCCGTTGGTGTCGGGACCGAAGGTCCAGATCTTACGGGCGTCGGTGACATCCCAGCCGAAGTCGTCAGCGAGGACACGGGCACGGGCCTTGAAGTCGTCACGGGGGTTGATCTTGCCGGCCTCGATGGCCAGGGCCAGCTCCTCGTCAAGGGGCTCAGCGGTCATGTAGATACGGTTGTGCTTGTTGGGCGACTTGGACAGAGCAGTGATGCTCGACTTGCCACCGACAGTCTCACGGTACTGCACGACGGGGTCGGAGATGATCAGAGGAACACCAGCGTGGTCGTTCTGGAGATCGTTCAAGCAAATCTCCAGGTGGAGCTCACCAGCACCAGCAACGATGTGCTCACCAGACTCGTTGGTCATGGTCAGGACACAAGGGTCGGACTTGGACAGACGCTTCAGACCCTCAACGAGCTTGGGCAGATCCTGGGCGTTCTTGCACTGGACGGATCGCTGCACGACAGGGGAGACGGAGAACTTCATGACCTTGAGGTTGTGGGCAGCCTTGTCGGTGGTGATGGTACCAGACTTGAGCAGGAACTGGTCAATACCGACCAGACCAACGATGTTACCGGCGGGGATGTCGTCGATGGCCTCGACTCTGCCACCCATCATCAGGACGACACGCTGGATGGCCTTCTCGGAGAGATCCTCCTTCCTGCCAGGGACGTAGTTGGGGCCCTGGATGCGGACCTTCTGTCCGGACTTGACGGTACCGGAGAAGACACGACCGAAGGCGTAGAAACGACCCTTATCGGACGTCGGCACCATCTTGGAGACGTAGAGCATGAGGTCGGCCTTGGTGGGGTCGGCCTCACAGTCACGGATGGAGGCGTAGATCTTGTCGTCCTGAGGACCCTCGTACAGTGTCTCGGCACGGTACTTCTGGGCAGTCTTGGGGGATGGCAGGTGGAGGATCATCATCTCCAGCAGGGAGTCGGCGGCGGGCAGGAAAGTGCGCATGACAGCCTTGAGCAGCTGCTTGCCCTCCTTATCACGGTCCTCAGGGGCCAGCTTGAGGTCGAGCTTCTCGAGCAGAGTCTTTATCTCCTCCTTCTTGAAGTTCATGACGGCAGCGAAGATCTTGAAGATGGGGTCCAGGATGAACTGGTTGAAGGCACGCTCGAGCTGCTGGCCTTCGTAGGTTCCGTTCTTGGTCCACTTCTTGGTCTTGGGGTTGAAGTAGTTGTCTCCCCAGAGACGCTCCATCATCTTGTTACGGTCGACACCGAACTTCTTAGCGTAGCGGGTGGCGAATTGACGGATGGTGAAAGCCCAGCCGTGCAGACCGGAACCGAAGGCGACGGTGCCCTTGTCGGGGTAGACCTGGACGTCACCCAGAGACTTGTCGAAGTAGGTGGAGATGACGACGTTGACGGACTCGATTGTTCGGGAGAAGGACTGGTACAGGTCCTCCTTCTCGATCTGGAGCTCGAGAAGAGCGCGATCAACCTTGTTGATGACAACAACGGGCTTGATACGCTCACCGAGAGCCTGTCGAAGCACAGTCTCGGTCTGCACGCACACACCCTCGACGGTGTCGACGACTGGGGAGCAGTGTCAGTGGACGGGCTCGGGTCAACAGTTTGGGGCCGCCAGGGGCTAACTTACCAACGAGAGCACCGTCGGTGACACGGAGAGCAGCAGTGACCTCAGAGGAGAAATCAACGTGACCGGGGGAGTCGATCAGGTTGATCAAGAAGTCGTTGCCGACGGTCTCCTGGCCCTTGATGTCCTTGGTGTCCTCCTCCTCGGGGAGAGTGGCGTACAGGGAGATGGCAGTAGACTTGATAGTGATACCACCTGCTAGGGGTCAGCATATTTGTCGTCGCCAGCAGCTTGGCGGACGGGACGGGAACCCGGGGGCAGAACGTACGCTCCTGCTCGTCGGCACGAGTGTCTGTGGCACGGGCATCACCAGCCTTTCCGGTGGAGATGATACCGGCCTTGGCCAGCAGAGAGTCGGTCAGGGTAGATTTGCCGTGGTCGACATGAGCAATAACACTCATGTTACGAACATTGCTCGGCTTCTTCATGAGATCGTGGATCTCATCGACGGTGAAGCTAGACAGAGGACAGTTAGTAAAGAAATGGTCCTCATGCTTTGTAGTGTTCCTCTCTCCTCAGGACTGGTTTGGTGGTGCATTGTGGGTGGTCCGACACCATGGCACGATTATGATTGTGCTTGTGCGGGTTGCCCTCGACAAGGTTCGGGGGGGCAGCAGCTGCAGGAGAACAGCCTGTGGGCTCTGGGACTTACTTGACCATTTTGACGGTATTGACAATGAAACCTGTCTAAATGATATGTCTTCTGTGTGCTTGGGGATTGGGGTGAATGCCTCGAGAACGGCAAAGATTTTGTGGCGGCGAAGGGGGAGAAGATCGCAACGCCGGGCAGACTCAAGACTCGGGGTTTTGACCTGCTGATTAAAGAGGACTGCGCGGGGTCGTTAGCTGCGTCGACTGGATGGTGCCTGGATGCTTTTCGGCGAGGAGCCACAGGTCCGGAGAAAGCAGTCCAGGAGTCTGTTGCAGGAGGTGTTGGTGTTGGGAAAGGGGGGGCAATGGATGGGCTGGGTTGGACCTACAGAATCTCGCCGTCAAGGCTTTGCGCTGGTGGGAGAAGGGAAAAAAAGAGGGAGGGAAGAAGAAACGGGCAATGTGGGTGCGGGGTGATAGATTTTCGCTGAAGCCCAATCCAACACCAGCCCCACCACCAGGCATTTGCAAAGTGGGCCGACGTGCCGCGGGCCCCAGACGGGAGGCAGGGCGGCGCTTCACTTGCAAACAATGCCATGGTCTAGCCCTAGACTCTGGAGCTGTTGCAAGCTTCGCCCAAAACACCAACCAGGCCAATCAAGCTTGCCACCCCCTCGAGCTGCCAGACGGAGTGACTGCTCGCCGAGGGCGACGGCTCACACACACCAATCCCACATGCAACACAAATTTACACACGCCTCTCAGCCTCTGGTTTGATCTGTCATCAGGCCGAGAGTGTGACTCCTCCCCATCATCAGTGTCCAGAGCCCCGACGGCACCGGCTCGCCTTCTGTGTCATGGTGAGATCAGCAGTTTCTGGGGCGATGGAGAGCTCTGTCTGCCGCACCTGTGCCTCGACGGATAGTCAACATGACCAGCTCGCTTAAGTCCGTGCCCCGCTTAAGGCCGAATGTATGGCTTTACCTTGGCAGGAACATACCATTTACTACTACTCACCTGGGCACTTACTTGGGCATACAATTACATGCACATGATATCAATACATAGATGTACAAATAAATGGATACATGAATATACGTGTACAAGATCATTCTTATTACAGAAGCAGTCGGTACGCTCCACGGCCCATTGATGTATCTTCTTGATTATCACCAGTGCGGAGCAACAGCCGATGCATCCTGCACCGTGTCCATCCGCAACGAACCAGAGTCTAGCAACGTTGTGAATTCCCTGGGCTCGCCAGTCCAAGAGCCTCGCCATACACTCTGTGTAGACGCAGCAATTTCGTGCGGAAGAGTGCCAGTAGAGGGTTCAGGTCATCGTGACTGCAGTGTGTTTCCCCTCTGTTCCTTTCCCACGCTCTCACTGCCATTCTGCCGCACCAATTTGATGCAATAGTAGTTGTCATGATGCAAGTCGCTTTCCAGACACGCAGGAGCTACGATTGTTGCAAAATCTGTTCGCGGTGAAAGCTCCGGGGGCGTAGACCCCGTGCAGACATTTCTGTGTGCTCAAATTCTGCCGCGTCCCCAGAACAGTCTGGAAAGAAAAGCTCTCATGCCACCAGGACGGCCACTATCGCCGGGCCTCGTCGACGGACAATTGTCCGCAACATGTCGTGCCTCCTTACCCAAGGATCGAGTCCTCTTGTCCACTTCCGAGGAACACTCGGACGCTATATAGCCTCGCTCGCCACAGCGGTAGCAAATTGGCCTTGGGCATTCTCTGCTCAAATGTCCAGCTGCACCGCACGAAAGATAGATCCTCTTGTCCACCTCGCTAGAGCACTGAGACACCGTGTGGCCTGGCTTACCACAGCGGAAGCACTTCATTCGCTGTGGGCACTTTTTGCTTCTATGTCCTCTTTCACCGCACCGAAAGCATGTCCCAGGCGGCTTGTTGCAATCCCCTACGCGACGGCCAGCTCCGCCGCATCTAAGACAGAAGCCCTGCAGTGTCCTGTGTGTGGTGATATGAGATCCAGCCTTTCCGGGTTGCAGATTGTGAGGTTTTGTAGGGACGTTGGTAACGGCTGAGAGATGAAAACCGGCCCACGAGCTGAGTAGTACTGGCCTAGCGAAAAGCTGAAGATGTATGGCATCTGCTTGCCTCGAGGGCGGCGGACGAGATGATGGGTGGAATACGCCCCAGCTAGGCAGCATGGCCGACTTGACATTGCTGATGGATCTATCTCGAATGCTGAGAGGAACAAGAAATGCAATTATCGTGATGTGTAGAGACATATGATCTGCAGTTCTACAGTAAATATTGGTCAATGGAGAGCTTGGACCCACCCTGACCCATCCAGCCAATCGTAACGTCTACCGTTAGCTCCTCGGCGCCTCTTGCCAATTTTCTTGAAGCTCTGCCGCATCGCATCTCGACACGGCGTCTTGAATCCAACCTGGACACGCACCTCAAGCCACGGTAAGCAGTCGCGAACCGACGATGGCGACTGCACGCCGGACCCTGTCGCCCGGGGGATCCCTCCTCCGGGCTTCGCGCATGTTCTCGCTGCCCCAAGCAATACCGCCGCCGCCCGGCGACTACCAGGCGGCCACCAGCTACAACTCGGAGACGGCCACGCAGGCCTACCCGACCCTGCAGACCGTCACCGCCCCCGAGAACTTCAGGCAGCGCGGCGACTGGGGCTTCAAGCGCAACTTCCCCATGCGGTCGACCGCAAAGTCCAGCACGCCCTACCTGCGCATCAAGCAGGTCGACTCCATCGAGCACGTCACCGACTTCGCCTCGGCCGCCGACCACACCCTGTCGCTCGAGAAGTGGCAGGAGATGAACATTTCCATATCCCTCCCGCACTTCATCCCCGAATCGGCGACATCCTCCATCTCCGCCATGGACATGCGACCAGAGTCTGTCTTTGAGAGCAAGTACGATTTCACGGCGATCGATAGCGAAAAGAAGAGCAAAGCGGGCCAGATGCGGTGGAAGTACCAGGGCCCCTGGCTGGCCACATTGACCGAGGGCGAGTTCCAGAAGTACATCAAGAAGTCCGTGCGGCTGAGGAAGACCGAATTCCGCCAGTTCATGCGCGAGAAGCTCGCTGCCAGGCTGACCAAGGACGCGAAGGATCGCGCGACCAAGGAGGGCGGCGACGAGGCGGTCGAGGCTGCGCGGGTGGTCCTGCCGGGCGACATCACCGAGAACCAGCTCACGGACTTCTTGCGGGAGCTGCGCCAGGACCGAACGTCCTTGTTTGACACTGTTGGGGAGTTCCTGGATCTTGCGCCCATCGAGCCCCCGCAACCCTCGGACCAACTTGGAACTCTGGCGCCCTATCAGTCGAGGGCTGTGGAACGCGTGAACCCCTATGCCCTTCATGGGCCTCCCATTACACACCCCTCGGCTGGCCTGTCCTACCTGCGGACGTCGGCTTACCTGGACAACCACCCTGCCTACGGGCCGCTCAAGTACCACCCCCCCATCAAGGGCAGAGTCTTTGTGTCGAGCGGCGATGCCACTTCGCACGGAAAGTCCGGGACTCTCGGTCTCGGCGGCTTTATCGTCGGTTCAAAACACGTCACTCAAGATTTACGCCCAAACACGACGCGCACGTATGACCCAAGCGCCGAGGGTGGTCAGAAGGTGTGGGCGCACGTCTTCTCGGCACAGGTCAACTCCCAGGGCCGGGTCCTGCTGCACGCCGAGGAGGTGCAGGACAAGACCACCGCCGAGTCCAAGCTGGTGCAAGAGGAGATGGCGGGCGAGAAGCAGATTTTCCACAAGGCGTCAGAGGATAGCACCCAAGACTTCATGCTGCCCATGAAGGCGCCGAGGCCATCGTACAGGCTGGACCGCAGGACCCGCTATGTCAATACCAATACCAGATTCACGCCGGGCAACAGCGAGAGGTACGGACTACCGAGATTCGGGCGGGAAGAGGGCAATGACCAGGGTCAATAGACATCAATCATTTGGGTCCTTTTGGCGCGCCCTGGGACTTTTTTGTGAAAGCTACGGGATGCCTGAGAAGATGGGAGTAGATTTGATGACCTGTATATCAAGTAGAAATGTAAAACTGATTCCAGCCATGCAGTCACGACTTTTTCCTACTACGGACTCTGTTTTCCTGATTCCATAGGCTAATGAAGAATGAGAGGGTCTCTCTGCACTCGTACGCCACTGTCATCTGTAAGAGGCTGGTTGCTGAGCTGGGTAGCTCCAGTGTAGGTGAACATTGTTGTACGGTCCAGATTGTCTAAGGGTATCCAATGCCCAGAATTTCAGACTGCGAGTCTACATCCCGTATATAACAGCTCAAACAAATGTCAAATACAAAAGCCAGTCCATGACTAGGATGACATATACCAGGTTGACGCTGAAGGGTGTCATGTGACTTTGCACGTGGATGTCTAAATTCTGCCGTCAGACACCGCCCGCTCCAACACACACGCTAACAGCTCAGAGTGGGCAGCCATGAATTTTGATCTGCTCGTCCTTTTTGTCGAAGTCTCCATCCAGCCTCTCGTCCATCGCCCAACCCTTCACTTTCTCTCCGTCGCCAACCACCATCCTCAACACCCCTCCAATACCGCCAAAATGGGTCGCGTCCGTACCAAGACCGTCAAGAAGTCCGCCAAGGTCATGATCGAGAGGTTTTCCTCGCCTGACCCTCGACTTTGAGACCAACAAGAGGATCTGCGATGAGATCGCAATCATCGGTGGGTCATTGCAAGAAATGCACTGTATTTTACCTTGACCCTATGTCTAATACTATCCACCCCGGTACAGCCTCCAAGCGCCTGCGCAACAAGATTGCCGGCTACACCACCCACCTGATGAAGCGTATTCAGGAGGGTCCCGTCCGCGGTATCTCCTTCAAGCTGCAGGAGGAGGAGCGTGAGCGCAAGGACCAGTACGTCCCCGAGGTCTCCGCCCTCGACTTCACCCAGAACTCCGAGTCTGGCCAGCTGGATGTCGACGCCGAGACCAAGGACCTGCTTAAGCACCTCGGCGTAAGTTCTTGCCCCTGTCCCGCTCATTTGGGCCCCCAGATTCTGGCGGCGCGGTGGGTTGTGATTGCTAACATGGGATCCCCGAACAGTTCGACGCTGTTCCCGTCAACGTTATCAACGTCGTCCAGCAGCAGACCCAGGAGCGTGGTGGCCGCCGCTTCGGCGACCGCCCCCCTCGCCGCGACTAAGTCGACCCCAATCGAAAACCGGTGTTGCGATGACGAGGTTACGAAAAAGTTCTCAACAAAAGGCATGAGGGAGGGAAGTGGCACGGGCGTCACAATACTACACGATGGATTCAAATCGGGCTTGGGTTCCGGGCGCGTGGTGTCGGTCACGGCGTCCACGGCGTTCTTGATGGCACGACAGTGTCTTCTTCGTCTTCTACCGACATGGAAGGTAGTGAGCTCCCAGCTAGATCGAATACAGATCTCATGCTCCTACAAGGTGTCGCCTGTCTCTAGGGTAATTCCGGAGACAAGGCTTGATGGCCAATTACTTCCTATGCTCGGGTGTGGATCAAGGTCCTGGGTCGTGTGGTTTCTCCACCGATTCACTCTCAGTATTCCACGCGGACAACTGCGGCATGCCGTTGTAAAGAGAGACACCTGCTGGTGACATGCTGTGTGCTTATGTGACTTGTCTATCTGGGTATCTCGAAACTCAACCGTAACTCCTGTGCCTTTGCAGAAAATGCTTGTAGACGTAAACCTAGTTTCGTGCTACGAATCCTTGTCGGGTTCGGTTCCAAACTTGGCTTTGTAGCCCTCGATGGAATCGCCCTCAGCTCCATCACCGAGAGCCGGGGCCTCTGCCTGTGTGGTCACCGTCTTCTCGCGGACGACGACGTCCACCTTACCCCTGGGCGACGCCTTGGCATCGTCCCCTCTCTCAAGTGCGAGATTCATAGCATCCTTCGTGGCCTTGCGGTCCTCCTGCAGCTGCAACCGAGACATCTCGACAGCCAGCCTCTCAGGTTCACTCTTGCCCTCCTCGGCAGGCGTGGCGGCGCCAGAGCCACTGTCCGCCTTGCCCTCCTCCCCGTCCTTCTTCTCCGGGTACAGCTCGATCTCGATGTCAGGCAGCCCGACCCTCTCCCAGGCAGCCGTCTCGTTCAGCTGGACCTTGACCCACAGCGCGCGGCGGGTGCACTCGTTGCTACACCACTTCTCGAGCTCGCGCGTCTCGACAATGTCGAAGTCCCGCCGGCCCTTGTTGACCATCTTGTAGGTGCCCGCCCCGGGGTACCGCCGCCGCCGGTCGGGGCACAGCGCGTACCCGCACTTGTCGCCGTCGAGGTTCCGCTCCACCGCGAGGTCGTCGTAGTCGCCCGGCTGGAAGATGCGCACCAGGGAGGCGAAGGCGCGCGCGTCGGCGGGGTCCGGGTCCGAGGCGGGGCGGGTGCGGTAGCGCGGGAAGTCGAGGAGGGTTATCACGTTGTCGAGGATCTGGGCCTCGGTGTCCTTGCGGTCTTGGAGGATGCGGGCGTGCTGGATAGCGACTTGTCTTGGGTCTTGCCTTGGTTGTTGTGCTGGCCTTGCTGCTGGTGAGTTGCTCGACTGTGTGGGGCTTGGGGCGTTCTTGGGTTTCTTGAGAATACCCTTGAGGGGCGCTTTGGTTTCGGACGCCATGGTGTGGTTGGTGTGGTGCTGGAGTGTCCTCGTCGTTCAGCTTCGGCGTGGTTGGTTGCTGAAGAAAGAAATGTCTTGGGTTTGGTGACGATAGTGGGGGCGGCAGAGCAGCAGGGAAGCTGTTTTCTTTCGGCAGGCACGGTACTTTCCAACTGCCTGGATGAGCTTTCTGGCGTACAGTGCCGTGGCCGGCAACTGGAGGTCATGCACTGTCTGGTGTGTACGGATGAAGCAAACATGCACACTGTCCCCGACTGTGCTGGGGCCGTTTGACGTTGAGGAGCGGTCGTTGCTGGCCGGTACTGGCCCACCTGGGCCAGGTTCAACAATAGAACAGGTAGCAGTATCTAGACTAGACTGGCCTGTACAGCCAACAGCTGCATGGAGACAGGAGTCTGATGCTGTTTTAGATTCTGATCCTCAGCCATCGCCAGACCAGACGAGGTGTGCGCCAGTGCCAATCTCAGTGTCAGTGTCAGTGTCAGTGCCAGCTGCTGCTGGTCCCAGACCCTTGGGATTGAATATCTGGACATATACCTGCCTGCCCCCTTTTCTCCAGACTCTATTTGGTGTACCAGCCCAATATCCGACCATCCGCCCTGGCTATTGGCCTGCACACCTATCATCACACAACACAGATCACCTGCGAGCAGAAATAAAACCAAACAAAACCAGCCAGGCATTGGCAGCTTTAGCCCTTGCGGATCTTCTGGATACGATCACCATCTGGGTGTGGCTGTTTGATGAATGACACATGGTCCCCAGCAAGGAGCACACTGCAAGCCGTTCATACATAACGCACAAGCCTTGCCACCAAGATCTCATCTGAGGTAGATCTGAACCAGTCCGTTTTGTCTGCCTGCCCAACCAAGATTCCTATCTATCCGGCTGCCTGTGTGCCTGGCGGGGTATTTGGAGGTCAGTCAGTCTTGTTTATTCTCCGAGCCACCGAATGAGGCTTGGCCGTGCTCTGCCACCTTTTAATCGGAGCACCCAGCTAGTCGTCATTATTGGGCTGGAGGGGTGCGCTGCGTTGTACACGTTCCCGTCTGACGCTCTGGTGTGGTCGGGCTTGGTCCGGTCTGAACGCGGTGGCTCCTTATTTGTTCATGCGCTGACGTCGCCCAACTAGGATCGTCTCCAACTGGGCGGCCCTACCTGACTTGACTGACTGCATCAATCCCGCAGCGCCCGCGCCCGCGGCCGACTCCTGAAGCTTCCCAGCACCCGAGCAGGCGTCGCTTCCCGTCCGACTGACCGACCTGCCTACCTATTTCCTGTACGTCTTACCCATCCATTGCCCGACTCATCCACCCCTAGAGCCAGCATTTCGGAATTGCTGTCTGATGCACTATATCTGACTTGATAGGCGTGGCACAGACAGCCATACATCGCAAAATCCTGCCGTCCCAAAGCATCGCTCCCCGCATCATCCTACGTCAGACACTCGGCCTCTGGCAACTCCGCGACGCAAGCATTCTCGCCTGCGCCTTGGCCCTGGCCGTACAGCCATGTCTTTCAAGGTCAAGGCCCTCTACGAGTACTCCTCGCCCCACGACGATGATCTGAACTTCCCAGTCGGGCAGATCATCACCGTCACGGAAGAGGAGGACGAGGACTGGTACACCGGAGAGTACCTCGACGACGCTGGAGCTAAGCATGAGGGCATCTTCCCCAGGAACTTCGTCGAGAAGTACGAGCCAGTCGCCCCGCCCCGCCCGACTCGAACGAGAACCAAGAAGGAACCTGAGCCAGCCTCTGAGGAGGTAGCCGCCGCTCCCGAGGAGCCTGCTCAGCCGGCTTTCTCTCCAAAAGCCTCCGCGCCAGAGCCGGCGGCCGCGCCTTACGAGGAGGAGCAGCCTATCTCTCCGCCTCCATTGCAAACCGAGCCCAGGTCTCCCATCGCTGCTGCTCCTCGCGCACCGGAGCCCGCTGAGCCCGAGACCCCCGCGTCGCCTCCCCGCGCTCCTGCAGCAGAGCCAGTTGCTCAGTCTCCACCAAAGGCCGCGCCCGCTAAGAAGGGCCCGCCTCCCGTGTCGCAGAAGCCAGCTAGCAGCTCCTTCAAGGACCGCATCGCCGCTTTCAACAAATCTGCTGCACCACCAATCGCCCCTTTCAAGCCTGCTGGGCTGGGCGGCTCGTCCGGCGCCTCCTCCTTCATCAAGAAGCCCTTCGTTGCTCCTCCTCCCAAGGGCAACACCTACGTCCCGGTCCAGCGCAGCACTCCAGTGGCTCCTGTCTACCGCCGTGATGAAGACCCTGAGATCAAAGAGCGGGAAGCTGAGAATGAGGAGACTGCTCAGAAGGCAGGATTGATGCCCACCGAATCTAACGAGGGCGACGAGGATCAGCCGAAACCCTTGAGTCTGAAGGAACGGATGGCACTTCTCCAGAAACAACAGCAAGAGCAGGCACAAAGGCACGCAGAAGCCGCGGCCAAGAGGGAAAAGCCGAAGCGCCCGGCGAAGCCTCGCATGCCCAGCCACGAACCTGCTGCCACCGAGAGCGTCGACGAGGAAGAGGCTGCTCAGCCACCACCTCTGGACCGCACCGACACCGGTGGAACAGGAGGCAGGGAGTCTATAGACGAGTCGCATCCTCCAAGAGTGCCTGCGCAGCCTCGCCGCAAGCCCTCCAAGGGCCCAGAGCCTAGAGATGGAAACGAAGCAGACATGTCTGGTGCTGGAGAGACAACCGAAGACCAGGCAGACCTCACCGAACGTGAAGACAGCGACGAAAAGCCTCGGCGCCCATCCCGGGTGGCTACAGGAGGCGGCCCAGCCGAGGAGGCTGAAGAGACCCAAGATGAGGAGGAGGAGGAGGAGGAAGACGAGGAAACCAAGGAGTTCCGGCGCAAGGAGGAGCTCCGTGCAAGGATGGCCAGACTGGGCGGTGGTATGGGAATGCCGGGCATGTTTGGCATGCCCGTCCCCGGCGGTGCTCCATCGTTGCCGCCGAAGAAGAAGAAGGCCTCCGCGTCCGAGCGACGCGCCAGCGAGGACTCCCAGCCGCTCGCTTCTCCGACACAGGCACCTCCAGTCCCCATGATGATGCCTTTGCCAGGCCTGGGCGGCCCCCGCAAGTCCGAAGACAAGACACCTGTGACGGAGGAGCCTCCTGCTGTATCTGACGAGGAAGAGGATGAGCCAGTGGCACGCAGTCCCCCAGCTGGTAAGACTTGATTGTGTCTGAGTTTGTCAAGGCGCATGAAGATTAACTAACCTGCATGCAGTCCCAACCAGCGCTTCTGGTGCTGCCCCGCCAATTCCTGGTGGACGTCCTGCGCCACCCCCTGTACCCGCGGACTGTATGTGCAACCTACCCCTCTGCCATGATATCCTGCTAACCAACACACAGCTCGACCTCCCCCTCCGCCTGCTCCTGTGGCGAATGCTGCCAAGTCTGAGGGTTCCGAAACGGATGATGAGCTGTCAGGACCTGGGGCTTTGGAAACGCCACGAGGTGAAGAGCCTCCAGTGACTCGAGCACCGCCGCCACTGCCTCCTGTCTCTGCTCCTGCACCGCCTGTGCCTACGTCCCCCCGGTTACCGACATCCCCTAAATTTCGGAGCGATGATTCTACCCCGGTGTCGCCATCCAGCAAGAGGGCCAGTCGACCCCCACCTCCCGTGCCAGGCACAGCTCCAGCTCCGCCGTCTCAGACGAGACCCCCACCCCCACCCCCACCTGGCGGCTTGCCTCGGACGTCGATTTCGTCTGACCGCCCAGGGTCATCTTCCAGGCCCTCGGCTCTTCCAGAGGACAGCAATGAAGGAGAGGTCACAGAGTACGACGGAGATTACGATACGGACATCGCCTCCTCAGTGCCTCACAAGGATGCTCTGAAGGCTCACGGGCGTGAGTCAAGCATCGAGGACACCATTTCAGTCGCGTCGCCCAAGGAAGCACCTCCCTCCTTGCCGCCGCCCATCCCCTCCGCTGCTGCTCCAAGAGCTGTGCCTCCTCCGCCCCCTGTGCCCAGCCAGCCTCCTCCAGACAGTCGGCCAGATACTCGACGGTCTGACACTCGACGATCTGTTGACGCTCCTCGAGCAGCGCCCCCGCCACCTCCGCCTACAAACTTCGCCCCGCAAGACGAAGAAGAGTACGACCCTTACAACTACACTGCCGCTGCGACGTCTCCTCGGATTCCTGCTCCGCCATCTTTCTCTCAGCCGCCCCCGCCGCCGCCTCCCCGTCCGGACGATGACTACGAGCAACCTTACCAGCCACAACCCGAGCAGAGGGCTGCTCCTGTCGCCTCATCTGGTCGGCCTTCTGCGCCCACATCTCGCGGCTCACTAGATGTTCGTACATCTAGACGATCCGTGGATATGCTGAACAGGCCGTCCATGGAATCCGGCTTTGTTGCCAATGATGTTGATCTGGCCCCTCAATCAGGATGGTGGTTACAGCCAAACGGTCTGCCACCGCAGCTGCAAGGTCGCAAGGACCTTTTCTTCGAATCTGATGAGTCTCAGTCTACACAGCGTGGCACAAAGACGACCGTGACTCGGGACATTTATATTCTATTTCAAGACTACTCGCAGACCGTTATCACGGTGCGCTTCGATCCTCAGGATGCTAAGGACGTCCACTTAGAGCAGCGCCATGAGGGTCCTCCTCGAAGTCTGCGACAGGACCAGCTTGAGGAGTCGTACGAGCGTTTCGGCCGGCCGATCTCTACAGCCGTGGCCGGGAAGAAAGACACTGTGGTTGGTGATGGTGCACCACAATCGCTTGTGTTGGAACTACTGAAGCCATTCAAGGACGCTCTCCTCCCCGTTGGCTCCCGCGCGTACGGCGCGCTCGTCTACTCCAACCTCGCCAACGCCAGCACGACACAGACGGACCAGATCCGGCCAGGCGACATCATCAGCATCCGCAACGCCAAGTTCCAGGGCAAGCACGGCCCGATGCACGCCAAGTACAGCGTGGAGGTGGGCAAGCCGGACCACGTCGGCGTGGTGGCCGAGTGGGACGGGACCAAGAAGAAGGTGCGCGCGTGGGAGCAAGGCCGCGAGTCCAAGAAGGTCAAGCAGGAGAGCTTCAAGCTCGACGACCTGCGCAGCGGCGAGGTCAAGATCTGGCGCGTCATGCCGCGCAGCTGGGTCGGCTGGGAGGGCCAGAACTAGGAGATGGGCTCCGGGTCCATGCCGATGCGGCGGTGCACGGGCAGGTGGTGCCTCGGCAACCACAACAGCAGCGGCGGGATGGTCTCGCCCTCGTGGCACTCCGTTGTATCCTCAACGTCGTCTGCGGCCAGAGCTTCGGCGCGGCGGTCCACGGAGCGCTCCAGCGAGGCCCGCGACTATGACGGCTCTGCGCGGCGCAGCTTTCAGGGCAGCCCGAGGAGGAGCTTCGAAGAGAATCCTTGGTCTTAGTGCTACTGCTTCGCCGGGCGCGGGTTGAGTAGTGAGGATAGTAATTCTGATAGTGGTGGCAGTGGCGGTGGAAGCCGGAGGAAAGAAGAATGAGCGCGGGTGAGCTAAGCTTGTTGTGTGCGTCGATACTGGAGAGCAGGTGTACGCGATCTGCGACGAGGGCAAAAGCAGCATGTATGGAAGGATCGGTGGATCAGTGTGTCCGCGCGTGTGTGTACGGTTCTTTCGGGAAAGCATCATCGTCATCGCATCATGTCACGGTACGGAACAGCAAAACAACTATCAATCGTTTTTTCTCTTACCCGGTTGTCGCACGGGTGAGTCGGTGTGTGGCTGTTGTGTTGTTGTTTGAGGAGGTTGGTTTGTCGGAGGTGGGTGGCTGGGCTTGCTGAGTTGAGTACCTACCTAACCTGTTCGGCACATTACATATTTCTACTTCTTGGCTTTATTGAGAATTGTACTTGCATCGCCGCTTATTTGGTCTCTTGCTAGCCCGGAGCTTGTTCAACCCGTGATGATATAAATAATTTGTCTTCTGCGCATGACGATGTCCCACGGGCTGTGCTTGACCGAGATCTTGTCCGGCCAAACTGTACGAGCTTGGAGGGAGTCTTTTGCTCCGTTCAGCGTCTTCCAGACCTTCTCAAATCCCGGACCCCCCCAGATGTTGTTGCGGGTAACTCTGGGCTGACTATCAGCGGACACAGGTGTCGCAAGTAACACGCCGTCAATGTACCTCTGCAATACCATGCCTTACAATCGCATCAGGGGATTTACTACGTACGGTCAAATGCGTATGATGAGTATCGTATATTTAAGGGACTTTTGTCTGGAAGAATTGGAACCAGAGTGAGTCTAACAAACCCACGTCTCGCCCTGGCCAATCTTTGCTGACCTCATCAGCGGGCATTTACACATGATGCCTTGAACGTTTCAAGAGAGGGAAGATTAAAGTATCCCGACCGACCCTTCAGAATGGAAGCAGACTTTGGAGAAGTCCTTGTGCTGCCGCCCTCACTCGCCAATGAGATCACGAACGAGCCAAAGCTTAGCTTCGGGGCTGCAACGTCGGAGGATTTCCACGGCGAATTTCCACGGCGACATCCCCGGGTTCCAGCCGTTTGCTCAGGGGAGTCAGGACGATGAGATACTCCAATCTGTTGCTAGGAAGCAATTGACCAAGTCACTCTGTTTGTGCCAAGGATTGAAACTCTCTCTTCAAAGGCTCAAGTCTGCTAACTAAGGCTTCTCAGCGAAAATCACCGAGCCACTATCTGAAGAGACAGCAATCGCCCATGCCATCAACTTTGGAGATACTATAGGTCTGTCATCCGCAGAGAAGCAACGAACCCCGCTGTCGACTGACAAGTCTGGGTCAATCAGAGCTCAGAGATGTTCTTCTTTACCCGGCTGTGCTGGACACCGTGGCGCGGCTTTCTTCCCGCGGCTTTCTCAGCGACAGGCTGTGCCGAAACGAGCACTGGCTACGCATGACCAAATCTTACACCGTGACCGCATTCCAAGCCGCCCAGAGCCTACGCGCATACCCCCGCTATCTACGCAAGCTCGTGCACTGGTTCCAACCCGAGTGTAGGCAGCTGCGAGCGCAACTGGCCGAGGCGCGAGAGATCATTGCGCTGGTAATTGAGGAGAGACATCAAGCACGCAGGACAGCTGCAGAGGCTGGCCAGTCAGTTCCGGAGTACAGTGACGCGATTGACTGGGCGGACCGGGAGGCAGCCCTCAAGGGAAGCACCCAGTACGACCCGGCGGTGTTCCAGCTTATCCTGTCGGTCGCAGCAATCCACACCACCACCGACCTGACGTCCCAAGTCATCCTGGATTTTGCTCAGCACCCGGAGCTCATCCAGCCGCTGCGAGAGGAAATCTCATCTGTGCTGCGGGATGAAGGCTGGAAGAAGACAGCCCTGTACAATTTGAAGCTGCTCGACAGCTGCATCAAGGAGTCGCAACGTATGAAGCCTATAAACGCCAGTAAGTTATCTGCCCGGACCAACCTCAACGTCCCGTTTTGAATAGCCTAACATAATAACTATGTCCAACAGTGTCTATGAGTCGACGTGTTCAGGATCCTCTGAAATTGTCTAATGGAATCTCCCTCGAGCCTGGCATGCGTCTCAAGGTAGACTCATTCCGAGGGGGGAATTCAAAGATACACAGGGACCCAGAGCAGTGGGATGGCCGACGATTCCTCAGGATGCGGTCTGAACCGGGTAAGGAGAACAAGGCCCAGCTGGTATCTACGAGCGCACAGCACTTGGGTAAGCATCCTCCCCGGGACAACTACTCTGTTCTGGGCTGAAACAGAAAAAAAGGCATTCGGCCACGGCGAGCATGCATGCCCCGGCCGGTTCTTCGCCGCCAACAAGGTGAAGGTCATGCTTTGTCACTTTCTGATGAAACATGATTGGGCCCTCACCCCCGGGACAGACGGTCGTTTTGTAAACAGAGGTGCTAGTCTGAGCACCAGTCCTGACGCCAAGATACGGATCCGGAGACGCCAGGATGACGAGTGGGAAATTGATAGTCTATTAGGTATGTGGTCGACTTCATAAGTCTGCAAGATGTCGGCATTCAAGCAGTTGAGTCCTTACCAGAAAGAAAGGGCAGATACTAAATATAGAAATCAGAGCCTCTTCGGTATGAACGTCGAGAACCTCGCAAATAATCCAGATTGGCGGTGGTATCTGCTGATTGGTACTCTGCTGCTTATTCTCCCATTTATTAGCTGGATCTTCACTAAGTATGGTGCTGTGTGTCGGTGCCATGTACATCTCCCTTCTCATGAGCTAACTGACTCTTGCAGGTGAAAAGCTGGATAGAATTGCATGTTGGATCTCCCACTGAGAGATTTACTCAGCGGTTGAAGGGGGGAGACGGGACAGCTGAAGAAGCCTCGAGACTCGACTGGAGCGTGAAAGAAGAAATCCAGGCAGCGGCAGAAAGTGGTTCACTCGGAGAGATTGGCTCTTATCGAGAATTTTGATTCCATAGCTGCTTCTTTCAGCATTCACTGGCGCGCCATGTTCCCTCAAACATGACATGCAAATATATACTTGGGAAGCCAGAATATTCCACGGGAACCTCACGGGAGGGGGAGTGGGCTCGACTGCTCAGAGATGCGGTGAAGCAACCATTAACCTTGATAGCCTTGCCCCCAAGGCAATATAATGGTGGCAACTGCATTACCAGCTCTGATAGGTGGCAGTGTAAGTTGTTCTATGCAGTACATACGCCTCTACTTGCCGTTTACAGGCGGCCCCCAAAATACTATCACAGCCCCCATGTTGGACACCAAGATTCAAAGTCCGATGTTCGCGGAATATGTTACTCAATTGGGTCCTTGTCATCGTCAGTTCCGGCCGTTCGAATTTCAAGTTTCATGGCATTCTTCTTAAATGTTATCCTGGAGGCTCCTTGTCCACTCACAGGGCATCCTCAAAGGGGCTGTTGGGGCCAGAGCCTCGTCTAGTCAGCTCATGCAGGTTCCAGGAGAGTGGACCAGTGTGTGTCCTGGCAACACCGTCCATCTCAAGCAGTGTGACGGTCTCTAATCAATGTGAGTACCACAGAACTTCGAGACCGATCATGACCCTCGGCCGCCCCGAGGAAAACGCCGCGGCGCCGTTGTCAGGCAAGGCGCATTCCGCGTCTCAGGCAGCATGCGATAATCACTTTGCGGTTGCACAGTTGTGCACTTCATTTGGCCGATGAGACCGAATGCCCCCAAATGGCATGGATCTTTACGAGCATTTAGCATGTGAAAGAATGTCGATGCGGGAGAGAATTAGGTAGGTGGAATGCTTGCGATATTCGGCTGGAGAGATACTTATATCCCTAAGAATATAAGTCCAAGGCTCAAACTCTCTCAGATGTGTCCAAAAAGTCATCCTTTCCTGAGCCACCCTAAACTTTAAGCCTTAGTAAACGTCCCCATTTGTCGCCATGACAGACTCTTCAACCTCTTCTGACGAGGTCCGGTACGGAGTCTATCTCGGAACATGGACCAACTACTCAAGGGGCCGCGTTCTCGGCGCCACATTGACATTGGAATCTCGATATGGTCTTCTACTCCTTTCTTTCACTGCTACCTTCGTTGGGTTCGTAGCGTCGAGGTTTTGGCGCATCATAACGCTAATGCTCCACCGCATCTACTCGACACCTGAACCACGTGATGCTCTTCACCATCAACGACAAGTTGGTATGTTGGATGAGTTGCAGTACTGGTCAAAGGCTTGCAGAGCTCAGCTAATTGAACGGTGGAAGTCCTCCGGAACTCTTTGTCTGCTGTATCCACCCTGTGGACGTCTTTGCAGTTGGCCTGGTGCTGGCGAGCCGTGGCCGATGGCTATCTTGCTCGCACTCTACCAACAATCATCTTCGCAGCCTCGGCGTTTTGTGCCTTCACCATAGCTGGTGGCTTCACATCATCAATTTCCTCTGGCATCGGCAACCACGTCCTCCTTGACGGCTCTCAGTGCGGAGTCCTCATGTACAATTCGGCGTTGACAAGTGGCGCGGTCTCTGTCGTCTATCCTTGGGTCTCACAATCTATGAGCAACGCAGCCAATTACGCTCAACAGTGCTATTCCTCCAACGCAACTGGAACGTTGGACTGCACCACCTTCGTCAAGAGCCGCCTTCACTTCAGTTCTGTTCTAAACGCCTCTTGTCCTTTCAACGACTACATGTGCCGCACTAATGATTCGAACCTATTACTGGACTCAGGATTGATCAGCACCGATGATCTTGGCTTGAACATGCCAAGCGACCAGCGCATGTATTATAGGGAGATGCTTCACTGTGCCCCTCTCAGGACTGATGGGTTCGCAAGCAATGTGAGCGTGAACAACAACAATTACACCAGGTATTCATATGGTCGCAGAACCAACGCCGGAAAAACGGACACTGGCTCCGAATTCTATAATTGGACTTACGAGGTTGCCAATCTCGATGCGCAATACCGGACACAAGCCGACAACACACTACGGGACACCAACCAAGGTTTCAACCTCATGTAAGCAGAGACCGTGATGAAATTTGCCCACTTGCTTGTGACAGTGGTTGATTATTGAGTAGTGCCTTACAATCACGTATTGCGAACGGCACGAACTATTTGGCAGATATTGACTTCGAGGCCATCCCTCAGCTGACTGTTTCTGACGCAGATTCGATGATTGTTTTTCTTTCGCCAGAAGGAGTCTTCTTTATTAACCAAACGGACGATCTTTGGTACCGCGGTATCGTACCGGGCAATGTATTCCATTTTCCAAATGGTCAACGCGTTGTGTATGTACCTGACGAGGCGGCGTCGCCTATGGGGTGCGTGCAGCGCTTCCAGTACTGCAACTCCAACAAGAAATGTGGCAGTCTTGCTAGCGAGATCGATTCCCTGACCAGTGCCATGCCTCTGTTCCACGAAGACTCCAGCGATTTCTGGTCTGTCGATGAATCGGGTGACACTCCCGAAGCAATATCAAGTCGTTTCGATATGTTCCAAGTCACAAAGCTTGCCGCTACGACTCTCTATTCATTGCTAAATTGTCTGGGTCCGTCCTCCCTGTTATCTTCTCAGCACCTCAACCAAGGAATGATGGGCCCGCTACCCAACAATCAGTGGCAACTCGACGTCACTCACTGGTTCTCTATGCGTATGGCTTCGATCCAGGCCGCTTTTGTGAACACCGCTCGCGGTCCGACCGACGAAGCAGTGCGGCCATATGTCACTACGACTGACGATAAAAACCAGCGGGCAATGTGTAATAACCAGGCAAGTAACATTTCCGTCATTGAAGACAGCTTTCGCTATGAGGTCGGCTGGTGTGGAATTCTCACTAATTGCTTTGGTCTCGGAACAGAAAATCCGCAGCACTGGCTATACCTCACTGAGCCTCTTCGGGCTCTACTTCACATACCTGACCGGCATCATCATAATCCTGGCTTCATACACTGCCGAACCTGTACTTACCTTTTTCTATTCCCGCCGCAAATATGAGGAGTATAAGTATTTGGAATGGGCAGCCAACGGTACCCTTCAACTTCAGCGCCTGGCATATCAGGGGCTTGGATCGGAAAAATGGTCAGACTACACCGACGATATCCCAAAGACAAGGCCGGGATATTTCCTGGCAGATCTGGCCCGGGCTTATCCTCCTGAGGACGACGACGACGAGGTTCACGAGGTGAAGCCAACAGTACATGCGACAAGAACGACTACGCCGTCTGTCTCCGAGACCAGCGCGAATCTACGCGTCTCTGAGCAATCCCGAGGTGTCGCGTCCCGTCCGGTCTCTGCAGTCTCTGGGTTGGCCCCGCAGGCTGTCTCGCCACAAGCTGTCTCGCCGATCTCACAGCATCCCCAGGGTTGAGGCAACCCAAACCCCTGCCCTCTCTAACTCTGGCCTACTCTGCAGGCCTCTGCGAAAGAGGTTACAACAGCTACTCATCTCGGAGGGTTCTGATGCAGGGCCTCTCCTACAGATTGGATGTTATCGAATTATTTCGGAGCTTTCTGGTATTATCATGCAACTGGGGTCTTGTATTCAACGGTGTCTTTGTAGAGATGCATGCGTGAGCTTAATACTGGGGGGGGGGGAAGCCTTCTTCCGCTTGAAACCTCTCAACTTGGCTATTACTGTCACGAAGCTACATAGCATGGATCCCTGGGCGGACTCCCTTCTGTTTTGCAGTTAAAGAATATGCTTCTCTGATTCGTTCATGATGCTGTTCTTAATGCCTCTACTGAGCATCCGTGGCCACATCTAATCGACCAGAATTTCGACTGCCAACTGACCTTCTCGGAATGTCTTGGTGTCATCTTGACTTGCTTCATGTGATACAAAACTTTAATTCAGATGCCTAGTTGATGAGTTACTACCGAGTAAGTGGTCACATGACTACTGAACCAACAATGCTACCCCTGCTAGGCAGACATCTGGATCTACCTTTTCCACAGAAAAGTCTCCCAGTGGCTTCTCTGGTCTCTTCATACAGCTATAGACTATTTGTATTCTTTAAGTTCCTGTACTAAGCTAAAAGGACAATGATTATTTCAGTGGGACAAGAAATAACGTAAGTTATAGGCAATTGCAGTTAATTTCGGTACGCAAAGCTTTAAACAGCAACCATCTAATCTGCTTTTATAAACCAATAACATACAGGAAACCACTAATTCATACCAAAAGCCTTAGTATTAGGCCGTGACCATTCATATCGGCGCTGTTAACAAGCTATCAAGCTTAACACCAAGCCGGTCTCTGCCATCGCGGATAAAGCCATCTCAACCTAATTTGACACCATCAAGCACTATGTTCAAGTGCCTTCGCCCTATAACTCTGGCCTTCGAGCACAAATTGCAGAAAATGGACAATATAAAGCTGCCATCTTCCAGACTGAAGATCTGTCTCCTGTTCCTCATACACCTATATCGTGACTTCACGCCTACAATTCTGATATACCTCTGGCGCGCAAGGGACTGTGATCACCGACCTTCTCCAGCGACCCCCTCCCCCGTTTAAGATGGACTTGGTCGAGATTTTCTACGATCCTGCCGAGCCTAAAGGCGCTCAGGTTACGTTTCGACTGCAGAAAACTGGCGAGCGCATCGTCGTATCCCTTTTCAAATCCGATACGGTAGAGACGTCTGCTGATGCGTCAGGGAATTTGCCATTAGTCGACCAAGTGATACAGCTCTTTGGTCAATCTCTTGTCACGGACAATTACATCGCGTCTCAAATTCTGCAGGGCGACGCTCTCGACCCCATCTACCAAGCCGTCGATTCCATGATTTCAGAGTCAGAGATCATCAACCGAGATACCGAATGGAGATGATAAAGTGGACCAAACGCCGTCTCTTCACACCATTCTGTATCCGAAAGCATCTCATTTCCGACTGGAATCAACAGCGCAGCTTTCTGAGCCAGTTCTGGTGCCGATCGCAGCAAGCGAGGCCTACAGGATATCATTCGACGATGGGGCGAGCCCTTTTGGATCACCGAGTGGAATTTCAGACCGATGCTTCACTACCGCGATACTCCACCCATCGAGTTCAAGTCGTCGAGGAAATATTTGGTAGCGGTGGCACGATCTGTCTTGTCACAGTCGATGGCCAAGATAAGCAGTACTTGTGCAAAGCCAGGCGAGACGAGCTTCGGGACCCAGACCTCAAGCGAGAGGTCGACTGCCTGCAGAATATCCGGCAGGCTTATCCAAGTCCGGCGGGCGGAACGTCACCTTGTCGAGTCCCAGAACTCAAAGGCGTCGTCGAACACCCGGAAAATGGTGTCATCGTAGGATTTCTGCGGGAGTGGATATCCTCCAAATACAATCTTCGAGATACCGCAACCCATGGCCTGGCAACTCCACGGAAAATACGTCAAAGGTGGGCAGACCAAATCAAGAAGACAGTTAAAGCTCTCCATGCCGTCGGAGTAATTTGGGGTGACGTACTGCCGACAAATATCGTTATCGACTTGAACGAAGATGCGTGGGTAATCGACCTCGGTGGCGGTTGGACCAAGGATTGGGGGGACAACACCTTCCAAGGGGCCATTGAGGGCGACGAGCAAGGTGTTTCAAGGATAATAAAGTATTTGGATGTTGACTGTGGGAGGAAAGGCTGGGTCTGGCAAGTATGCGATCATTTGTATTCGAAGTGGGCGTGATAGTTAGAATCTAACTGCACTTGAGCAGAAGGGGCAAAGGGCACCCTTTTCAAAGACGTACGGCCCCTATTCACGTAACCCCCCAGTGACTTCCATATTGACACTTGATAATTACCAGTGCCTACGGGTATAATGATTCTAAGCGCCCACTGGGTTCGATAATGGGCTCACAAAATACAAGGACAGAATCGGCGTGCAAAACCGATCTACCAAGGCTGAACACCGTCCTGCCCAACGACTTTCCCAACAATCCTGTCATGCTTGCCTTCAATAATGCTTCTGACCAGGTCACCGCCGATGCTAGGGTCTGCAGTCCCAATGGCCTTGAAAAAACTCCTTGTCACCTCCCAGCCCTGTCGCCAGGATGCCAGGCGAGACACCCCACACCTTCACACCCCTCTCCCGGCTGCGTCTGAACTAGGCAGCGAGGCCGCCGTCGACCATCAAGACCTGGCCGGTGATGAAGGACGCCTTCGATGAGGCCAGGAAGGCGACAGCCTCGGCGATTTCGGCAGCCTCGCCCCAGCGCTTGAGCGGCGTCGCCGCGGTGGCGCCCTCGAGCAGCGCCCGCGTCGGCGTATCCATCATCGGCAGCACCATACCGGCGTTGATGACGCCGGGCCCCACGGCGTTGGCGCGGATGCCGTGGGCAGCCTCCTCGGTGGCGAGCTGGCGCACCATCATGGCCACCGCCGCCTTGGGCGTGGCCGAGAGCGCGTCGCACGGCACGGTGCGGTTCACCGCGCTGGTGACCAGGGCGACGAACGAGCCGCCCCTGCCCCGCGCAGCACCGGCACGCCGGCCTTGGCGATGTTGTAGAAGCCGTAGACGTCCGTCTCGATGACGCCGCGGAAGGTCTCGTCCGCGAACTGCGCCAGCGGGCCCGTGCCGAACACCAGGCCGCCGGCCGACACCACCGTGTGCACGCGCTTGTACGTGTCCACGGCGTGCTCGAAGACGGCCTCGACCGCCTTGCGGTCCGTGACGTCGCAGGCCACCGCGCTCGCCTGGCGCCCGAGCTTGCGCAGCTCCTCCACCAGGGACTCGGCCTCGGCGCGGCGCGATTTGTAGGTGACGACAACGTCGGAGCCGCGCTCCGCCATCAGGCCGGCGCTCGCGCGGCCGAGGCCGCCTGAGCCGCCGAAGACGACGGCACAGCCTTCGGCAAATTCGGGTTGGGTGACGCCAAAAGTCATTTTGTTTTCTCCTCGATGATTTTTGGTTGTTAATTGGTGCAGGTAGGGCCTTGAGGGACAGAATGCCCCCCATTTCCAGCCTCGGCTGTCCATTTCCTCCAGTATAAATACTTGAAGCAAACAATGAGGTGTGGACCTACGCAACTCCGGATGACTCGTGCCCCGTTGATACTACACCTCCACAGGGGTAATGAACGTTGATTGTTGACTTCTCCACCCAAAGTCGCCTTTACTAACAAATTGGGCGAAGCGGTACCTAGTGGGTCCAGAATCACCAATAGAAAAAATACAGCACGAATTAACGTTTATTACCCCTGCGAAGGTGTAGCTACTCTGTTGGTTCGACTATAATTCTGTTGGTTCTGTTGGTTCGGCATAAGCATCCACTTCCCCTCGCTATCAGGTTGGATTGGATCGCCTGCCTGCCTAGCCCTCTGAAGAACCCTCTATTCCTCGGATATTTATGGAGAATAAGTAGCAGGACTTCTGCTTCCACAGAATTTGAGTGCGAGTTGATGTTCTCTACTTTTCCGACCCTATCCACCTCATGTCGAACTAGCAAGTTAAAGCCGGTGGAGTGTAGTCTGCAGGTGCATGCAAAAGTACCCTGCTAAAGGATTCAAGACCGGTTAGCTACTGCGTGCCCCCATCAAGTCCCTGCAACGCGTGGCGCATTTGCGGGACGGCGAATGTCACGGCCCAGCTCGCTTGCTACGGGAGGCCTACCCGGTGGATGATCTAATCTAATTTCAGAACTGCAGGGTTTTTTTGTTCGACCCCAGATCCAGCATTCGGTTGCTCCGTCGTTGAACGGCACGGGTGGTCGGGCTGGAGCTCAGGCGTCACGACGGGGAAGTGTTCCGGGAGCGTCTGCCGTGGGGTGGGCTGAGGCGGCGGCCATCTTGTCTGAGTGTGAGCTGTTGGGAGGTTGACGTGGTGCCCGCCCGACTCAGAATGCATGCCTGTACCATAGTATGCACAGGATAGGAGCCACGCTGTTCCCACAAGGGAAAAAAAAAGAGGGACTCTAAACTAAAGAGCCTGAGGGTGTCTAGACGGAGTACACATGGTCAGCAGCGATACAAAGCCAGATGTCAGCACAACGCTTCATATCTTCAACGCCGATAAAGATATCCCGTTTTTGAGAAACACTTCATACAGGGCAATTCTTGAAACTGACTAGTCGCCCATCGGAGCCCAGATGAGCGATGCCAGTATGCACACCTTGCTGGGGGCTGGATATTACCCTCCTGGTTGTCAGACCGGCAGTGGTGTTGGGCCAGCCCCGTCAAGAAACCAACACGAGACTAATTTGTGGAGCCGGTAACGCCCCCGTTCCCAAGTGAAGGGTTCAGACGCAGAGCATATAATAAAACCGAGGCCCATCCAATACCACCGCTCCGGACCTGAAAAGCCCAGCTCCCCCCCCCCCTTCCAACTGAACAGTTGCCACGAAGGCTGACCCGTTTCCCGATTATCCACCGACACCCGCACCTTGACCAGTGAGTTCTGGATAGGCAGTGCCCGCCATGGTGTATGTGTTCCCAATCGAGCGTGAGCCCCAGAAGGCTATCATCGCCGGCGCAGTCGTTTTCTCACTGCTGCCGACTTCTGCCGTTGTTCTGCGAATGTGGGCGCGGTCGAGACTCAAGGGCCACACTCTCGATCTGAGCGACTGGCTCATCCTCGTGGCATGTGTAAGTTTCTTACCCGCCCGAGTGTTCCTATATCTCCACAGGAAGCCTCTAACGAAATCCAATCCTTCAGGTTGTCGCGGTCGCGTACCAATTACTCGCAGTCGCCTGCGCCGTGGTTGGCGGGATGGGATACCACACGACCGAGGTCCTTGCGATGGGAGGGCCGGATTCCTTCACCCTTCTCATGAAGCTTGTGACCGTGGTCGTGGTCTTCTGGTCGCTCAGTCTCGGGTTGACGAAACTCTCCATCCTCGCCTTGTATGCCAAGATTTTCTCCGTTCCGAGTTTCGTCCTGATCAGTCAAGCCTGTGCCGTATTCGTCGTGATCTGGGCCATGATCCTGTTTATCGGTGCCTTCACCGTGTGTTCGCCGGTTGAATACAACTGGGACAAATTCTCGACCGTGGGAACCTGTGGCGACATCAGGATGCTGTGGGCTGTAACCGGAGGGCTCAATATCTTCACCGACCTGGTTGTCATGCTCCTGCCCATGCCTTATATCTACGGCCTGTCGCTACAGCTGTACAAGAAGATTGGGTTGATGGTGACTTTTGGGATCGGGCTTGCGTAAGTGAACCGACTCCTGCCTTTCGTCTTCTCACCGCGCTAGCTAAGACATGGAGATACAGAGTCTGCATCGTAAGCACCGTCCGACTCGCCGAGATTATCAAGATCGACATGAACGACTTCCCATATTCCGGGGGTATCGCGCTCATGTTCAGTGCACTGGAACCCTGTTTGCTGGTAACTGCAGCATGTATCCCGCTTCTCCGCCCATTAGTATCTCGAAACAACTCGACAGACAAGGACAACAGCTACGCCAGAGGCAATACTAAAGGCAAGAACGGAGCTTCGTCCACTCCTTGGACGGGCGGTTTTTCGGAACTCCCTGACGACGACGGCTCAACGAGACAACTACACGTGGCACAGTCCCAATATGGTGGGAGGGCGACTGCTACGGTAGATGATAGTTCCTTTAATTCCTCCTATGGAGCCGATAACCATCACGCCAACATGGAATTGAAAACTATCACGGTTAAGAGGGACTGGAGGGTTGAAGAATCCGCTGTCTGAACTGGTTTAGACAACGTCCGATTCACACAACCCAAGAGGTTGTTGGAACAACCTGGATTACAGGAATGCATTGTGCCCAGTAGCGCAGTCTTGATTTAGTATTAGCATAATTCGTGGTATTTACAGTAATTCTGTTTTACTTGTGGCAGCCACTTTTAGCTTAGAGTCACTACAAGAAAGGTAGACGCCAGTGCCGCAGGTCGATTGGCGCATCCAACCCATGCCGCGTGGGTGGTCTCACATGCACAGCCATCTGGGTCGCTACTAGATCTCTAGAGCGGCTGCTTGTTGGTGCAGCAGCAACAGCCGCCGCCGCCTCGGCAGCCTTACCGGAAACAAGGATCTCCGGGATATTGCAATGGGGTGATTGGCTTTTTAGAATCGGCTGCTATTGAAGGCCATGATCGGCTTTCTTGTTGCCCTATGTATAGTTATTGCATTGATCTTTCTGTTCACCGTTACAGTGAACTATCAAAATTGTAAAGAGTAGTTGGGCTATAGTTATCCCTTTATCTGGCTGTGGGCTAGCTGGGTAGTCACGTGACTACTAGCTGACGCTGGGTGGCAGCCAGCTGGCAACCGTACAGTGCGTGTAGTGCACTCAATGCATGGGCATACCACGCCGATCACTATTCCCACACATGTAGCATATATGCATGGTAAATCACTTAGCATAGAGTGAGGCCCAGGACCACCATAGAATCCAACGATGGCGTTTCAGCATCGAAATCTAACCTTGCATTGCTGGAAGAGGCTGACAGTCGTTCGCTGCATACGGGATATTAACTATGGACCCACAAAGGAATTTGCTGGTGAAAATACCGAATCTCTGCCCTGTATTCTAATTTACGTATGCATAATACACCCCTTATTTAAGCTTTACACAATGAGCCTAGGCCGAGAGGCTGAAAGGTTTCCCACCCCATATCTAGAATACCTAATTCTCAACAAATGCGAAGCGGATGGCATGACTCTGCTCAGCAATAACATATCATTGACTTCACGGATGCATGAGTATATATGGGCTGGAATGCCCGAGTACTGATCCGCCTACTGTTACTCTTTATTCAAGTCACCAAGCTAAACTCGCAACGATTATCTTTCCTTAACAAGCCAGAGCGCGACTATCACCATGTCCAACCAAAATTACTTAAGTGCCTCACAAGTGGGAATTCCCGAAGCCCACCCATGACAATTTTATCTTTGATGGAGTAATTCGCTATCCGCCAACCGGTATCAAAGTCTCGGTCGTCGGTGGTGGGACCGCTGGTTATACGACTGCCTTGGAGTGCTGGAGAAAATGGCATACGGTCCATTTGCTTGAGAGGAATGATGACAAGTCGCCAATTGGTATGTGCCCCCGGCCTTTTCAAACCGTCCCGCATTATTTTAGTGTCTTATTTGCTCACCTCTCCCCTCGAGGTGACATGGTTGTCCTCGGCCCTTCAGCCGTCATAACCTTCACTCGCTAACGTCCCCGGCCCCGATCCCGGCCGTCCCCTGATCCCGGCCGGCCCACACCCGCGTACGCGCATAAACGCGTTTACACCTACCCTATATTAACTCCTTAATATCTTTACGAGGAATTTTTTTTTAATTACTAAACTTCTCCTAAATATTATTCTCCTTATTATAAAGCAATACTTTAAAAATAACCTTATTAATACCCTCATTATTATAAGAAATAAGATATTAATTTAATAAGCCTTTAAAATATAATATATCCCTTAAGCTATATTATTTAATTACCTTAATAATATTTAAAGCTATTGCATTATTATTAACCCTTAAAGGCTTTTTTTTAATTATTAAAAGGCTTTATTAGCTTTATTTATAATTAATTAAAGTAGCTTAAAATTAGCATTAATGCAATTTAAAATAAGGGCTTTAAAAGCTTAATTAGCCTTTTTAAATAAAAACTACTTTCTCCTTAAAAGGAATTAATTAAGGGCCTTTTTTTTTTATTATCTTATTTTTAAAAGCTAAAAAAGTTAATATATAAAGGCTATTTATTTTTAATTAATTATTAAAAAGAATATTAAATCTTAATTTAACTTTCTTTAGCTATTTATTATTAAGTTTATTTAATTAACTTATTATTAAAATACTAATAAGAAAGGGTTAATAAAAGGTTACTTAAAAAATACCCTTACTCTTAGCTATTTAAATAATAACCCTTTATTATAAAAGGACTTTAATTTAAAAGCATAAACCTTTTTTATAAAATATATATTTATTATAAATAGGTTCTTTAACCCTTTAATTATATTTAAAGAACTTAATATATAATAATAATAATTTATTATAATAAAAAAAGGATAAATAAAAAAAAATAGCTATTAAATAGCTTAAAAAGATATTTATTCCTTAAATTATTTCTTTAAACTCTTTTAAGTAATAATTACTAGTTATAAATAGGTATTATATGTATATAATTATTAACTTTATATAAAAGTACTTTTTATATTAAATATATATAGTTTTTTTACTTATATATACTTTTTATATATTATAGCCCCTTAATATATTAATATTTTCTTTACTAAAAACAGCATTTTAAAAGCATTTATATTTAATAAAGTAATATAATTCCTTATTAATAATAGCAAAGAAAAGGTTTTTCTTTTATTATTATAAGGCATAAAAAGAAGTACTTATAAAGTTAAATATATATTTAAGGTAAAGAATAATGAAACTTTAGCTAATATTTAAGTATAAAGCACTTAAAAGTTATTATATTCTTAAAAACTATTAAATTTAATATAAATTATTAAAATTTAATATAATAAAAAGCTTTATTAAGCAATTCTTTATATTTAAGGTTTTTTTTCAATAATTAAAATTTATTTTTAAAATTCCTAAATAATTATAAAAAGTATATTAATTAATTACTTATTAATATTATAATAAATACTTAAGCCTTATATTATAAGTATTCTTTAAAAAGCTTTTTAAAGCATATAATAAAAAAGAAACTTAATTAATTATAATCTTATAAAAAATTAATAATTAAAAGTTTAAATTAAGGCTAGCCAAAAGATTATAAAGAAAAAGGTTTAAATTAACTTAAATATAGCTTTTGCTAATATTAAGGCTATTTATAAGGCTTAAATAAAAGTAAGAAGGGTATTAAAAGAAAGCAACGCCTTTAAAGAATTAAAAATACCAACGAAAGAGGAATCGTGCATTATGATGGCGGGCAATTAATGTTGAAGAGAAGACGTGTGTAGGTGCCGAGGGCGGCCGGGAAGGGGGGGCGGCCGGGATCGGGGCCGGGGACGTTACCCCTGGATCCCTAAACAACTCAACGAAACCGCCGTCGACACCCTGGTGACCTACCGCAACACCCACGACAACCAGCTCGTCGCACCACCCGAAGAGCTCGATTTCAACCGGGCCGGCGTGCCTGAGCATGCTGCATGGCTTTTGCGGGTCCGGTCCTGCTATCGCCGCGCCGCCCTAGCCTCCATTTTCTACAACCAAGCCAAGCGTTTGGGCATCGACGTTACTTTTGGAGTTCACATTGTGGACTACGAAGAAGACGAGGCCCAAGGAACGGGGTCTGCGATTGCGGAAGATGGTGCCCGTTACACCGCCGACATAGTTGTGGCGGCGGATGGCCTGGGCTCCAAATCCTACAACCTCATCCTGGGGGAGCCGCTGCGAGCGTCCCTCACCGGCTTTGTTGCTTGCCGTGTCATGTACCAGGTTGAGGACCTTGTGGACCCCTTTACTCAAACCCGAGGTGGACGCACTGGAGCGCAATGAATTGCGCCTTCATTCAGGATGAGTGCACTCTTCACATCAAGGTATGGCCTAATTAGATGTCCCACCTGGACCATATTGATGAAGCAATTAAGCAAACGATAGTTAATTATTATGTGTTAAGGAGAGAAATCTCCCCGCTATTAAATGCTTAAAAAAAGCTTATTTATAGGCTAGCGCTAGCGTATAGGTATACAACCCTCGCACCTTTTAATACACCCCTTATTGCAAGTATTATTATGTGTAATAATAATAAGGAATATAATGTATAATAGCTAAAATATAATTTAAATATTTCGCTATAATTTATATTAAGATTATTATATAAACATTATTTAATATTTATATATTTCGCTTATATTATTTTTAATTAATTATTTAAACGCTTGTTTAATAATATAAACTTTATACTTATTTTAATTTTAATTTTATATAAGCCTTTTTAAGAGCAAAGCAAAGCAATGCTTTTATATAAATATTAATAAGATTATTTTTAAATATAATATAATAAATATTATATATCTTTTTAATTTCTTTATAAATAAAGTAATAATAAATAGTAATATATTTTAATTAAGCATTAACTTTATAATTTTAAATAAGGTTTAATATTAATTAATTATTAATATATAAAATAAGTAAATGCTTAATATATTTAATGTTTAAATTTTTTAATGCTTAAATTATTTAATGAAAATATAATAATGCTAAGGAATATGTTATGTATTTTGCTTTATAAATAAATTTTATAATAATAAATTAGCGCTTTAATAATTAAGTAATTAAGCTGTTATTAAAGAGTTATATATATTTGTTAAATGCTTTTAAATTATTTAAATTAATATTATAAAAAGCATTAATATATATATTAAGTATAATAAATTTATATAATAATAATTATTTTAAAAATCTTAAGGTATAATTTAATATATATTAAATATATTAAAGCACCCTTTTTATAATATTTAAATAATAAATTATAGGCTTTATATTAAATATTAAGAGCATTATATATAAAAATATAAAGTTAAGTTTTATTTTAATAATAAGAAAATTAATAAATTTAGTAAGTAATTAATATATTATTATATTTATTGTAATATTATTAAGTTTTTCTTATTATAAAAATAAATTTAAATTTATAAAAATTTATTTTTAATTATAATTAAATATATTAAAGTATTTTAAAATTCATTAAGTGTTGGAAGGTACTGGGTGAGGCCTTTGTATGGAAACACGAAGTAAAAAGGACTGAATTCTCTCGGCTATTAACTGGCCTATACGGGCCAGTAGCATTTATATATAGTTAAATTAAGCTGCTAATAAATGCGTCCAAAGCCAATGCAATTACTATTTAAATACTGGCGCTTTTTAGCTTTTATGCAATTACCGGCAGAAGCCTTCTTCCTTTAAATAGCCCCGCATTTTAAACTTATTTCCACCCCCTCCCTTTTTATTAGCTAAGCAAAAACTAAAGTATTTGGCGTATAGGCTTTAGGGATAACGCCATGCCCATAAAGAAATTGCTTTATTTAATAAAAAAGCTTTTTCTTAATTTGCATAAATTGTTTTTATTCCTAGCTAGCGAAATCCATAAGCTAATCATTATATATATCTTTTAAGGGCACTTAAAGGACATCCTTTAAGTAATAAAGTACTTAAAAAGTTTTATATATAATGGGGTAAGGAAGTTATTAATTAAGAGTGCCTTAAGGCATCTTAATAAAAGGGAGCTTAGCTAGTTTTATTATTTTATTATCTTATATAAAGGTATATCGGTAATATTATCGCGAAGGTATTTAAAATCTTGTATAATTAGTTTGCATTTAAGGAAGAAAATATTTAGCAACTTCGCTATGGGATATATATAGGTCTTCTTTATGCGCGCATGAATAACGCTTTAAATAAGAGGAATTTTAAAAAGGCAACTTCATTATAATAAAAAGCTCCTTTATATAAAAGTTAGGATTTTATATAAAAAGAGGGCCTATTAGCAATACCATTACAATAAGGAAACCTCCTTTATATAGGAGTTATATAACTTATTCTTAGCATATTTATAAAAATAAATACTTTTTCTTTATAGTTAATTTATATCCTTTTAAATATTAATTAATATTAAAAGGTACTAAGTAAGGCCTTTATATAAAAACATAAAGTAAAAAGGATTAAATTTTCTTAGCTATTAACTAACCCGTATAGGCTAGTGGCATTTATATATAGCTGAATTAAGCTGCTAATAAATGCATCCAAAGCTAGTGTAATTGCTATTTAGACATTAAGTATATTTTTTTTAAAAAATATAAATCTTATTATTAATTTATATAATTTTTAATTTAAGTAAGTATTTATAAAGATTAAAATCCTTATACTTAAAACATTATATAAGCTTAATGCGAAATTTATTAACTTAAAAGCGATTTTTAATAATAAAAATAACATTAATATAAATAATAATAATAATTTAATTTTTAATAAAAATGCAAGGGTTAAATATTATTTTTATTAAATATTTAATTAATTTTTCTTTAAAAATATTAAACTATTTATAGCTTAATTATTTAAGTTTATATAAGGTATTAAGAAGTTTTAAAATAATTTATTAATTCTTAAATAATATTTAATATTTTTATAATAGTTATATATAAATATTATGTTTTAAATAGCTATATAGGTATGCCGTTTTAATATTAAATTGCTAAAGCTATTAGCTTATTATAATGGTAATAATAATAATTAATTTTAAATTATTATAACGCATTATAAAGTTATAAGTATGATTATAATTTATATTATAAATTTATATATATTTATAAGTAATAAGTTAAGCTTTATAATAAATAAGCTTATTAAAAGCATTAAACTTCTTTATATATATTTAATAAGAATTAATAATATATTAATTTATAATAGCAAGTACTTTAATTTATATATTTATATTTAAGAGTAATTTAAGTTTTCTTTTAATAACTTATTATTATGCATTTCTTTTATTACTTTTTATAGCTTATATATATATATTAAAGATATTATTAATATTTATTACATTAATAAGTAATGCTTAAGTAAAGATTTAATTAAAGTAATTAATAATAATTAATATTAATTAAGCAAGATTTAATATAAGGTTTATATTAATTAGTATTAAGTTATTAAAACTTTTAAAATAATTTATAATAATATTTATATTTTTTTTTACTTTTTATAAAAGTTAAATTTATTATTTTTAAAAATTATATAATTATATAAGTTTTATAAGTTTAAGTAATTTATTAATAAGTTTTATAAGTTTAAGTAGTTTATTTATAAGTTTTGCATTATTAATAAGTTTTATTAATTAAAACGTTAATAATACTTTTATTTTAAGTAATATATTTTTATTTAGCTAATTAATTATTTATATAATCTTTATTATTAAAATAAATTAAATAATATAGCTTAATATTATAATTATAATAACCTTTTAAAATAATATAAATAAATAAAAGATATTTTTACCTTTAGCTTTAAACTTTATAAAGTATGCCTTTTTAGCTTTATTTAATAATTTTATTTTTAACTTATAAGCCTTAATAAAGATATAAAGGTATATAAAATAAAAATATAATTAAAAGTATTTAATATTAAGCTTTTATTTATAAAGTACCTTAAATAATATTATTTAATATAATAAGGCTAAGTATAATTTTTAATTTTATAAGTATATTATATAGAAAATTACCTTAAGCTATAAAAATAAGTAGTTTTTATTATAAATTATTATATAAGCATTAATAATAATAATATATATAAATCTTTTAAGTATATTATTTAACTTATAATAATAAAAGGGTAATTTTTTATAAATAATTTTATATCTTTAAAACATTATAATAATTATCTTATTTATATATTTATCTTTATTATTTAAATTAAATATTTTAACTTTTATATTAAATTAAGTTTTAATTATATTTAAAAATCCCTTAATAATATTTAAAATATTATCTTTTTAAATAATAAAATAAATTTAATAAAATTAAGTATAATTATTAATAAATAAAATAAAGTATTAAAAACCTTTTAATAATTTTATTAAAAATTTACTTAATAAATTAAATTAAATATACTTAAATAATTATATAAATTATTATTTTAATAATAAATATAAGCATTTTTTAATAAACTTTATAAGTTAATATAATTTATAATAAAGATTTATTAATTTATTTAATATAATATTTCCATTTTTATATAAGCATTAAGTAATTAATTTTAATAAATTATTATAATTAAAAGCTTTATGGAATTTATTATATATTATAAACATTATAAAGTTATTTTTTATTATTTAAATTTTAAAATGTTTATATTAAAACTTTACTTATAATATTTTATAAAATTTATTATTTTTTAATAATAAAAAGATATTATTTCCTTATGCATTTAATTAAAATCTTTTTTAAATTATAATTATATAAAATATTAATAAAAATGGTTTTAATAATTAATTTATTTAATAATTATAAAATCTTTTTATAAAGTTAATGCCTTTTATAATAAGTTAATTATTACTTATAATAATAATTATACTTAAATATAATTATAAAAAGCTAAAACTTTTTATATATCTTATTATATGCTTTAAAGCATTAAAATTAAAAATTTATAATATTAAAATATTAATAATTATTAATAACTTTATTATATATATTAAAATATTAATATATAATATTATTATATTTTCCTTATTATTATTAAAAATTTTAATAACTTCTTTATTTATAGCTTAATTTATAATAGCTTATTTTTTACCCTTTTTTTATTTTTAATTAACTTTATATTTAATAAGCTTTATATAATTAATATATAAATAGTTAATAAATATAAAGTTTTATGCATAATATTAAATATATTCTTTATTGCTTAATATAAAGTTAGCATTTATTAATGCAAGCTTTATAGCTTTTTTTATATCTTTTAATATTAACTTCTTTTAAATAAAAATAAAATAAGCTTTAAATTATTTAATCTTTATATAAAAAATAATATTTATTATTTTAAGTTTAATTTTAAAAAACATTATAAGGTTTTAGCTGCTTAAGTTATTAATAATATTATTTATAATATTTAATAATATTATTAAGAAAAAGAAGCTTTTAACCTTATTATTTTTAAAAAGTAACTTTATTAACTTTTTAATAAATTATCTTAACGTTAAAGTTTTAATATAAAGCTTTATTTAAAGATTTTAAAAGGCATTTAAATAGCTTTATAAGTTAAAGCTATCCTTATATTATAAGTTTATTAATTAATAAAAAAGGTAAATAATTAAGTTATTAATATTATAATTAAATTAATTAATTAATATTTTTTAAGCATTAAAAGATTTTTTATATAATATAATAAATATTATAAAGCTTAAATATATTAAACTTAAAAGCATAATAAAGACTTAATTATTAAGCTTTTTTTATTTTATAAGGGTTATACCTTTTATTAATTATTTCTTAATACTTATAATATATTTATTAAGGCTAATAAATTAAAAGCCGCAACTTTATATTGCCTTTTAATTTAAAAAGTTTTCCCCTTTTAAATTTAACTTTAAAAAAGATAATAAATTAAGCTTAAAGTTAAATATATTTAATGTCTTTTAAATAATATTTATATATCTTTAAATATATTTTAAATAATATTTATATATCTTTATTTATTTATAGTAATTAATATTAATTAATATAAATAAATAAATAAAAAAAAGTAAATAATTAAAATATTAAATAAAGTAAAAGTATTAAATTATTATAAGTTATTATTAATTATAGTAATTATTATAAGGTATAATAATAATATATAAGCAAAGGCTAGCAATATTAAAATCCTAATAATTTAAGTATAAAAATAATTATAAAAATGGGGGTATTAATATTTCCTAATATTTTAAGATATCTTAAGCAATACTAGGCTTATAACTTAATAAAGCAATTAAGTAAATAATAGTTAATTGTTATATATTGAGGAGAGAAATCTTTCCGCTATTAAACGCTTAAAAGGAGCCTATTTGTAGGCTAGCGCTAGCGTATGGGCATACGACCCTCGCACCTTCCAACACATATTACTGAGACTCAGCTAAAAATCATGGCAACGCATAGACAGGGCTTCCATTGCGCGACTATATTCCGCAAGAAGCACATAAAAATCGTAGAAACGGCACCGGTTCGTCGTAGTCTCGAAATCTGTCACATAAAAAAAAAAAAAAAAAAAAAAAAAAAAAAAAAAAAAAAAAAAAAAAAAAAAAAACCATTGACAAACTGAATGGACCTCGCAGGATGACGGGACTGCCGAATGGTCCGGTCCCCAGACTCTAACGTCGGAGGAGGTGCTAAACAATCTGCCGGAACCCCAAAGCTGGGAGCCTTTGCTCCTCGAGGTGACCCGTAAGATCCCTTCGCAGCAGCTCGTCCGATGGAAAGCCTGCTGGCCCAACCAACAGCCCAAATGGACGAGACCCAACGGGCGGATCGTCCAGGTTGCCGATGCCGCGCATGCGTTCATCTCATGCTCGTGCCCACCTCGAAACGGGGTCACCTTTTGAGCATACCAAGATCCCCAAGGGCTTCAAGTGGGGGCCCTGGAGCATGGAGGAGGAGAGCAGGAAGGAGAAGGAGGGTTTTCACACGAGAATTCGAAGTCCAATGGGAATTGGAGTATTTACTAACGTATTAACAACTGTAGCTTCATCCTGGACTTGCTTATAAAACCTACTAGCATTTCTTCAAATAATGTAGAGATAGATACAGATTGCTTTCGGGTTTGGTTGGACATGCAAGTACCCAAGTCCATATAGTACGAATTATAAGTGACCATTCTTCTGTTGAATGCACTGCAATCTCCACTCTTCTCCATAGCCATACACCCTCCCTCTAGCAGTGACTCTATCGGTTAGCTGAGGACGATCAGCACGCAGTATATGTGAACGCGTTGCTATGACAGACTTCAGGCGTTCCAAATTAGTATTGCTGCTGTTCTTGGACATTAGATTTAGCCGAAAGCCCCATGAAACTAAGGGAATAGGTGACATAGGTACTCTGGTGGCAGAAAGCCCGACCACTGACAAGAAGTACAGGTTACAAAGCTTATTTTATTGAAATTAGTTAGGAAAGATGCAGAACTAAAAAGTGTTTCAACGGAGACCTCCCGTTGAGATAGACCATGTGTCATTACATCTGTTGATCCTAGTCAAATCCATTTCGAGCAGAGGTGTGAAGGACAGCACCCTATGCCCGTGCTTATCGCCACCAGGGGGATCTCATCAGATCCTTCGTTGTGCAAAACTCGGTCAGGCTTCTCTACTCTCACCGAACAAGGGAAAGAGCCGCAAAAGACCAACAGGCCTAAGCCACACTTTTTTGCTTGGAGCCTTACAGTGTCTCGGAAAATATGCTAATATCATATTGCCTAAGACTATAAGTCTGAACGGGATGAAGAATCCACCCTAGATAATGCACAGTCTTATTAATAGCATCGAAACGAGAACCCCGGACCCACTATTAAGGCTGATGTCTGACACGAGAGAGGAGAACTGCTCCTGGGCCCGAGACAAACCAATGCCCGCCTTTCTGCGAGGCTGACATCACAAAGCTGACTCCCCACCGCGGATCTCATGCACGCACCTGCGTAACCAACCCCGGCTTTTCTTACTGTAGGTATCACAAGGAAATTGCGGGTCTCGGGACTGAGCTGGCTGTCTTACATCGCAGAGGAAGAGGGTACCTGCTGCCTGCTTCACAGCAGTCGACAGATACCCACTTCCTGCTAGAGTCATAGAGCCTTACGCAGGTGTGCGCGCACACATCTGAGTTTACCCGCAAGCGAGCCGGCTCGAAAGAGAAACCGATGAACACGAAACAACACACACACCCCCCCACCGCGGTCAAGGCAAACCCGAGCCCGCCGTCGGCCGCGCCGGTAGTGCGCGGGATGTGTAAGCTGAGCCCATGGGCCCTCTGCCGTGCGACAAGGCGGCGTCGTCCACCATCTCGGGCGAAGGCATCGCCCAGCCGAGGGATCGCGTACCCAACCTCACCTCAACCCCCCCCTCCTCGTCCTCCTTCTCCCACGAGCCGGCCAGCCAGCCAGCCACGAGACAGCGGCACGCTCGAGTCGCACGGCTTGATTACGGATCACGGGTGGGTGGGTAAGAGTCCACCCACCGGGCTGCAGATCTCACATCTCAAGCTTATTCTTCTCCTGTCTAATCGGCTGGTGGGGTTGCCAAAGGGGATGAAAGGGGAAATGTGGGAGGGTAACGCAGGGAGGGTTCCGGGCTGAGATGGGATTCGTAGCTGGCTCAAGGTGGGCGCATGTGGAAAAGAAAACTGCAGATCGAGTGGTTCGCGTCAACGGCTGCGTGGCGTGGTTCGCGAGGGGGTTGGGAGGAGGATTTAATTCTGAAGGAGACGGAGAACAAAGAAGGGGGGGGGGGGCGACGGAGATTGTGGTTCACCTGCTGTGTGACGTGTGAGCAGATAACCCTACTGGCAGCAGGTCAACCGAGCCTGCATCGAGTCGCATGCCTCTGCGCCCTCGAGGCACCGATTTCCCAATGAAGCCCCCCCGCCCCCCCATCAGATTGTCCATTCCCATGGGGACATGTGCAAACCACACCACGCACGCACGCACCACACACGTGATACGTGATAGATAGAAATTTGGGATGGGGGAGATTTTCAACGTTGGGGTACCTCACCCCAGAATTCATCCGATTATTCTCCCATCAAAAACCTATTCGAGCGTGGTTGGTGGGATGGGACACCGAGGATGCTACGTAGTGCAAGGAGGGAGCTCCCAAGCTCCCACCGGGATAGACCCATGCAATGCGTGGGCAGACAACCTATCTCCGTGGGTGCTGCTGCTGCTGCTGCTGGTGATGCAGTGGCACGGCAGGCAGGCAGGTAGGAAAAGGCATGGCAGGTAGCATTTCGACCCCCCGCCGGGTAAGCTGGGCAGCCCATGGTTGGGTACTTTTGGGCTTGGGGGTCGCAGAAAGCATCGAAGCGTCAGAAAGTCAATCGGCTGCAGCCAGTACCTCGGTGCCTTTGCATTTCCCCCGTGGTATTCCCAGCTGCCGGCCCCTCGTGTCGCGAGGGGCCTAGAAGTGTCTTGCTGCGACACCGGAACGGCAGAGTAACGGCAGGACGCACATCCAGCCGAGTGCATGATCGGCTGCCGATGAGAGGGGGGACACCTATGTGAAAGATCACCAATCACACCGTGGGTATCACGGGAAGTTTATTGCAAAATATCAGCCAAAGCAAATGTGTAAACCCTGCTGAGGGAGAATTAGTCACGAGTCAAAAGAGTGTTTGTGAATCGTGTCATTCGTCTCAGTAATGCCGTGCAAGTCTGGAGAAGACGGTGTATCTCGCGGGACGAAGCGAAGAGATCCTTCAGGATTATCTGTTTTTACAAAGATTACTCACACCGGTGCTCCATCCATCCATTCAACCAGAGCTGTACTGTGGGCCACTCCTACTGTATGCCTTTTCCAAATCCATCGCCCGTTGCCAAACTCCTCCATGATGCTGTTGGTGCTGTGAGACCGCTTGATGATGACTGTCCTTTGCATTTGTATCGGTATACAGTGATGCCGCTTTTTATGAGAGAAAGAAAATAGTACAAAATATGTGAAGTGGAAAAGTAGAAGAGAGCCATCTAACAAACACGTATCTCGTCATTGCGCAAGGGCCTTTTAGGGTGATGCTCCTGGCTCCGTTGGCTGAAGACGCGCTGCACGAAGGCCCGGGGACCAACGTACTCGACGTCACCTAAAACAGGGATATGGTGGGTTTTCTTTGGCTGCCAGCGCTCCTTGATGCAGTCGTCGACAAGAGCGATGAGACCGGTTGCAACAATTACGCTATGTGATGTCAGTCATGGTGCTCTCAGCGGGGTGGCATCATTCATGGACTTACTCGGCAACGTCTGTCACGGCGTCGATGATAGACTGATCATTGATCCACATGAAGCAGGGTGGGACCCAGCCCCCAGAGAGCTCATCGTCCTCAACCTGGTTGGGCGAACGGGTCTCCGGGACAATGTGGGCGACAGGAGTGGTTTCGCCGTCGCGAACGAGGTGGAAAGACACGACGCCATCGAGGTGCTTCTCGACGACCCGTTTCCACACGTACTTGTGGCCCCACCAGTCGAACTCGTACCGCTTATTGTTCTTGTTCTTCTGGCCCTTCCTCGCCACATCCACACGTGCGTAGTTGCTGAACTCTAGTTTGATTGCATTCGTGGGCTGGTGAGGATGGGGCCTCCTGTGATCGCCGTCTGAGGCGCGGGAGTGAACACTTGCGGTATCGGCTTCCGTCTCGTTGGAGTGCGATGTGCCGGGGCGCCTCTCATGCTTTGAAAAGGAGCCGCCGGAAGTGGCGCGCTTAGACTGGGGCCTTGCCATTGCCTTCATGGCGCTGGACATGGACCGCTGGAGGGAGGGCCTGCTCGCTGAGGCGGGCTCGACAAACTTGCGCTTCGAGTTACAGACCTCACGGCCTGAGTCACGGCAGTACCGCCGGAGTGAGAATTCTCGCCTTGCCAAGTCATACATGCGCAGGTGGAAGAGCTGGACGGCGGTCCTCCTCCTCCCAGGCACGATGGTGTCGACACGGAGGTTCATGTTCCCATCAGTTGTGAAGTCATCATGTCTTATCGACAGACGGTTCATGCTGGGAAACAGCTGCGAGAAGTTCTTGGGGGTTGAAGGGCGCATGTTGGGTTCGGAAATCTCATGGTGGTAGGCAGGCAGAGGGGGGATGTAGTCGGATCCACTGTCCCTGGCCAGGTCTTCCTCCCGCTCCAAGGCCAGGTCCTCTTCCGAGGCATCGGTCGAGGCGTAGGTGTCGACAGAAGACCGGGGATATGCCGACGTGTCCGCGGACAGGTCCCGGTCGACTTCAACATACTGGACGTAGGGTTTGCTGTGATTTTCTGAGGGCCGTGAATTTGTGTAGAGTGAGGTGGGAGCTGTGGACCGTGAGCCGTAAGACTCACTGCTCCTTCGGTCGTAAGAGTCGTAACTCCCTAAGGAGTCTTTTCTATGTGTGTCAGAAGGCATTGCGACGGGCGCCGTGCTGCTGGTAGGAGCTCTTTCTGATCCTCAGGGTGTGTGGAGGTGCTGTATAAGAGCGTTGAAAGAGTAGCGAGGTCATATATATGGGGCCTGGATGGGGTCGCGACCCAAATGCAGGTCGTGCATGGGCGCCTTGCTGATTAGGCGGCAGTTGACAATTGACAGGCTTGGAATTTTAGGCGCCAAATGTGCCAGATGGAGTGGAAGCCACCGGGGGCGGAAGGCTGGGGCTGTTGTATGCGCGGTTGGGTGTGGTGGTGTCTGAGGTGGCTGCGCTCCCTTTGTACTTGGGCAGACTCGAGGAACGGGTTGGGCGTGCGGCGTGACGTTTTACGCTCGAGGAGGGTTGAGCTGTCAGATAGACTAGAAGACTAGATCTGGGGGTCCTCGCAAACTGAGGCGGGTGGAGAAGCCGTGAAGTGCAGCTTATCTGTTGGAAGTGGAGCTTTTGAAGGATGCAGGCGAGTGCTTTGGTTCATGTGGGCGTGAGTAAGGAGACGTGGGAGCATTTACGGTATATGAAGGCCGGCGTGGGGAGTACAAGGGCATTGTACATTTGTAACGATGTACTGTAGCCTCTCTGCGTCTCTGCCTCTCGCTGCAGGGGATGGAGCTGGGAAATGGACCGAGACCGAGGAACTACCACGCGCGCTGGAGAGGAAACGAGCGACAGGCCGCGTGCTGGTGCGGACAGGGAGCTGCAGGCAGGGTGACGGAAGCACAGCAGCCCATCCAGTCCCGTCCAGTCCCATCTTGTCGTTAGCCCACAGGTGGGAGAGAACGTACCACGGTAGAAGCCGGCGACATGGTCCTACCTTGTTGCAGCTGCGCAAGACGGGCGGTTGCGGGAGCACGCGCTGTCGGCCAGCGGGGAGACCAGGCGGACCGCCCAGACGACCAGGTGCTTTGGATGGCCTGGTATCCCGGGGCTGTCTGAAGAGTTTCTACTTGGTACATGCACAGCAGAGCTGGCCGCAGCAGAAAGCGAAAGCGCTGTACGATTGATGTGCGCTCGTAGACTACTGTGTCTCGCTTCGTTTCTTCAGCGCTGGTGATTGCCACTGGGGTTGTCATCCATGCCACTTTCCTTGCCGTCGTGGGAGGATGCTGTAGCTTGCCACCACCTGTCATCCGCTCTGCTTTGGCTGCTGCCCTTTTGTACACTGAACGGCCACGTTCACAGTCTGCTGTGGCCCATGCAGCCACGTCCACATGGGCACTTGGGGTAGGGTGGCATGTACGAGGTACATGCCGGCGGCTGGCAGCGAGGTGCGGCATTGCCTGTCCAGGTGGTCTAGTAATAGCATCGTGTAGTCTAGTTGAGGAGAGAGGGTGGCCATCCAGCGAGGGATCGCCCTGTCTGCCTGTTCGGAGACCACTGCAGGCCTGACGCTGGGCCAAGGCTTTCAAGCTGGACAACAGCCGCAGCAGCGCGCGCGTGTGCACGCACTTGCACAGCCGGGGAAGAGCGACGCCTGGGTCCGTCGGCGAGGGTGTGCACCATGGGCAGGATGGCCGGCCCTGGCCTTGAGTAGCCAATGCTCCCATGGGTTTGCGAAATGCCTCATGCTTCGCAGCCCGACATAGATGAGCAATGGCGATGGCGATGGCGATTTGCATCCCACCACGCCAGAGTGAGAGGTCGGTTCGGATGGCCAGACGCGTCCATTGTCGGAGGGCGAGGCCAATATGTGTTTGCCAGGCCTGTTTCTGGGACGGATGGCTAGCTCGTAAAGGAAAAGGTTCTGCTGCAACCAGACTTTTCCGGGAGAGACGACGGGAATGGTCAGGCTTGGCCAGGGAGGGACATCTGAGATGGAGGGCAGAGCCTGAGCCTGACCAATGCGCCGAGATGTGGTGGGTTGAGGGTGAGATAGACGAGCGACACTATAATGTGTGGGGGAGGAGCCTGAGCCTGAGCCGAGACGAGACGAGACAGGACGCAGAGACGCAGAGACGCAGCTCTCCGGTACCGAATGCTGTAGCAGCTGCATGACAGATTTGGTGGAGCAGGTGTTAGTGACATCGTGACAGCCCACACTGCCCGCCCGCTCCTGCCCCTTCGTATCGTCGTCACTCCACTGCAGCCTCGACGTGGCGTGGTCCGTCAAGCAACAGTTTGAGGGGTCGACTAATACGGTAACCCTGGAACCCTGGAACTGCCACACGTACAGTAAGCGTGCACTGCACCTGGACATGCCATAGTGAGGCAATTGCGCATTCTTCATCATTGATCAGTAATAAGGCAGAGGAAGGAATGGAACGGACTGGCAGTGTAGTGTCCGGCCACAGGCCAAGAAGGCGCTAGAATATTGCCCGGCAGCAGCAGCAGGTCAGCCACGCCTGCCACGACCTTTGCACCCTTTCCAGCCTTTGAGGTTGGCACCTTTCCCGTGCCTTCCCTTGCCGCCGCCCTATCGTGGCTTCCTCCCGGCCTACCTAGCCTACCACGGTACGCTTGTTGGTATCCTGAATACCACGTCACCCGCACTCGATCGTCGATGTCGACAACCGCCCAGTAGCAGCCGGTGGCCTGGCGAGATCTTCTAGATTCCAGACCTCGGGATCTGCTCGTTCTATTTGCTTTTGCTCGCCAACTATCCATTTCATCTACGTGCCACTAGCAGTCTGGCTTCAGTCGTTTCTCCCCGGATTGTCTCCCGGAGGTGCTTGACATCTGCAGTACCCCTGAGCATGACTGCAACTGTCTGCCACACCAAAGCCGCTCTGCATCTTGTTGTGATCAATGTCGAACTTCGGACATCGTTGAAACGGTTCCCGCTCACGCACCGCATAATCTTCCACCGCAGGTCTTTGCAGATTACATGACTTGATTCCAATGGCCTTCTGGAACCAGCCGTGCAGCCCTTGCTACTGCTGCTGCACCAAGACCACGGGACCAGAGGCCCTCGCCAATCATGCCCCCTCGCGCGCTTCCGGCTAACTGTGTGACCGACAAACCCAACCTGTGCCCTCGCCCAGCAGGCCGCTTCCCTCCGCCAGACTGCCTCTCTGGAGTCTACCTGCCCGTCGGCAAACCTTGCTTGCGACGGCCCACGACGGCGACGCCCGTGCAATCCACCTTCTGGTCGCTCACACGCTGGCGGAAAGTACGGCAACTCTGTTGAACTCTTCTACATCATTTCAACGCCCACAATGACGTCCGCCGTCTAACCATTGCAACTCAAGTCCCGGATCTATCGTCAACTTGTGGCATCTCCACTGGCAGCTGCTCCATTTCCGTTCCCTAGGCTTCTGCGGCGAAGGCGGCTACAGGACTTGATGCCAGGCCGGGAGAGGCCTTCCGGCGAACGCGACAGGACGCCTTCGCCTACTGTGGCCCGGTCCCTTGTTTGACCACTCTACTCGGTTTGATGAACAGCGAGCCGGCCATACTCGTTGATACTCGTCGGTGCCCAACGAAACTATTTACCCATGTTCAAACGAGCACCTCCAGCCGCGATGCCCGTCACTGGCCGGGGCTGCAGCCCCTCGTGACCGGCCCATTGGTCCCTGGCAATTCTGGGGAAGCCATCCGCTCTCGAATTTCTGAACTACACCAGCGACTGGACCGTGTCTCCGACATTTACTGCGAAAAGTCTTCCGTGCCGTCTGTTCAACGGTGCCGAGAAGGTGTGTTAGCTCAGCCGACGTGCAATGGTCAAGTATACCCGAGCTTTCAACCGGTGGTGGTCAGCACCTGGAACATGTCTCACTCATCCTTCCAGCTGGTTGTCTGAAATAATATCCGGTGCAAGCGTATTACTTAAGCCGGCACCCAACTGATCTGGCGTATGGAGGCGGCCACCAAGACTCTGGGAAAACAGACCAGGACACCACACTGCTAGGCCGTCTGCAGGAATGCCCCAGCCGTCGCATGCCCTGGTCGCCTCATCCGCGCGCTCGTTGTGCCGGCACGACCTTCATCTTCCGGTGGCATCCTGTCATTTTACGCCGTGCATACGTCCACGCGTCAGACTGCTGCTTCTGGAAACATCACTTATCACACGGGCCTGCAGAAGGGTGCCCAAGGAGAGGCTTCTCCGGCATGCGTGTCTCATCTGGGGGCGATCTTCGACTATCTGTATCCGCATGCAGCTGCTGCGTATTTGCTGCGTATTTTGGCCCGTCGACCCACCCGGCCTACCGCACCTTAGAATTGTGGCAAGAGCTGAATGGTCAGTAATTCGTGCCGCAGGCGTGACAATGTCTCATCAGTCCCAGTTGCCTGGTATGGCAACGACTCCGATGCAGTTGCAGCTGCTTCGTCATATCGGCCTCAGGTTCACGGGCAATTTGTCCATGCGGGCATACAGTACATGGTGATGGCGCGAGTGCGATCCACCAATGAAAGATTGACAAACTCAATGCAGTTATGGCTTTCAACAGGTTTGCCTCAAGGCTTCCTGATCTTGGACTTCTCGAAATTGACTGGACAAATCATCCAGATTCTACCACGAGCGTGCTGCAAGCTGCCTGTCACCGTGTGACTGCCTTGACACCTGAATTCCTCATTTGTCTCACGATGCTTCAACCACCTGCTCGCAGTCATTGGCCGAAGGCGGCGGTAGGCGTCTCGTGACCCATATTGTCTTGTGAACCCCGAGGGTTTTCGATCGCAAAGTTCCCCGAGGAAGCGTCGTTGCCTTTTCCACAGCAAAGTGGTGCTGTTGGCGAAGCGAATCACTTGAAGGCCGGAGCGAGTCTCTCCATGATCAACCTCGCCTCAAGTTGCTTCATCTCGCCGCTATGACTATCAATGACCCACCAATTGTCCCGATTGGCAGAGAACTTGCGCCATTGATGCCAACATCTTAGTCGAGGCCAGACACCAATACCCTGTGAGCAACATGGATCGTCCGGACCAGGGCCGAGGAGCAATGTCGCTACACGCCCATGAGCAGACGTTTACTTCAGGCTTCATCCCTAAGTCCATGCTGTGAGACATTCACTGTTCAACAACCGTCAGACGAGGGGCTCAATGCCAACGTTACATTAGACACGGGAGAAAAGACTGAGCTGAAGCCAATGGATGGCAACGAATACCTTGATCTTGCACCACATGGCAGCAAACATGGGCACATGACCTCTCCTATCGTCTCTGTCCCGAGTCTGGACGACCATCTGCGGGCATGCAGATGTCAGCATGCGTGCATCGGGTGTGCCGCAGGTGCGGTGTTCATAGCATCTCTTCGTTTCATTATTTTCTCGTCGACTGAAGGGCTAGGGAGAGCCCATTTCTCCATCGTTTCTTCTTCCACATCTGTACTGCATTTAGCGTGCGACGTGACTTCCTCTTCCATCAGAGCCGCTTAGCTTCTGCCGTTTCACCTTCGTCTGCCGGTGCTTGTGTCTTGATATGCATCTGAGAAGAGTGGGGGAAGACGTGTTCAACATCGTGGACTTCTTGAGGAGTGTTACTTTCACTGCCTAACTCAAGTGTTCTGTCCCGCCTTCTGTGACCTGGGTATGAAGTTCGTGGTGATCTTCAAGTGTGATCCCACACAGTCTGCAGCGTCCCGCCTGGTGCTGAGTGGCCGGACTCGAAAGATCGACTTCGGAGGATTTCCGGATCATCTGCCGCTGGAAGGCCCTGACGAACTTGAAGTCGATCTTCCAGAGAAGATATCTGATCGTCGTTGCGGGACGAGGATCCCTGAATGACCATCTGCGCGTTCGTCTCTGTGGAGCAGCCATCATTCGGGGGATCAGCGCTGTCATGTCCTGCCGCACGTCATTCCGCAGTCGTGGCTCTGCTGCCGGGTTCCGAACGGGTATTGAATACGCCAGGGGGACTCTGATCTCTTGATTTTCAACTCTCTGGACTACAGCCCCAATCCAATAGTCAAGCTTCCACCGATTGCTGTACGGCTCTGCTACTGGCCCGCATCTCGAGGTGATAATGTCATTGCGGAGCACAGTATGGCGTTCGGGAAACTTCGTTCGGCCCTTGTTGTCATGTTGGACTTGAGATCTTCTCGCTTGTCTTCGTGGTTCCGAAAGTGGCTGTGCACTTGTGCTCACTGCGTTACCTTCCCCCACGTCTGTCAACCCATGGCCACACAGGTGCACACGTGCACACGGAGACAGCGGTCCCACGGTTCCACGCCGTGGTGTTTCCCGCTGTTCACAAACTGTTACTGTTGTGTTTGTGACTGCAAGAATGGCGTCCCACCTGAGGTCAAATACAGTTGGACACGGGTGGATCTTGTGTTTGTGAGCCGTCGTGTCGAAATTCCGTTGTCGTCTAGGCGGATGGCATGCGGTACAGGCCGAACTCCACGTTGTAGGTACCAGTCGGCTGGCGTATCTCCGAGGAGATGGCGTTCGGCGTTGGAATACCTGGGTCACTATGCACGATGATGATACTGCTGAGAGGCGTTTGTTGCCCCCCTGTATCGGATTGAGGACTTGTGTATAGGGTGGGCCAGGCTGGATAGTGTGTCATAAACTTGGACGGAGGTGAGCTACATCTGTCTCCCGATGCTTACATAGCGCTCTCTTTTCATACATTTGTGCCTGTATCCATTGCTTTCTCATGTGCCCCGGCCTCTGTGGGTTGACTCTGTAGAATAGACCCCATACCTGGCTACTTTTCAGCGCAATCGTCTCGACTGGTCTTGCAACGGTCGTGCGGAGGTTGGCCCCCTTTTACTATGTCTTCCACTTTTGTCGTGCCAGCAAGACTGGGCGAGTAGTCTTTTGATATTTTTTCCCACCCTGACGATAAGACACTAGACTACTGTTCTTTGTAAATAGAACGTGTACGCTGTCCCCGGGTCCCGCCCCGGAGAGGCCACTCACTATGCGCCGTGATTCAGCTGCGAAGGGTAATAAGTCCTGCACAAAATGATGACAGCAACGATCTTGAGCCCGACATTTCGGATTGAATGAGACGGCTCGAACAAGTATTTGGGTGTGAAGCATAATTCATTACTTTTGGGGCCAGTACGCCCTGCCCGGGGACCACAAACTATGGATATCGACGGAAAATAATTTTGCTCATACGCCCCCCCTCCGGGGGGGGGGGGACGGGGCGCATGTGAGAAGAGGAGCGCGCACACTATAGAAGGGGGGGCGCGGGGATGTCGAGACTCTGTTCAATACAGGAGAGCAACTATCATATTCAATTACTATAAGCGTCCCCGCCGAGCAAATCTTGATGCCGTCTTCATTGTGTTTTGCTACCATACTATGTCTGGCTCAATCCAGACTGAACCGGCTGGCATCTAGTTAATCATTGGGTGGTAGCTCGGACTCATAGCCCCCAGAAGTCCTTTCTTTACCTAGGAACACTTCTTACCTGAAGTTGTTCAAGCGTGCTCATATACTTGTCACAATTTTGAGGGGCCTGGCGGATAACTGTCGCCCTTCGACAGACCGGTTGCTGTCTCCAACGGCCACGGAAGCTGCTTGACAAGTCGGGAACATTCCAAAGGGCATGGGCTCGGTTCTATATGATTGAAACGAGCACATACTGTGGAACAGCACTAATTACTGCCAGTAATTATCTTGACACATCATATTCTACGTTACAAACGTCTATTTAGAACCCCGTGCGAGACGCTCTTCCACGAGTAGTCGCTAGTTGTTACTCCATCGCATGCCACCTGCCATCTGCTACCCTCCTCAATCTATACCGAAGCGCAGGACAGCACGGCCATGCTTCATGCCCACTTCTTCCTGCCTCATTTATTTCGTGTAACATTTATAGCGCGTGAGAAGCAAAGGGTCCCCCAAAATGAATGACTTCCCCATAAACGCCGCGTGAAGCCGCAAATCGAAAATCATCTATAACATACACCACCCTGGTGACAACGTCTACTTGAACTTGGCCAACGCAATAGCGATGCTCTGGTTATCAGAGTGAGAGATGGAGACGCTGACCTCTGACACGCCAGCCTTCTCGGCGGCGGCAGCAGCATTGCCGTGCAGCTACATCGCAGTTAGTAAAGTTCTCCGAGTCCCTGGTGATGCGGCAGGAATTGTACTTACGTGAACAGTAGGAGCACCATTCTCGTTGCTCAACACTTCAATCTCGTTCAGGGCAGCGCCACCGCCCCTGCTGGGGACGTTCAGGCTCTTGAACACAGCCTCCTTCGCGCTCCACCTGCCGGCATAAGAGCTCCTTGGCGCAGCGCTCTTCTTGCAGTAAGCAATCTCCTTGGGGGTGAAGTTGCGCTCGATGAAGGTGTCATTCTCGATGTTGAAGCTGTCGATATCTTCAATGTCGACACCAACGCTCGAGTTCTTGGTCTGTAGCTGTGATGCCAACTGGTTGACGGTGTCATACATTGTCTTCTTCTTCTCGGCAGGAATCGTCTTCTTAGACAAGTCCATGAAGTTCGAAGGGAAAGTCAGCTCGGCCGTCTTCTTGCTTTCGGTGACACGCGCATCTGGGTTGAGCAGGACGGAGCTGAGCTGCTCATCCGTGTAAGGAGCGTGGGTCTTGGCCACGAAGAGGGTGTTGTTGATCATGCCGTTGTGGAAGAAGCGGTAAGCCTTCTTCTGCCGTGCGTCCACCTTGGTGCAGTAGGCACGGTAGGTGGCCTCGTCAAGGGTGGCGAACAGGTACTTGGGGTGGATACCAATTGCCTGAGCACCCTTCTGGCCGAAACCAAAGGAGGTGACCGAGAAGGCCTTGATGCCGTCAGTCTGGATGCTGCGGCTTGGGTACACAATGTAGTCAAACTTCTCCATGACCTCGTCGACGTTGTCGGCATTGCGGTTGCCAGGCACCAGACCGGTGTTGAGCACTTGCAGGCAGCCGTTCATCATCCAAGCGCCCGCAGCACCCTTGGGGTGACCGGTGAGGTACTTCTGGAAGATACCGAGCACGGCGTTACCCTTCTTGCGACCGAGGTGCTCGAGCTGTTGGCAAATGACAGAAGACTCGTTCTTGTCATTGGCCTTCGTCGAAGTACCGTGGAAAGAAGCGACACCAAGATCATCAATGGTAAGGCCCCACGTAGCCAGGGCACCACGGAGAGGAGCAATGTTAGTGTCCTGCTTCCAGAAGTTGTTTCCGAAGCTGCGGAGAACCTCCTTCTCCTGTCTCTGGGCCTCCTTCTCGATGTGGTTGACACGATCAGCAGTGTACGTCTTCTCATCGAATTCCTCGCCTTGAGACTTGATTGCCTCGACTTCCTCAGCAAGGAACTCGAGCTCATTGGCGTGCCACTGCTTGATCTGCTTCTTGCGAAGCTCGATTTGTCGCCTCCGGTACTTGATGTCGAGCAGAGGCGAGGGGAACTTGCCAGCGTTCTCGCGAGCAGTGGTCAAGACACCCTGACCAGGAGCAGGAACGGAACGACCGATCTTGTCAGAGGCAGTGGTGGTCAGAGCGAGGATACCGTGGATGGGGACACCCATATCCAAGGCAAGCTTGGCAGTCATAATGACCTGGACACCGCAACCCTGAGACTCCATGAAGCCGTTTCTGGTGGTAGTCGTGGGCCGGGACATCTCCTTGGGTGTACGGCCGTGGGCAAACTCGTCCACAGCATTGCTGGTGGCCTTCATGTTGGCGAATTCATACGATCCTTCCTCTCCGAAGTCATCAAAACCACCAACAAAGCAGACGCGAGCCTTGCCTTCCATGATGGTCTCATAGCCGATGTCAACGGACTCCACAGCTGTTGCACAAGCACCAACCGGGGTCTTGATGGGGCCAGAAGATGAGATCAGCAGCATGTTGACCCAAGCAGCCATGGTGTTGATGAAAGACTCCTGCAAGATGTCGTTCTGCAGAGGCTTGTCGAGGAAGCGGTCGCGGTGCATACCCCGGAGGGCAGCGGCGCCTCCCATACCAGAGCCGACACAGTTGCCGACCTCGGAGACGTGGACGTACTTGTAGAACTCGTAGGGATCCGTGATACCGGCCGAGATTAGAGCCTCTGCCGTCGAAACGAGGACGAACAAAGCCACAGGGTCGACTTGAGAAATGATGTCGTCGGGTACACCGTATCGCTTGGCATCCCAGCCCGTTGGAATCTGACCAGCAACGAGGCGGTCGAAACGCAGGGCCTTGGGGATCCAGAGGCCAGCGCCCTTCCTCATGCGGACTGTGTACTGGCCGCTATCAGGGATCTCAAAGATCTCGACCTTGTCGCCATGCTCGCGCTTGAACTCCTCGGCCGTCTCCTTGGAGGTCTCGAAAGGTTCAAGATCCTCCTCAATGACAACCTCGTGAAGCAGCTGCTTCTTGTTGGGGTCATATCCGCCGAACAGCTCAGGCTCAATGAGTCTGATACCAGAGTGCTCAATGATTTGCTTCTCATACTTGGCCTTGACGTCCTTGTCGTCGACAGGCTCGCCTGTCTTGGCATCGACCCATCCAGAGTAGGGCTTGCCTTTGAGAGGTCCGTTGTGGTTCTTGATGAGACCCATGATCCACGCCATCTCGATGCAGCCCTCAAGGGAGAACTGGCCATAAGCTTCCATCTCCCATCGGGTGCGCGAGTTACCCCAAGGTCCGACTTCTGCGAAACCAGTGACAACAACCACCTTCTCCAAATCAACCATGTCCTTCAGGTTGCCATTCAGAGGGGCGATGTCCTGCTTCCAGTCCGGAAGGTTGGGGAAGTCGAACTTGATGTTGGCACGTGGCTCAATGACCTTCTTCTTGTAGAGCGCCTCAGAGTCGGCACCGTTCACAGTGGCGTTCTCCAAGGCAGTCTCCTTGGTGACAGCCCTTCGGATCTCACTAGTGTCCATGATGTCCTTGCGAAGCTTGGTCATGACGTTGTTCAAATTGGGAATGAACTGGAGGCCACCGTTCAGGTCCGCCATGACGGGCTCCATTTGACACAAGTCGACGATTTGAGGCGACATCAGGCCAAGCAAGTTGAAGGCCATCTCCTGCTGGGAGAAAGTACGCACGCCCAGCTTCTCAACACCCTCAGCCACGACGTTGTTGGCCGACATGAGACCAGTGCCACGGGTCCAGCCGATAATGGCGCCACAGATGGTGAGGTACGTGCCCCAGTCCTCTGCATGCCACCGGTTGAACAGTGTCTCAAGGGCAAGCTTGGACTCAGAGTAGAGACCATCGCTGCCGAAGGTGCCGTGGTTGGGAGAAAGAGGAAGCATGACTTGCGCAGGTCGAGTCTCAAATCCGCGGGTAGCCTTCTGCGTCTTGATGCTGCCGAGCATACGCAGGAGATTGGTGAGCATGATTCGGTGGGCCAATTCGGACCTGGAGTCAATGCCGTCGATTTGGCGGCCGTTCTCAGGGATGGCAGCAAAAGGGATGACAAAGTCGAGATCCCAGCCGAGACCAGACTTTGGGTCGTAGATGTACTCGATCAAAGCCTCAACATCTTGCTTGCTGCCTTGGTTGAAGGGCACAACGACAAGTTGAGACCCACGAGCGCCGTGGCGAGCATACATGGCCTGGTAGTACTCCGTCACCTCCCGTGAGAAGCGGCTTGTGGTGACGATGACGTGAGCACCACCGCTGATCAGGCCTTGCAAGACCTCTGCTCCGATTGAGCCTGCACCGGCACCGGTCATCAGTGCGTACTTGCCAGCGTAGCTGATACCATCTCTGGCGCCACGCTCCATGCAGTCGAGGTAGACGTTGCTGAGCCTCTTGCTATACTCCCATCCATGCATTGACTTTTGCTTCAAGTGCAGGAAGGGGATGGCCTCCATCTTGCCCTTTGGCTTAGCCACCTTCTTGGCGAGCAAGCCTGGCTTGCCATCATCCTTGAGGATCTGGCTCTCGTTCATGTTGAGTGATCGGATTACATCGCTGTACAGAGTCTTGATCTCTAGTTGGGAGCCCTTGGACATCTTGTGCTGCGCCTTGATCATCTTGTACAGACGGCCGAGGTCGCCTTGAACCTTGGACCGGTTGCCATACTCGGAGATCTTGCCGCCCTCAGCCATTTGCTGAACGTAATGCTCAAGCTTCCGGCAGCTCTGCCGGGGAACTTCCTCATAGCTGAGGTTACCCCGAGCATCGATAGTGGTGTGAGGACCGGTGGGAAAGTTGACGTCCTTGTATGCAGGGTCAACTGTCAGGGCCTCCCGGCAATTCTCGAGAAGCTGTGTTGCCAGCTCTTTGGCAAGCTTGTACGTCTCGCCACGCTCTGTTGGGCAATTGTCGATATGATATTGCATGAATTCGAGGAGTGTGGGGTTCGATTTGCTCATCAGACGAATACACTGGCTCACAATCTCACGGTCGACAACCTGGAGTCGGCCGAAGATAATGTCGAAGTACATGGTCAAGGCGTCTTGCCGAGCCCAGTTCCACGACGAGTCGTATGTCCTCGCCTTGAGCGGGTTGAAAGATGGCTCGATGCCAGCGGCGTAGAAATCACCATGCTCCGCACTCCACAGATCTAACTGGGCTTGCAGAACCTTGCTCGATTTCTGTTCGTTGATGAAAGCCTTGTCTCCAGCCCGCAGGTCCAGTTTGAGGTACCGCGCGAGCAGCTCAAGCTGCTGCTTGAAGAGTGCTCTCTGGTCTTTGGTGAGGGCGTCAATGGCGGCCGGGTCCATCATCATGCCACCACCGCCGGTGGCGGGCCCGGAAGCCGCAGCAGTGGTGAGGCTGATGCCGGCATTAGAGGCATACTTCTGTGCAACATCGTCCAGGAATGCCTTTGCGTCCGACTCCGAGCCAAGACGAGATGGTGGCTCCATGGTGATTGCGAGCAGCAGCACACCATCCTGGCGGCCCGAGGCCAGCCCCCAGCGAGACTCGAGGTATTTCCTTGCTGATGTGGCGTTGAAACCACCGGGCATCTTGGAAGAAATCAAACGAGCAATCAGTGCTTGCGTCTGCTTGCCCAGGTTTCCGTCGAAAGTGGCCTGCATGGATGCACCAAGCTCGTCCAAAGGTGTGTCCTCCGGCTTCTCTGGTGTAGAGCCGAACTCCTTTCCTAGATCGCCCAGAATTTCGTTTTGTAGGGTAGACTTGCCTGCAGCGAACCAACATTAACCTCCTGGCCTCTCCGTGAGTGTAGGCATTTTTTCTGAGGACTTACCGCCAACAAGATCCTTGATAGCCTTGCTCAGAGGGATCTCGGAGAATGGCTTCTTCAGCTTCTGCGCAATCAGCGCCCGCACAATGTCCATAGCAGCAACGGGCGCGTCTGGGACTGCGGCAGCAGGGCCAGCACTAGGTGCCGGGGCAGCAGCAGCGGGCGCAGGGGCAGCCGCCGCCGCCGAGGCAGCAGGAGCAGGTGCTGATGCACCGCTTGAACTGGCTGCTGGTGTAGGCTCTGGCTCCTCCTCAATTGGATCCACATCGTAGTAGATCTCCTTCGCGTCTTTGTTGTAGCACAGAATCTGACGTTGTACTGATTTTGCAGCATCAAAGGCTTCGTACTTGGATGCGAGGGTCCTCTTGGCCATCACGCCGAGAGTATCAGCAGGACCGACCTCGACGATCCGCTCGGCAGTCTTCTCGGCGAGGAAGACATCTTGAGTTTCGATCCATCTCACGGGCGAGGCGAACTGGTATGCAAGGAGCTCAACGAGGAGCGTGTGGGCGAGCTCTTGCTCAACTTCGGGTCTCATTTTGCTGGCAGTGGGCTGGCTAACTGCGGTGTGGGAAAAGGGACGTGTCGCGCGAAGAAACAATGCTCAAGAATCGACGGCGGGTATCTTCGAAGAATTAGACTGTAAGCGAGGCAAGGCCAGGGGGGGGGGTGCGTTGGCTGATCTCGAGGAAGAGAATTCTTCGAGGCTGGCTCCGAGGGTCTTGTGTGGGTAAAGAGGGATCTGAACGCTGCCACCTGGAGGTCAGAAAGGGGGGAAGAGAGAATAAGGTAGGCAGTGTGGTGGAAGGAGGCAGGGACGGGAAGCTGTGGCCGCCGTGGGGGGTGTGGGTAATGAGGGAGGAGAAATCCAGGTCTAAAGGAAGAAGTCGACCCTCTGGTGGTGTTTAGTGATCGGAATGGGCTGGTTGGAAGGCGGCAACGGGTCAATTAACGATCGTTGTCAACAACTTACGGATTTCATGCAACCCGAATTTCCTCCTTCTGCCCGTCTTGACTTCCAGGTCACCGGACACGTCCCTCCAGGCAAAAAGTTGGTGGACGAGGTATGCGTTGTTGGGCATAGGAAGGAACAATCCTTGAAAGCGTTGGGGGTAGCCACACGGGCAGCAAAGTTCACCAGTCTCACTGCAATTACCAGCCGGCGGGAGCTTGTACCCGGTACAATGGTACTTGCTCTCTTTTTTCGTGGGTGGGAAGGGGTGGTCATGCATCCCTGTCAGCCTTGCTTGGCTTGGCCGCCCTCTCGCGCTCCAGCCTTTCTTTGGGGAGGTGGCCCCCACAGTTCTGCCCATGCAGTACAACCCCATCCGTTCCAATGCTCGCGACGACACAACAGCTTGCCAAAAACAGACCAACAGCGACCGGCCACCCACCACTGGCGACGGCGCATCGCATTACCACCCCGAGCTAGGACGGCAACGGCTACATATCTCGCAGGCGATAAGCTCGGCCAAGCCTGCTCGAGCCTTTGAGCACACACCCTTGCGTTTTGCTGAGGACCTCCCAGGCACGTCAGAGCTCTCGGCCGGCCACTCGTTGTCAACGCGTTTCGCATCCCCATCAAGATGCTCAACCCCATTTCTCCCTGCGGATGAGACCTCGAAACTCGATCCGAGGTGCTCGTATCTCCTCTACGGAGCTATGAGGCTCTCCGAGCTTCCGTCCCGGGATTCCGAAGTGGCACGATCTCTCTGGAGGCACTATATACCTGCCACTGCAACTGGGTAGTACCCATGGCCTGCTGTACTGTACCTCGTCTCGGGAGCTAGGTCCATCTTGGGAGCTTGAGCTTTATCGATACTCTATCGTTATCGACCTGCAGCAAAGCCCAGAGCTTCTGCCGCCCGCCATTGTGTCCATTCGCCCGGGACCGATCCGGCTTGGGTATGCGATGCCTTCCCAGCCGGTCTGCTTTTGCCCGATCAGCCCATGGAGCCATGCGTCTCCCGTGGTGATCACACATGCTGGTCTGCTGGAAGGTGCCGCCATGCCTTGATGCGACCCATGGACACCCAGGCAGTCCATGCGGCAGTGGATTCGACGCGGAGACAGCTTCTTCGCGGGTCACCCAGGCCGCTCTCGGAATACCCACGTATGTACGTACTTGGTACATTACAACCTGCCCATTGATCAGCCATTCCTCTGTACGGTGTACCGGAACGACACAAATCTGTCACTTCTCGTCCTGCCCGAAGATTCTCGGTCGTCAGGCCATGGTTCCCATGCACTGGGGCAGCGGGTTCGCTATAAGCTTAATTTCACCCGCTGGTCTCGGTGGGCCCATCCTTCTCTTGGATTCAGGGTCTCTCTTCTATCTGGGTAGTCCTCAGGTCTCGGTACACTGCTGGGGTAGGGCTCCGTCCTATACCGTGTCTGATGAGCACATCATACTCGTTGTCACTAGCATATGCTGATCCTTGGATAGGTGCTCTTGGATGAACACCCTCGTGCAAGCAGTGTCTTTGGAGGGACGGTCTACCGGCCAAGAATTCGTACCTCTTGCAGAATCAAAGGTACCCAGGGAGGCGAATCACACTCTTGAACACCCGGCAGAAACATAATACTATTGTTTCATAACCCCTTCCACCTTCACCACTTGGGACTTGTGGTCGCACACCTGGACTTGCTGCCCCCAGAACTACTTGCTATGACGGGCCTTACACATAACACACTGCCAGTCGCAACAGTGATTTTCCAAGGAGAGACGTAGGTCGCGAGCTGGTGACATGACCGACCTTACTGGAATGAGCTGGCCCTGTAGATCGCCTGTCTGTGTCATGCGGCGCCAAAGTCCTGAGCACATGTAGGCAGGCGGGCATGTTTATAGGCAGTGGAACAGCTCGGCGATTGTGACGTGCAGAAGGGGGCTGATGTGCATGCTTGGACTACTGCGGTCTCGCCTTACTGCTGAACTTTGAGAGCTTCGCTTCCTAGTTGATATACATAGGCCAGGGCAGCTAGTCCCCGCCGCCACGGCACCGGTGCCACAATATTTAGGGTGAAAGAGCTACTTTATTATCTTTAGTCCATGCCAGGGCAGTGGACCTAGGAAAAGCGTTGCCGTCGACCTAGGCAGTCTGTCGTAGGATTGCTGACCCGGCTAATTAAAAAGCTTACGATGGAAATTTGGGTTTCGCAGGCGCGACCGGCTGTGGGCTATTCCTGTGCCGTTATACCAGCCGACAAAAGAGAGACTGAATAGTTGCGAGCATTGCAGCATGATCTGTGAGCCGCGCGTCTGATGTTGCTCGGGAGTCAACTCGTCGAAATATGCTGAATCTGAAGGCGCCGTCGATGCATCGATTGCCCATTTCTTGCCCCTGTCCAAGGTTGCGTTGCAGCCCGTCCGTGGCCCTTCCGTCGAGCCGGGGAATTTTTTTTTTGGGATGGGGTTCACCAAGCGGTTGGACCGTTGTCGATTAAGCCATTGACGCATGTACCGGTACCTCAGTGGATGACGCGCGTGTGGAGCTCTTTCCCAGTCAGTTTAAGAGCGGCAGGCGCTCCTTCTTCAACCCTCGGAAGGCGGTGACGAGCAACTTCCCGGGCGATACGATCAATTTCTTTATATGACGAGAAGCCACGCATCGGATTTGATTTCCTTCACATAGGTATCTAAATACCTAGGTATCTTGCAATGTCTTTGTGCGTGCAGATTTGCCAGTTTGGGAACGGCAAAACAGCAACGACAGTCCGGCTGTGTTGCCGTGTTCTTCTAGAATAGACGCCCCAGGAAGGAGGGGCCCCTGGTGTTCTTTCGTGCAGAGGGCAGGCAGGAACGTGGGAAAAAAGTTCGCGTGGGGCTAGGGTCCCCCGCGACCAGTCGACCCCCCCTTGGCAAAAACGCGAGCATCCCTGCACTCAGGCAGAACAGGCAGGACAAGTTTGTTGGGAATCGAAATTGAATTCGGTGGATTGGTTCAACATACCTTACCATGCAGCCGGACTTGATTTGATGTGCTGTGTAGTGCTGCGAGGCTAGCAAGGACCAAGGGAACTGTTTTGAACGGTCGGCATTACTGATCGCCTTCCGCTTGTCCTTGAGGTTGTTGGTCGAAGCCCTGCTCAAGAGAAAGAAAAAGAAGTGACGAGCAGCAACAACATCGGCTTCGGGCACCCACCTTGCAAGCTTCTTCTCTCCTTCCCCCCCTCAATCGATAACTTTGGACCCAGGCCCCGTTCGTCCAAGTTGCAACCACCATACCTGCTCACTTGATTCATCCATCGTCGTCTCTACCATCTAGCCGTTCCTCCCTCTCCCACCACCCTCCTCTTCGGCCCCAGTTCACTGCGCCAACATCTTCGCTTCGTGTGCCTCCAGCCTTCTTTCCACTGTGTGTTCACCGCGATAGAGTTTTGCACTCGCTGCTCTTGACTGAGTATTTCGAGTATCTTCGAGACGAAGAGACACAGGAAGTTGTAAGCTGCCCTCTGCGCCGGCCTTTCTCCAAGCCGTGGGACTTGACGCTGACCGTTTCTCAAAGATATCCGTAGATCTCATAGACGATACCCCTTTTTCACCATGTACGGCACGGGTACTGGCGCCCAGACGGGCGTGTCGACCCCTCGGTCTTCCGCCTCTCTCCGACCTCTGACCGTGTCCCACGGCACTCTCGAAACCTCTTTCCTCATCCCTACAAGCCTCCACTTCCACGCCCTCCAACTAAAAGACCGCTTCAGTGCGAGTCTTCCACCACCAACCGACGAGCTCGCGCAAGATGACGAGCCATCTTCCACGCCTGAGCTGGTGGCCAGGTACATGGGTTTCATTGCTGAAGAGGTCGAAAAAGGGCGAAGATGACTCTCAGGGCTCTTACGAGGATGTGCTCAAGTTGATTCTCAACGAATTCGAGCGGGCCTTCCTCCGCGGCAACGATGTCCACGCATTGGTTGCAACTCTGCCTGGCATCGACGCGTCCGAGGTCCTCCGCAGCTACTACGCCTCAACGCCCCACCAGTCTGCTCTCTTCCGCGCATCTGAGGAAGGGGATGCCTCGGGCCTTCCTCCGCGGCAACGATGTCCACGCATTGGTTGCAACTCTGCCTGGCATCGACGCAAAGAAGTCCGAGGTCCTCCGCAGCTACTACGCCTCAAGGTCGGTGCTGAACAGGGCTGTCCGCCCCCACCAGTCTGCTCTCTTCCGCGCATCTGAGGAAGGGGATGCCTCCATCTATAACATTTTTGGTGGCCAGGGCAACATCGAGGAGTATTTCGAGGAGCTGCGGGAGCTGTGGCAAACCTACCCATCCTTCGTTGGGGACCTCATCTTGACCGCTGCCGAGCAGCTGCAAACTCTGGCTAACAACCCATCGGCCGAGAAGCTGTTCACTAAGGGTCTGGACATCATGAACTGGCTGCAAAATCCAGAAGCCACCCCGGATGTGGAATACCTGATCACCGCTCCTGTGAGCTTCCCACTGATCGGACTTGTGCAGCTGGCGCATTACGAGGTCACCTGCAAGGCCCTCGGAATCCACCCAGGCACGCTGAGGGAACGAATTAGTGGTACGACTGGTCACTCTCAAGGTGTTGTGATGGCAGCTGCCACTGCCGCGGCCGACTCTTGGGAGACTTGGCCAGAAATCGTCAAGTCTTCCCTCTCGATCCTTTTCTGGATCGGTGCTCGCAGCCAGCAGACTTTTCCTCGGACTTCCATGACTCCTTCGGTGCTGCAGGACTCGATCGAGAACGGCGAGGGGACTCCCACGCCCATGCTGAGCATTCGTGACCTCTCGCAAGATCAGGTCCAAACGCACATCGACGCAACCAACAAGTACCTGCCCGCCGACCGACACATCGCCATTTCACTCATCAACAGCCCGCGCAACATGGTCGTGACCGGACCTCCCATGTCCTTGTACGGTCTCAACTTGCAGCTCCGGAAAGTCAAGGCACCTACGGGTCTTGACCAAACACGGATTCCGCACACGCAGCGGAAAGTCCGATTTGTCAATCGATTCCTGCCGATTACTGCTCCTTTCCACAGCAAGTACCTCGCTGAGGCGACGTCTCTGATCGATGAAGACCTCAAGAACATCAAGATCGATGCTGAGTCGCTTGCCATCCCCGTTTACGACACCAACACTGGGAAGGACATCCGCGAGGAAGTCAAGGGCTCACTCGCGACAACCGGAACTGGGAGAGGCGACAATTTCGAGAACGCGACCCGGCGGGGGGGCGTCCTGGATTTCGCCCAGGTGGTGTTTCCGGCCTCTCGGCATCCTCACCAGCCGTAACAAGGAAGGCACCGGTGTCCGCGTCATTCTCGCTGGCACCGTCAGCGGATCAGCCAACGATGTCGGTTACAAA